ATCTGCGTCTCGCCCAGCTAAACGTGAAACATCCCTTGGCAAAATGCACCAAAGCTAATATCGATCGGAACATCGTTTTCATTAAGCTCCCCCTTGCAATATGTGGGTGCGCTGTTCTTCTTCACACACCCCTCCAAAATGGCTGTCGGTTCACCTCGCAGTTTTTCTTTAACCCCCCCCAAAAAAAAGAACAAGCATGGATCTTCCAAATGATCGACATTGAACGCAACATCCGGAGACTACGGATAACTCGCTGTAAGGCTCTGTGAAAAAGAAACACTGAGTTTTCCAACTCCTACCGCACCCCCTACCCCTTGCTCGAAAAGGGAAAAAACAAAGGGACGAGCCACCCACTGATTACACCCCGCAGACCACAGGCCTCGATCAGCTCCAGCTCCTCCACCTGCTTTGGCCCGTGAAGGGGGCGGCTCGGCTTTTTGTCTTGAGGCTACCACCGTTTTAGAGGCTCTTAGAAGGGAAACCCAAAGGTTTCAACCGGCCCATTGCGGGGGTGCCCCGAAAAGGACAGAAAAAAAAACGGGCCCATGTAAGACATCGTGCCTTGTTTCTTGGGTTCAGCTTCCCTTTCAGGGCTTTGGAGCTCGGCTCCGAATCAATCCAAACCACTACAGGATACCTGCCTTGTTTGCAGTCGAACAACGGACAGAACCAAAGAAACTAAAGAATAATAATAAAGACATGCAAGGAATACATCATAGCACAAACAAACAAACAAACAAACAAACAAACAAACAATCAACAAAGCATCCAAAGAACAGTGAAGGGCTCTAGAAGACTTTGTCAGTGGAGCTTGACAGTTGTTGTAGATGCAAACACCAATTTGGGTACCTTTGACCGGTTCGTTTGATAGGGCTATGGGCTGGCGGATGGTCTTGGATCCGGATGGAGCAGCCCGGCCTCTCCGTTCCTTGTTTCCAATGGCTCACGCTCCAGCCGGGAACCCTTAATTGTCAGTCCTCAAACGGCCAGGTTTTGAGACCCCCAAACACCTCCGGCATGTCTAATGGAGAGGTCGGGCCTTCCAGTGAAAGTATCAGGAGCCTCTGGGTAGCAAAAGGTCGCGATCCGAGTTTGCGTCCAAAAGGACAAAGCGCTTTTGGGCGATGCGGGGGGTGGTACCCAAAGGGACCAGTGTGCTTCAGAGGGGACACCAAGCGCACGGCACCTTCTCACAATTCGGGCACGGCTTCAAACCGCCCTCCTCCCCAACTGCTGCGAGAGTTGGGAGGGACTGCCACTAGCACCGTCATTGTCTGGTTTTTGGTAATTAAAACAGGGAGAATCCCCAAACATAGCTTCACTTTGCGCATTTGACAAGGGGGCGTTACAGGGTTCCCCTCCAAAAACCAAGTGGCACAAACCGAGAAGCCCTGAGTCAGGCAACTTCCAATTGGTGGCTTGGATGGGCGGTGGGATTTGAACCTCTTCTTTGTGGGAAACCATCCCGGAACACCCAAACAGGGTTCCAAACCACCAATCCTCACTTCCTGTGTGGATAAACCAAAAAAATGGCAGCCAAACTCAATATAGTAACGAATCTCCGGAACGGGTTTCCAAGAAGTGAGACAAGTTCGAGGGAAGCTGACTGAAGCTCTTGGAAAACCCACTTAAAGGGGCGGCCGGGTTCCTAGAAAGTGATAAATAAGCCTGGCCCTAAGCCACTTAGACTCATAACCACGGCTTGGGCAAGAACCACATGGTTACCCACCTATACCTGACGTACCGAATCCCTCCGCTTTAAGCTCCCCCCCCAAAAAAAAAACGCCGCCCCGCCGCCCGCCGCCCCGCCGCCCCCCCCCCGCCGCCCCGATCGCCGCCGCCGCCCCGAGCGCAAGCCGAGCGCCTGGGCGTTGGCCTCCACGAGGATCCGCGCGATCGCCGTGTGCCCCTCCTGCGCCGCCAGGTGCAGCGGCTGCAGCTCCCGGTCCTCGGAGCACCCGAAAGCGGATGACGCGCGAGCCGCCGATTTTACCGACGCGCCGAAAAAAACGCCAACGAGCGTCAAAAGCGCGAGCTAGACGAGAAAATAACAGGGTGTTCTTAAATTTATTCCGGCCGTTTTGTGTTTGGATTTTCAAAGGAGGCGCAGCCACCAACTTCTCAACTTCTTTGGTGGATCTTTGGAGGGAAACCAAAAAGAGAACACCATTTCGGCATGGTCGCGGTGCCCTGAAAAGCAACGAGCCACTCAGCTGGGAAAAACCGTTCTGAGAATCCAGTTGCACCGAGTTGTTCACAGCTCCCGTTGAGAAGCCAAGCCAGGAACTTCCTGTAGGAAACGCCGGTCTCTTGTCGGGTATTTGGCGATGTGTTCAAGGTTTTTGTGGTTTCTACGAGTGGGCGGTTTTCGGGGGCACATGTTGCCCCCTGGCGAAATCTGAAAGAACCAGATGCCTAAGCTTGAGGTAGATCCAATTGAAATGTTGATATCATTTCCTTATAAGTAGTCTAACTACTGTTAGTTGAATAGCAAATTACAGTTGTTTGAATCATTTTCCTTCAAGCTTTGATGGCAAACTGGTAACATCCACTAACTCATGTTTAGAATGTCATTGTCATGGCCGCATTGGCCCGGGTTCGCCCATTTATTGGGGGAGGGACCTTTGCCCTACTTCCTGCTTGGAGGTTTGTTGCCAAGTTGGTTGGGAGTTGGGAGTTGGGAGTTGCTGAGTCCAATAAAGTGGTTGGCAAATTGAAGGGGCCGAAACTATCATCAGGGTAAATGATATCCTGATCAACAAATCCAATCGGGCCAAGTTCTTGGCCACTTGGATGTTCGGCGAAGATCACGTGGCTTGCACATAGAATACATCGACAACTTGCTGAGCGAGCACTGGCCTGACCTTAGTCATACGAGTATCTTGTTGCTAGGAGCTCAAGCTTAAAAACAAATTGACCACATCGAATTGTCCCCTTCTGTTCTCAGTTTGGATCGTCCTGCTTGTATAGTTCATAGGATTTCGGGTGGCCGCTTTTGCCGAAGCTTTTGCGGGACCACGTTGGCATACCCGATCTTGACCGAACCTCACTTCATATTCCTTCTGCGATTTGTTCAAAACATCCTATTTACACGCCCCTTTAATCACTTTAATCATCATCCCGCCCCAAGCAATCTGATTTCAAATGGCCCATTTGTGACTAAACCATCCAACACGAAAAGGGAAACACACACGCACAGCTGTGTCTCGGTCAGAACGACCGGGACAACGGAAGGGTTTCCCTTTGGTTTGCCCTATCCAACCACGCAACATGGAACCTGACTGGTCCCGTTTAGAGGGAACCTTCGAACGTCAGGTTCTACGTTAATTAGTGGGAGAGTAACCCAATCAGGTTTGATAGCTGATACCCCGGGCTCGTTTTGTAGTCCAACGAAGCCCCTTGCACCACTAGAGTCCCCAACAACCGGTATCATGGCCCGGTTTTTCGGGCCTACCGCCAACCCTGGGGATCAAACCATAACGTTTATCTAAAGTGACATCATCTACATAGAGTCCCAAGGCCATTCTTTTCATGGCAAGTTGACCCCGGCCAACAGACCTCGAATCAGTTTTCACCCCATTTCCCCGCCCTGAGGCGCCGGCCGCAAGGTTCACGGGGCAGTTCCAGTCCACTAGGATCTGCAGGATCTGCGTGTTCCCCTGCAACCTGAGACGGCGCGGCTTGGTCGCGATCGCTCCGGTCGGGAAGGAGCCCCCTCCCCACCCGGGGTCTTTGGGGAGGAGCCCTTGTGGTCAGGCCCTGAAAAACCCTTTTAGGAAGCAGAAGCCCTGGAGGTTCGTGCGACTCAGCCAGAGAAGAGTGTATCAGCTGTGATTTTCTGGTTTCATGGAAAAGGAACACGCTGTCCACGTTAAAATTGCGGGTTTGACACCAGGCTTGACATCCCACTACATGGAAAACTGGGCTTGATGTCTTCGTCAGGTGGATGTGTCTTTTTAAGGCTGGACCCCCAACATGGTTTTCCTTTGGGTCCCTTACAAAACAGGCCCAACAATGGGGTACACCAAAAAAGACAAACCCAGGTTGACATCCTATCGTTAACCATCATATCTGGAGTTGGGCATGCAGTTGCTCACCCCAGAACACCACAACCTGCCCGAGATTGATCGCAAGGGGGTTCAGATCACTGGAAAAGCTGTGGCACCGAATCCTGAGTTCCCACTACCAGGGCTGGGCCCTGCTTCAATGCCCATTTGAACACTGTTTAAGCAAGCTCCTATTGGTTCCCTGTCAAAAAAGGGTTAGAGTCTAGCTGCCTAAACGATTCTTCAACCCCCATCAACCTCATACGGGGTGTCTGTTTTAGGGTACCCCCCAACACGGTGTTCGGTGTTCCTTTCGGCTTCCGTTTAAAAACCACCAAACAAGGGCAACCGAACCTTTAAACGAAAAGGATGCACACCCATCTTTCCTCTCATCCAAGGGCACGACCCCAAACGCAAGGAGCATCCCACAGACAATCCGCTCCTAGAAAGTCGGGACCCTTCATCCCACGAAAGTGGTTGGGCTTTCCTCGGATCCCCCGCGAAAAGTGACTCACTTGTAGTGAGTAAAGGAGGAAACCCCCGCCAAACCCTAAAAAGGGTTAAAGAACCGGATGGCTGGGAGCCACCAAGAACCCCAAAAGTGACGGAAGTCTCTCCCCAGCTTACAGTTCAGAGGGGGAAGTCTCGAGATTCCTTTCCAGCAAAACTGAAAAAGCTTGTTTACCAGAGGCTGTAAAGCCGGGCCCGCCATGTCCGAGCGTGAACCGTGGAACCTCGTGGAACCTCGTGGAACCTCGTGGAACCGCAATTTCAGGCCTCACGTACCATCTAGGATTCAAATCTTTACTAACCAAAAACAGAGTTTGAGTTTGCCTTTTGCCAAACATACATGAGGTGAATCTTTCTCCTAGCAATGTGGTTTCAGTGGAGGGCAAAGAAAAATCAGATAGAAAAGCCAAAGCTCAGTTGCTGAACCTGGGGGCCCTGGCGGCGGGCCCTCATCTCGCGCCGCGCCCGCTGCGCCGGAACCAAACGACACCGCGACGGGCGGGCTCCGGCATGAAAAACCTGTGGGCATGTGTTGTTTTTCCTTGTTTTCTCCTTTGTTTTTCTGGGCTGTCCTCAGATCCCCCGCTAAAAGTTGAACTTTGAGTGGGTTACATGGAAATCCCCCCTCAACACCAAAAGGCCAAAGAAAAAGCTAAGGAACCGGATGGCTGGGAACCACCCAGTTTTGAGGGTTGGGCAGTTTGGCTTCAATCCGACAGGATCCGCCCTATTTGGGCTCGAAAGCCAAGCAGCGCAGAGTCTAGCAGCTGGTCGATCATCCACTCCATCTGCCCCTCCCCGGGTCTCTGCAAGGCGAACAAGAACCGCACCACCGGCTCCGAGCGGTTCCTGGGACGGGAAGTCGGATCAAACCCTGCCCACTCCAAATACCCACGTTTTTAAGGGTATTTTTGGAAGAAACTGGGTTTCCATGGTATATAGTATATAGCTCCTTTTTTAGTAGAGGTAGGGGGTGGGGTGGCTGTCCGCTTTCTGATCCCCTGCTGAAAGTGACTCACTTCTCGTGGGTGAAATACGGAATTCAATAAGCTAAACGCAGAAAAGCCATAGAAATTCCAGGGATTGCTGGGAACCACCAAGAACAGGTTACCCCAAATTCAGCCCGCAACTTCGGTAGTGACCGAGTTGCGAATGCGAATGCCACTGATCGGATCTGCGGATTCGCCGGCGCTAGACCGCTCTTAGGGTCAACAGTTTCAACTGTTAGTAGCATTTCAGCTCAAAAACATGATCCACCCTGGGGTTTGAAGACTTGAACGTGCTTGGGCAACCAAGTGAAGCGCTGAGCAACAATCCCGTCGCCCACGGTTTGAAACTGGATTTGTTGGGCCAAGAAACCAACGTATTGAACTCTGCAGGCGGTTCTGATCTCCAGCAGCACAGTTTGCTGCAGTAGAGTTCGCCCCTACATTGCGAGCCGTCCCAAAAAGCCGGAAGGTTTATATAAACGGTGTGTGGACACCTTCGTATCTAAGCTCTCATAATTTTAGGGGTGCCTTCCCCATTCTTTCCAGGGATCCTTCTTTTCAGGAAAGCAAAAAACCAGGGAAACAGCCGGTTTGCGAAAAGAACGATGGTTAAAAAGAATGGGGAATTAACATCTAGAATAGTAGCCTTCCCAAGATCCCTCACAAACAGTTCACAGCTTAGACTTGGAGAACGCAGTGCCAAACTCTGGCCGCTATTGAGTTAGATGTTTAGCCTTTAGCTTTTGGGGAAAAACGCGTGGTTCCTCGCCAACCATCAAACAGCTTAACTAATCAGCAGGCCAGGGCTCGCTTATTGGGGGGCCACGTGGAGGAAGCAAAAAGCTCAACCGTCTGGGCAGGGGCGGGGGGTTCAATGGGCACAGTGGTTTGCCGCCTCTGGCTCTGCGAACACACTCAACTAGCACACCGATTAGTTCATTGGCTTTGGACCCCCATCGATTGTGGAGTTCCTGTTGGCTTTCCGAAGCAACACCGTGCCAAAAAATCGTGCGACTTTGAAATGACAACGTTTTCTCCGCGTGGTTTTCACCTTTACAGCCACTCATTTCCCGAGTAATCAGATTGTCCAAAGAAAGTCCCAACTTTGTGTTTACCACAAAAACTGTGTTTCCAAACATCATTAAAGCCCAGCACCTCACTAAGTCAAACCACCCAACAACCGCAACACAAATCCCCACGCCTCAAAAAAACAACCACCGCTCCACCACTCGCCTCGACTCGACTCGGATCGGCTCGAAGGGAATCGAGGGGCCGGCAGAGGGGGCAGCAGAGCGCCTTGGAGGCGCTGAGGCAGTCGCTGCAGAAGACGTGGCGCCCGGGGCAGGGGCACGCCACCGCCGCCGTGGGCCTCGAGGGCATGCCATGGAGGGGTTGGTTTTTGTCGGGTCTGTGGGAAAATTGTTGGAGGTGTGGAGACCCGGCTTCTGGTGGGTCTAAAGGAAGGGAGGGTCAAAATCCACTAAGTCAGACTTTTCAGGTCGGTTTGGAGGTATGGAGGTATGCAGGCGACCTGACTTTTGGTGGCTCTCAAGGAAGGGAGTGTCAAAATCCCACTAAGTCGGCAGGACTTGCCGAATGGTGGCGAAGGAGAAAGGGCATGGTTTCGCCATCTGGGTTCTATCCTACCCACCAACCCTACCCTGTTTTGGGTTGGGAGTTCGTCCTTGGGTGTGAAACACATCTACTTGGAGTCTGCCAGCCATGATCCCTTTCTTTGAGTGACCCTTATTGTTTAATCTGAAGGAGACTCCAAGCAAACCTAGGATTCATAATTTTGTTTGAGGGTCAGAGGGCGACTCCAGGTAAACCTAGCATTCACCTGTTTTCTTTGTTCATCATTTGCGTGAAAGGCAAAGATGTGTCAGATAGTCCCAAACGTTGACCCAGGATTGGGTTCTAGCCCATGAAAGGGCACTTTCGTGGGTTGGAGGCGGCGAGTCTGTCGCGGAAACGTGGCTGAAGTCGACTGGGGCAAAACAACGGAACATATGTTCTGCCCATTTCTCCCCCACGTGTGTCCATGATAGACAAAGCTCCTGCGTCCCGGTATTGACATCGGGTTTCCATCCCAATCGGGTTGGACTTTGTCCCGGCGGAGATAACGGGAAGGGGAAAGGACAAACTACAACAATGAACATCTTTCTCGAGGGTATTTACCCTCTTGGCCTTGCCACCGGGCGCACAGATTCTTCCAGGTTCAATGGATGTGCAAACATTGCAGAGCCAAAACCAGGAAGAAGGGAACAAGACCGCAAAGCTTTGTGGGTGAGCACGTTTTACCGGACCGATCCGTGAGCCTGCAAGATCGGTCAGATACATCGTATGACCCCCCGACGTTTTCGAACAAGCCGATAAATATGCAGCCTCTCAAAGGGCCAGGCGCCCGGAGGATTTACCCCTTGGCTAACCATCCTTCTTACTTCTTCACATGCATTCACCTTGCGGTTTCCTTTTGAAGGGGTGCAGGACCTGGTGGTTGAAACATTTGTTGCTAAAGCCTGTCGGTAAGTCGCAAATACAAACGACAAAGGCAGAAATGGCGGAGAAGCAAGGGCTAGGGCCTAAATAAATACTCTCCCTTTTCTCTCTCATAACACCTGCGGGAGGGTACGTGGAAGATTATGTTCTTCTTGTAGGGACCCTTTTTGTTAGATGCCATGTAGTGGGAGTGAGGGTAGTTTGGGGTGTTGGTCCTTGAAATGAACAAAGGCCTTGAGTCTGAGAATCACCTCCCAGCGTAGGTAACACGTGCCAAGCGAATGTCTTTCCTTGCTGGCTTAAACCCTGCCTTGCGGAATCACCCCGGATCTAGAATCTGGCTGAAGAGACCGCTCACGGAAACTGGCAACCTGAACCCCCAGATTTTGCGCCAACACTTGATTTTGAAGGGGTCAACCCCCCAAAGGTTCCAAACAAAAGCAAAAGCTGAACCCCAATGTAATGTTCCACCATGACTCTACTGACTTAAATTTTAGCCTCGTTCATATCCCGGGGCTTCTACTGAACGAAGACAACAAACCAAAGTTCAAGCTGTGTTCTCAAAGCTTGGTTTCGGACAAGTCAGTGACCCGCTGCCAAGTGGCGACTCATCCAAGCAGATGGGACAAATGTCATTCGTCTCCATTCGCGAGCATAGCCGGCGCAGACAAGGCGCTCACGAGGCAAGTGGCTCTTGCCAGCCGACACAAGGCCCAAGCTGGTCTATTTCTTGGTCCCCTGGGGCACACGGGAAATATGTTCTGACTCTGCTTCCCATTCAACATCAATGTGGAGCAAACGCCATGTCATGGTTGAACCCGAAATCTGTAGTCACTTGGTCCCTGGCTACAAGATACACCTTTGGTGGGATATTTCAGATATGTCCTAACTCCCTCCATCTAAACGATTTAAACAAACTAAGGAAGCGCATGCCTGGCCTCCATTTGCTGAAGTCCCCTGGAAAAAACAAAATAAGAATAACTCCAGTGGCGAAATCGATTCCCTTTAAAACCCACAGGGGAAATAACACATATTCTTAACCAAATGGAGGCTGGGAATGGCTGGAGGCTGTTCCAAGAAGAGGTGCACCTTCGAATTGACCGCGCAATGCTGGCAGGGAACCAGGGAACGCGTTGTTTTTTTCCTTCCGCGTTTCATTGGCCGGCATGGCAAGTAGCAAATCCATCACAGGGATCCACTCGCTTCTCCTTACTTCGAATTCCCGAATGGCGCCCTCTCATGCTGGGGGCCTCTGTGGTTCAGAGCAAGTGGGGTTCATCAATGTGGGGGTGTCCGTGGTGGCATGCCCGGCATGGTAATAGGGCAAAGGGAAAGAAGGGCACGCAATTTTTGGACCCAGCCCAAGAGGCTTACGTCCAAAAAAACATTGGGACACGTGGGGAGGCTGAGCCCTTAACAGCCGGCGTGCCATCGAAAGGGCACGCTGCTGGGAAACTGAGCTGGGTCTGAGCATTCGAACATCGTGTTTTCTACGCGAGTTGCTTGGTGCCACTGGAAAGAGATCCGTGTTTCCAGACGCCGCACATGGATCTAAGAAGGATCTGCACTCAAATCTGCCCCTAAGCATCTCGATAGAGCCAAGGCGCGGCGTGTCGAAGGATATGGATGGCATCAAGGAACGTGAAGTTGATATCAGCAAAACAAATCGGACATAACAAATGCTGAGGGGACTGACAAACTGAAGATAGTTGTGTCATAACTTTGCTGTTAAGCCATAAGCATCTTTGTCCCCATTGGGCCATTGGGCGGAAAGGGATTTCCAATGGACAGTGTTGAGCCTCATTAATCCCGTTCAAATGAGCGACAAAGACCCATTGACTTTGGATCAACGATTGTATAATGCTTTTTCTTGTTTACATAGTTGTTACTAGAACCCCCAACTAAACCAGGTAGTTGAGCAGTAGAACCACCTACCAGCATGGCCATCAGGAATCGGGTTTGAGCGTTGTTGACGTGGCAAAGGTGATGAATCCTCCAAACGCTTTCTCTGGCTCCGGTGCCGAATGATGGCGGCGGTCTTTGGGTCTTTGGGTCTATGGGGGGGGGGGGGTAGGGTCCACGGACACTTACACCAAATCCTAAAGACCGGTGCTCAAATGGATACTTACCTCATGTGAAGGATCCTTTCGGGTCCTTTCAAGTCAGAATGGGGCCAGCAACGGTGCCTTCCAAACAAGTGAAATGGTGGTCGCTCTGGATGGTACCTGTACCAATGTTTTTGGCGTCCTAGGAAAACCAACAGAACAACCACCAAGTGGCTTGGTCCCTGAAAAGAGACACAGATTGGGAGTTGGGGGAAGTTGTAAGATGGGTTCCAGTACAAACCGAAGCTCCCCCCCCAAAAAAACGGGCATCCACTACATGTAAACTGTATCCCGGTACACCCCCGGCAGCTTCGGTTTGTGGATCCCATCTTACAACTTCTCAACTCGAAAAATCCCCGGCCGACGGTAAAAATGGCAGTGGCTCATGTACCAACCTGGCCCCTTAATAACTGGAACCAAAGACTAAACCCGCGGAATTTCGGTGTGAGCCACACCCAAATACGTTTGAGCCAAAGCTGACAGCTTCCCAACTGCCGACACTTAAGGTAAGTGACTCATAAGGTCTGAGGCCCACGAAAAGGCCCAACGATGCTTTGGATGGACCAGTGGCTCACCTCCCAAGATCAAGGCCCTTTGCCAAGAGTTCAAGGTTGGGAAGAACGGTCAGAGGGGCCAGACCCCCGTTTAAGAAAAAGAGGAGTGGTTGAAACAGTTTGGTTGTTTCAACCATGGTTTAAAGAAAAAACAAGGAGGTGGTTGAAACCGTTTGGTTCAATTTTAACCATGGTTGAAACAACCAGCAGGGGGATCAATCAATTTCCAAACATGAGTTTCCCAATGTGAAATGGTGTGGCTAGCTGGAAATGGGAACCGAAAAGAGACTCAAGGAACCGGTCCCAGTTTTTGAAAAGCTGCATCACCCGACCCCTGCCCGTAATTCATAGGTTTGGGGCCCTGTGGCTTGGGTTCTTCGTTTGTCCGTGTCCAGGGATGCGACAACTTCATATGGGCCTTTCTTGTTTCAGCAATCTTCGCTCAACGAGACCTTTGGCTCAGTCCTCTTTTGCCCGCAGCGCGCTCGAAAAATGTGTTGAGCTCGCTGAACCCGCCGGCTCTGGTGATTCAGCGACTTCTGCCCAGACTTTGGCCGCTGGGAAAATCAGTGGCAGGGCAGATTGAATCGACACCAACCGAAGCATCCGAAGTATGGATGCTGGACCCTCAAAATGGCGTACCCTGAGGTTGCTTGTTTGATGGCCCCCAATCTAAAGGGCTAAACAATAAGGACCGGTGGTTGGTTGGCCCTATATGCTTATAACTCTAAGACTCTCACATGTTGACCCCAGATTAATAAACTGTTTACTTAATATGGGGGTGTTCCTGGTTTTAGTGGGGATTCAGACCACTTTTGGAGGGGAACACCCCCATATAGATTAAACAGGTTTTTTTTAATCTGGGGTCAACATTAGATGTTTCGGTTTATGACATATATCCCTGTCGCTGTGCATCTGATAGCACGGGATCAACGAACCACTGAGGGGTTCGGGAGGCAACCGTCTACTCCTCCAAACTATTTTTTGCTGTCGGGTAGACTCTATGTATGAACAGAATCTGAACACATGATTTTGCGTGTGCCCCGTTTACATATGTTTACCAGAATCACATTAATTTTAGAGTACTCCACAACCCCATTCTAAGCGTTTAGCCCTTTAGATTGGGGGCCATCAATCAAGCAACCTCCCAACAGACGCCATTTTGAGGGTCCAGCAGATAGGGCCAACCCAACGCCGGTTTTTGTCTGAATGGTGTTGCCGCCGACACAACTGTGTGAGGCTGCTGGAACGGATCGAAAATCAAGGGGGACCCCCACGCGGCCGGTGAGACGAGATGGAAGGGCTCGCTATGGGTGTGAATTTTCATTAGGTCTTCATGTTAGTGGCTCCTGATTCAACAAACAAGCTTTGTCAAATGCGTGCGTATTGTACTGCATGGGCCGTGGATTTGATTGGGTGCCGGACGCTTTGGTGGACATCGTTCAAGTGGAAATCATGCCCACAAACCACTTTTGAGGAGCCCAATTGAAACTCATAGCTGCTTCGTGTTGTCATTGAATGACGGTCAACATCCTGCACCAGTTGGGATGGATGAAGCCCTCCTACACCACCACTGAAGGAAACCCGGCTTACATGCGCCCACCACGAGATGTTTAACAACCACCAAAATGAAGAATATGGGGACTCCTGTAAACCATAACAAGAGCACTGAGGACTGAGGACATGCCAAACCCAGAAAGAAAGCCCATAAACATCCCAAAAAAACACGCACTGTCCAAACAAACCTCACTTCCTGGGTTGACAGGCAAAAACAAGCCCAAGCTTTGTGTATCCCGCTAAAATGGTCTTCCATGTCTTCCCAACAAGTCTTAAGTCCTGGAACTCTGGAAGTAATGTTCTGCCATGATTTGGATTGAGGTGTCGGTGATTCAGAAGCTGTGATCCGAATCCCAAGAGAGAGAGCCCAAACAGCTCCAAACGCTCGCGCCGGCATCGACGCGAACGTCAGAACCCCCCGTAGCCTGCAGATCGGTGACCCTCTGCCATGGCGGGTGTGTTTGTCGGACGGGTGGGGTTGAGGGTTGGTAATCTGAGTGCCAATCGACACTGCACTGCTGGCAGAGTGGGGAGACAGCAAAGGGATGGCTTGGCGAAGGTTGCAGAGCAAAACCAGAGAAGTGATGCTTGGCGTTGCTTCAAAGTTGCTTGGCGTCCACGCAAAGGCCACACCAAATCATCAAGGGACCACTCGACTATCCAATCTCATCTTGGATGCCCTCCAAAGGACGCAATTGTGCACTTTGAGTACTGGGTGAAGTGAAAGGAATTCGCGGGTCCCCCCAGGGCGCGTGGGGCTTGCTGCAGTTCGATCAATTGGTTCTGTGATGTTCTGCGTGTGTGTGTGTGTGTGTGTGTGTGTGTGTGTGTTGAAGGGGTTGGTTTGGGCGGTCTAGCGGGTAAGGCTTGGGCTGCGGGGGTGGGTGGGTTTAGGGTTGGGTTTACAGGTTGTTTGCTTAGTGTGGGCGTAGGGTTGCTTTAGGATGGATTTCGAGTGTTCTCAGGGTTGGTTGAGGCAATTTTCAGGGCGTTGAGGTTTAGGGATTGTTGGGCTCATTTCGGGTGGGCTCACAATTGAATTCGATTGGGGTTAGGTTACAAAGCAAGAGCAACTCCTGCAAACACGACAAACAGGCCACAACATAATATCCTTGACCAAGGACCTGGCAAATTGGTTATTCCCTCCCCCAGAGATTTTCGGATTGCATTGAAAATGGGAATGAGCCACTGAAAGATCAGATTGCTCAGATGCCCAGTCTGCAAAGGGCATTCGTTGGCTGCTTGACTTGAAAGGGGAACCCTTCCCCAAAACAAAGTCGAAAAAAGGGCGCCACTGGGCAACAGTGATAGGCCAAACCACCCTGGGGTCTTTGAAGAAACAGCTCCAACCATGTTGAGAGATACCCATCCCCCTTGCTTCGGCTTCGCAGCCGCGCCTAGGGCCTGGCGCGCGTGCTCGTAGGTGACCCAAAAGGTGAGTTGCCAGGGTCCGAGGCGCGCCCAGTTGGGGAAGAAGCCCTTCCTGGCGACGTTGAGTTCGGGAAGACGAGCTGTCGCAATTTGTTTGTTGGATAAAGAATGGAGAAATTGGCCCTTGCAAAACCACCTTAGTATGTTCCGAATCTTCCCAAGTGAATAAGTCGACGAAGGATTCACCCTACACACACTCAACATATTGCGTGGGGATGTTAAACTTGCCCGGATCGAGTCTACCCCTTTTGTGGCTGGTTTCCTGATTGTTTTTAAGGAACGCAAAAACTGGCGATGTTCTACCCGGAAGTGACTTAAGCATAGACGAAGGGAAGCTGTCAAAAGGCAACTCTTGGACCTGCGAGAGTGTTCGCAAAAATGGGGGGGATCCCCGAAAGAATGAGCAGTTTCTGTGCTGGGTGCCAGAAAGACAAGGGGGTTGGAAAAGGGCCCATCCCCTGTTAGTGTCCTTTTGAGGAAGTTGAGGCTTCTGGGCTACTTTGCACCCAGTGTTCGAGCCATTTCAAACCAACATCAACAAGGTGGTCCATGCGCCGCCTTTGGAGACATCAACTATACCGCTGATGAGACTGGTATATGTCAACATCTCCGGCCACGCGAGATAGTATCCACACACACACACGCACCGCAGGATGTATCCCCTAAGTAAGAATTTCCCCTGGGTCGGCCAAAAAGCCTAAACCTTTTGTTTATCGCTAAACTGGTGTTTACCTTCCCAACAAATATAGTCCAAGAACTTGGGCAAAGAGAAGTCATTCGTGGTGAGAGCGTCCTGGCACACCGGGGCGGGCATTGGTTAAATTTGAGCCAGACTCAACATGCTGAGCGCTTGGACAGCGGAAATTCAAACGCTTCCATTCCCTTTAAAACCAGAGCGGAAACAACATATGAAACGCACATAAAAAGAACCGAGGTCACGGATGTCTCCCAAAGTTGCGAGCGCATTTTACTTCGTTTGCTTCCTTTGAACTTGCCACTCCAAAAATGTCGACGGATTCAAACACTCCTATGGTCAAGGCCCACCCCCCCAATTCGGGGGCTCCTGCCGTGTTCGTTTGGGTATTGGGGGGTGCTGCATTTTATGTAAGGGGAAACCAAAGGGGAACAAAACCACTAGATGAGGGGGGAAAGAAGCCTAGGGCTGTGGGGTACTTTAATACCAATTCTTAGTGATGACACGAACAACACGTTATTGTTCAGCCCGTTCCGGTGGGCTCATTCCAAGCCAATACTCAGTGACTCAAACACAAAACCACGTGAAATTACGCGAAGTTTAGCTCTGCCAGCCGGGTAATCCACCTATAATTCGCAGACTCGACAAAGTACTACCAACTGGAAAACTGCAACAAAAACAAATACAAAGCGGAAAACTGTTTTACCCCGCAGAGCCTGTTCTATTGCCCAATCTTGCTGGCCATGGGAATGTACACTGTACCATGCAGACTGGATTGTTCTATTTGAGCTCAAAGTGGGTGTGTCTTAACATATAAGGGTACCCGAAAGATGGCAACGCTTTCTTCTTGGCTTTCCGGACAAAAACACAAGAAGGGGTACCACGTAATTATTCTTACCTCGCTTTTGTTCACAAGATGGTTTCCCCTTGGCTACCTACTCATTCCATGGTAACAAGCAATTGGTCAGGCTTACACGCATATCCATAGGTGTCCCCTTTTGTCGAAACAAATGGGTTTCCCCGGTAAATGGCACATGAAACCCAATCTAAACCAGCACCCATCCATTTCTACCCAAAACCGAAGAAGTGGACATCCCCGTGCTCCCGTTGAGACAGCCGGCCAGAAGGCTCCCAGCCCCTCGGCGCGGACCTCAGCCCCCGGAGGCTCCCGGGGCTTTGGCTTATGGAAGACCCGACCATTAGACCCGGGAATTGGCGGTTGGGGGTCTCAATCGAATTGGAGCCTCTGGGTGAAAAGAGATATCAAAATACATGCAGGCCAAAAATAAGCAGAGAAGCAAAACAGAGAAACAAACAAATATCAAACAAACACATGAACAAATGACTAGACAACAAAACAAACAAATGATTAAACAAATGAATCATGTCAAACAACGAAAGCATGGACAAACACCTATATGCTTATATGTCGCATAAGCAGACATCCAAGAGAAACCAGCTCTCAATCCGGGCATCACCCATATGTGACTATGTACATAATATGTACTGTCACGAATCTTGCGCGGAGGTACCTCAACCAACACCGATGGTCACCGAATACTAAACCTCTCTACAAGGACCTTTAGAACGACTCCCATATGTATGCATGCATGTCTGTATGCATCTATGCATGGGGAATATATGATGGGTACCAGGATGCTGCAACCACGGTGCCTACCTTGCTACCCTTTTAAGGGGCGCCCTGTTGTGTGCGGTTTCATTTTGTAGGGTCTATGTTGGCTTCCCGGGCCCAAACTCCAAGGGTTTCGCTGAGCCTACGAGCACCAGGTTGACTTGTTGACCAGGGACGCACCTCACCTCAACCCATAGAACATGTCCTTCGTACGGGAACACGTTGGAACCCTGAACACGTTCGCGGCGCGAAACACGAACGGAACACCAAAAAGGCAAGAAGTTGAGAAATGTCCAACCCAGTGCTGGAAGATACCATTGTAGTAGGTAGCCAGGAAAAACCATCATGTACAAGTACTTGGTTAATTACCATGGTGGCTTGCCTGGAAAAAACAGCTGAGTGCTAAATCGAGGTTCTGAAAGAAATTAACAATCAAACAACCCCTCTTGGTTTCCGCATGGTTAAATTGCACGTTGTGGTTGCAATTGATCGCAGCGGTACATCGCTACATCCTGGCATTTCCATAACATCAGCCCCACTGCAAGGGAAACTCATCTTACATGGGGTATTTGCCCTGTGCTAAGGTGAGTTTAAGGTGATTCACAATTACGACCAGAAGCCGAGTTGCAACTGGTCAAAAGAACATCCTGGATTCTTACCCAATGGATCCCAGCTACGACTGAAGTAGCTCACCAACCATTTTCCTTTTGGTTTCTTTATAAGCCATGGTCAAAACTCACGTCCATGGTCATGGACCCCTACTGGGAATCCAAATCAAATCCCTTTAGAGGGTCCATGACCATAGCCCCCAGCAAAGTAGGGAGTTTCGAGAACTGGGCACAGGCACCGGGGTGGTTCCCAAGGAAATGGAAGAACTGGGCACTCGCCTGAGGCCCCCGCAGTCTCTCGGACCTGAGTCAAAACGGGCTTCTCCAGTGGCGCTTTGTTTGTTTCTACCACGAGGCTCCAATTCGGCCACCACTTTCCGGGTTAATGGAGGGTCGGGTCTTCCATTGAAAGCCCCGGGCGGTTTTGGGCATGTCCTTTTAGGACTCCGATCGGAAGCTCCACCCCCAGATAGAGTGACGTCGTGGAAAGCCCGAAATCTGTAATACCCAAGTGCGATTCCCATCCTGACCGCTTCATCACTCTCACAGAAAGTGGTCCTAACAAGATCTGAGTCACTCTCAAAACTTGGCAGTAAAATGGTCCACGCCCAGAATGTAAAGAATTCAAAAGTGGGATCTCCGCACCTATTTATGGGTCCGGGGATTGTCCCTTAACTTACCCTCCAAATACTCGGGTTTTGATGGCTCTGTCCAACAAAGGCTTCTACGAGGGCGCGGTGGAACTCCGCCGGCGAGATCGCTTCGAAGTTGCAACCAAAGGCGGGCGAAAAGCCCGCCTCGTCCAACAAATCAGGTTGCCCCCCAATTGGTTCGGAATTGGGGGCTTGAACCCCCGGACAAGTGTCAAGAATGGGAAGGAAGCCTCTTTGGAAGCTCCAAACCATCAATTCAATCCACCACTTCTGCAAGTGTTACAATATGTCCAAAACCTGAAATAAGGGATCCCTAGGTAAAGGATCTTTACCATGACTTGAGTGCTTGTTTTACTCCCGGATCGGTCGCAATAAATGCTGCAGACCAATTCAATCAACTTCTAGCACTTCCCATGGGTGGCCTTTTGGAAAACTAGATGGCCCTGGTACATGGCTCACAACCCCCATCTAAACCTGTGGAACCCATCTGGGTGTGGCTCAACATTAACCAGGAGGGGTTACGCAGGTTTTGGTCCATGTTTCCACTTATCAGGGTTCCATTTTGGAATTCCGTTTTTTTGAGCCACAGCCATCTATTTTCAACCAAACGCGCCGATGAAAACAACACCTGTTGTGGCCCCAGCGCAGCTGAGGACGCCGGAGGCTTGCCCCGCCATGACGCGGCTCTTCACCACGTCCGCAGGGGTGGCGCACACGGACCTCGCGGCGCGGCGGGTTTCTCGCTTGGTTTCTTGGGCCAATCGGCCAGCTGGAGTCCAAGTGGTTGGATCCAACGTGACACGGGTGTGGCTCCAACTGGGTGTGGCTCGACACCAATTGTTGGGGGAATTAAAAAGGGACACCGTGGCCATTTTGGGGGTCACCTACTTTGGGGGACACATCAAAAGTTCACAACCCAACCACCTGGTTGTGCTTCGTTCGCTCGACTCGACTGCTGGACTTGCATCCCATATCAGGTCAGCGGTTCACATTTTGACTTCGTAAGTCTCCATCCACTAAATGGGTTGGGTAAAACCCGCTTAGGCGAATGAGCGAGGCATACTGTTTGCCAGGGCCTAGCCCCAAGCTGTTCGAATTGAAATATGAAGCTGCTTCCTTTTAAGTGTCAAAGCCCTGTCCATTGAATCCAGTGAACAAACTGCTATTCAGAAGCTTGAGAACAGAGCACCCTTTAATTTGGAAGTAAGGGAGCGCGGAACAATGAGTTTTACCCGCAGGCTCTTCAGCAATAGCGGTTACACGTTCAACGGCCAAGCCTTGACCCCCTTTGTGTGTGGGGTGGTTGTGGCCAAACTCGTCCACCCTGTTTGTGGGTTACGCGCATCGGCTGAAGGTCAGCACTTGGCCTCAGTTTGGGTCTGAATAGCCTTTCCAACTGGATAGATTAGAGCCACAGTGGGATTTCATTTTCGAGTTGGAGCCACCTCAAAAGTGGTGGACATGAACCCCCACCCAAACTTGATGTCCAACTGGTCCCCAATCAAATTCCAGGCCCATGGCCATTGATTCATGGGACCTAAAAAGCTGCACCTTGTGGTTTTCTCGAAGGGACCGAATTGGGTCTGGGTGCTTCACATTTTGTCCCTATTTGGGGGTGGTTCCTTCTTTGACTTTGTTGGTACGGCTTCAAATGGCTACAGTTGCCCCATTCGAAGATTGCCATGGCGGGAAACAACCAATCTCTGTGACACCAAAGTAGGCCATCCCTCTGCCTACCTTGCCATTTTAGAAGGGATTCCAATACTGCTATCACAGAAAATGGACCTAGACCCCTTTCCATATGAAGATTGCAGCAGCGCAAATGCCCAGGGCCTACAGTCATGGTCCTGCCATCATGTCTTGCTGCGGCGGCTCACCACCACGGATCGGATCGGGATCAGAGATGCCCCCATTTTGGTTGGGCTCCTTGCATTAGGGGTCTTCCATTTGCTGAAGCCCCCTAAAACAAATACAATGATTCCCATTGGTGATTCCCTTTGAAACGAGCCCCCGCAAGGTCCAAGCACCCAGAGGATCTGACCGAACAAAACAAGTTCAGCTCTTGCCAACCTTCCACTTGTTGCAAGGCTTAATCTTATATATATATAATATGTGTTGTATGAAGAAAAGAAGATGGGTGAAGGGATGATTGTCCCGTATCTCTTGTTTGGCGAACTGCTTACGTGAACTTCCAACACCCCAGGTACCGTGTGGCGGACCCCCATCGCGAAAGCCACAAATTAGCCCCGTTTTAGGTTGGACCATGTCGGATTGCCTAGAACCCAACACGTCTGGGACCCAACATGCTCTAAATTAGCACAGACTGTAATTATTACGTTGGTCCATGTCTTTTTCTTTCGCCGACTCTTGCCCAGAACCTGGTCAACAGAAGGCGGCTTGACCTCACCCCTCAGGCCGCAGCGCCACGAATCCACTGCAAATGGCACTCAGGATGTGCACCGAAGCGCCTCGAATAAAGGACGTTTGTGAGTCAGCAAACGATCAATTCATGGCTTTCTCCAGGAAGCTGCTGTTTTTTTTTGGGGGGGGTCACCCAGCTGAAGCAGAATCCCAGGTTGATTCTAATTGGAAGGTGTCTCATCTAAGGGAGAATGGGGAAGAAGCCCATTTTTTGGCCATGAGGCTCTAGTCAAGTCCGGGGTCAACATGAAGCGATTCATCCGCGGACCGCAGCTGAATGCGGTTCACTTGCTTTACATGTGCTCGTTTAGACTGATTTTGGCCAATCCAAGCCAGTGCCATCGATTCAGGGCAATAGCTTGCTGTTCCCTGCCCCTTTGCAAGTGAGCGTGGCACCTTCGGACCCGAGGAATATATCTTGAAGCGAAAGGTAGCCTTTTGTCTAAGCCGCTAAAACGGTCTTCTCGAAAAGTGAGAAATGTCCAGGAACCCAGGAAGTGAGCTAGGGAATTGCAAAAGGGAAAGCTGTGACATCTATTCTCGACCATTGCCCAATCCTTTGGTGATCATTATTTTCATGTTTTTGGGTTGCCGTGCAAGACTTCAGCGGCTGTCCTGGTCCCCATGCAATAATCTGCATTGTAGTTCATAATTCCTTCACCTGAATAAGGGATCCTCAAGGACCTACATCACAGGTGTTGGCTCGGTTTCCAGATTGGTGGAATGGCTCGCCCAAAAAAAAGAGGCAGAACTTCAGAACAGATAGCCCCATGACGTACCTTTCACAATCCTTACGGCCGTATGGATCAATGGAGCCATACAACCCCTGGCTGAATCAACCTGGTGACTTACTGAATTATAGGGTGTTTTCCAAGGTAAAGGATTGCTTCGTATCCCATCAACACAACTCAGCTCTTGGGTTTCCAGTAAGTTGCTGACCTGAGGAAACCAGGGGCTCCCTTGTCTGCTGATTTTTAAGGACATCCCCCAAAAAGAATGAAACAAAAACTGGCTGAATTCACTTGTTGCAACTGGTTGGTTGGCCCCCCCCATCCGAAGCAAAGCCGCGCTTTCGAAAGCGACGTCCGAGCGGCCATCCGGCAGGCCGGAACGCAGGACGAAGGTCTTGGCTTGGTCATACGTCGACAGCCTCGGATTTGAGAGCGAAAAGGGCTCCCCTGCAGCCAACCCCACCCCGGGATTGGGTGCAAAAACACCCCCCTCCCTGCTGAACGATCTGGAGCTTGGGTAGGAACCCTGCCGTTTGGGCCCAAGCAAAAGGAACAACGCAGGTCGAAAACAAGTTGGGGATGGACAGGGTTCGCAGGCCCCCAAAGTTGAAAGATCGACAATAACAAGTAGCGGAAGCAAACCACACATGGGGGTGTCTTTGTTTGAACGGTACCCACTTTGGGGTAGCTTTAATTACTAGGACAAGCATTTGTTGTTTCGTTTGGGGGTTCCCCTATTTAGAGATGCACCCAAGCGTTCCCAACACAACAATATTTAGGCTGAAGGCCAGTGAAATTGAAATCAAAGGCAATTCATCGGCCACACACCACACAATCAAGGCTTAACAATAATTATCCCAAATCAAACAACGTGACAACACAAGTGGTTCAACCAACCTGACTTGCCCAGAACAATAACAAATGACGTTCTGCTCACACACAAAAGCAAAGCAGCAAACAACGCAACAACAAAATGGCAAACAAATAGCGTCTATTTATAGTGCTCCTTGCGTGCTGGGTCGTGTGTGTGGCTTTTTGCTTTTGCTGTTGTCTTTTTTTGTTTTTCCCCCAACAGCTGAAGGCTTTGGGGTCTCAGCCCAGACAGGCTCTGGGGTAGTCCGGGGCGGCCCTGAGGTAACGTTCCACGAGGGTTCCACCAAAGTTCCACGAGGTTCGAGGTTCTGCGAGGGCTGCGGGGTGGTGCGAGCACTAAAAGAGCACCGCATGCTGTTGGGGATATCACCTGAGTCTTTTTTGTTCTTTTCTTTTTGGGGGGGGAACCCAAAGGCTTCCGGTTGTAAGCATGTTGATTTGTTTGCATACAAATACGGGAACATTCCCACGTGCCTTAAATCTAGATCCATACCTCCAACCCAAGGTCAAAAGGGCACATACTAAGCCGGGATATGGTATAGTCAAAAACGGAAAATCATGGGAACGTGTCTCCGCGTCAACCACGCTCGCCACGCTCACCCGAAGATGTGGGCAGTTTGTCATGTCTGGAGGGAGCTCTCGACCTTTGAATTGCTGGAGCTCGGCCGTACACGCCGGGAGGGTCGACAAGGCCGCGAAGGTTTTGCCAACCTTGCGTCCAAGGATACGCAGAGACCGGTCAACGAAAATAGGGGAGCTAGGGCCCCCCGGCTTTTCGTGAGATTCTGATCAAGGAAACTCAGTTGGGGCCTCTATGATGGGCCGGGTTGAAACACGGTGGGGTAGGGACCACGCGCCAGGTCAAGTCAGTGGCACCATCTCCCTGGTCCATAGGTCTGCTAGGTGAGCTATATGTACGCAGGGGCAATCCCATTTAGACTCTTTTGACTTATTTTCCGGGGACATCAACCGAACAAACGGAGTTTGGTCTTCTAGGCACCAACCCGTGATCAATAAACCCCGGCCTTAACAACCTGAAAACGGCATCAACTCCTAACAAATTCCAACAAAAGGAGCCATACTCATGTTCCCCGCAAGGATGGACAAAACTCTGCACCATGGCAGGATGAACCCTGTGAGTACCGGTTGATAAACCATCCCAACTCGGGCCGATGGGCGTGCAATTTGTCCATCCGAAATACAACGAACAGCATGTTGCCCATGGTTTGCTGGTGCTCAGAAGGGGATGGGTGTTGGGAATGAACTTAGGGATTCCCTTAGAAGAAACCACGGGTGGGATATTTTGTAGGGGTCCTTCCGATTCTCATTCCCCGCCTATTCTCGGTCCTCCAGTAGAGAGGCTAGAATAAGGGTACCCACTTTTTTCTGTAGTCCATTCTAGGGCACCCTCCCAACCAAAAAGGTTGGCCGAGCTGGGGGGCCCAGTAATTCTCACAAAGCACTCAGTAAAACAAGGTTACCCATGGCTTGTGAATCTAGGGATTCCTGAAAGGAAACCACCAGGGATGGTTTGTAGGGATCGTTCCATGTCTCATTCCCTGCCACCGATCGCATCCGTTTCGTCCAGTGCCTTGGGCGCCAGGCTCGCCAAGGTTCACCAGCGCGGCGCGCTGCACGTTGATGCCCACGCCCCGGTACAGACCCTGCGGCGCCCGGCTCCCGGCTCGCTCGCTCGCGCTTTGGGGTGCCTTTGGCTCGGGGTCCAAAAAAAGGTGAGCTGGGGCGTGTGTTGTTTCTTTGGTTTCTTTGGCCTGTGCAGCTGTTGTTTGGGGGTTTGGGGGCTCTCCTTTCTGGGGCCTACGGCAAGCCCCGAACGGAGAACGGGGCGAAACGATTCGTAAGCCAAAAGCCGTGAGTTAGCCCTGGGCTTTACAAAATAAACTGGGGATTTTTGACAGGGCTTTAGCAGCTGATCTCTTCAGAGGTGTATCTGTTTTTAGTGATGGGAGCCCTCTCTGCAGATGTGCTAGAGAAAACAAAAGTAAGTCAATGGCCCATCATCTTGAGACCCGTCATTATCAGGCCAACCTAGGCCCTCCAGTAGAGAGGTTAGAATAAGGGTACCTTCTTTTTCTGTAGTCCATGTTAGTGGGGAAACCCTCCCCCAAAAAGGGGGGAGAAGGCCACTACTGGGGGACCTAGAAACCATTTAACAAACAGAGCTCCGTGTATTTCCACTTTCATTACCCCAGCCCCGAGCCTTCACGCCCTCCTCTCGGAGGATGCGCTTCAGCACCGACATCTCGGAAGTGGGATCCGCGTCCGAAGGCTGACAGCTAGTAACTCAGGGGGCCCAGCTCCCCTTGGCGGTTAATCACCACCTGGAGTCTCCATGACCCTTGAAAAAATGGTGGGTCATTTCCCCCAAAAAGTTGGGGTCATTGACCCATTTAGGGTCATGGAGTCCAGGCACCAAAGTGGGTCCCTTGGCGGTTCTTGGTGGTTTTGGACGTGGGAGTGCCTTCCCCAAAAGGAGCTGGGGTTCAAACCCCATCACCACCAAAGGGGTCCCAAGAAACCACAAAACCAACACCTTTTGGCCCAAGAGCGAGGGATCCCTTTCGCTGCCAGGTGCCTCCATCGAAAACCGACTCCCGTTTTCGGAAATGTCGACCGCTTTTTCGCGGGGATTCTGCACATTAAAGCATGTGTTCCTTTTCCCAAAGGGAAGGTCTGGACGGTCCAAAGGTGTGGCTTCCCGAAATGGTTCTCCACGGTCCGAGTGATATAATGATCATGGACAGCACACTGTTCCCCGCACTCTGACGGCATGACAACGGCAGCAGACCGTGTATGTTTATCCCATGTACAGCGGCTCAAGCATTGGCAGCCGAAGTGTTGCCAAGTTACACACATCAACCACATACTGATGTGCCGAAGTACACAAAGGTTAACAAAATGACGACCGCACACCGGGTCCCTTACAGCAACATCCTCAAAATGGCGCTCAAAATTGCGGCTCAAGGGCGACCACCCCGACGTATTTTTGAGAAGCCCACAAAATGTTCACAGGGACCATTTGAACGGGGATGGCCTTCAGGTCAAAAAAGGCGGTTTTCAGGGCGCCCAGGGATTCACTCATTGGGGCCCCCAAATTTTGGACACATACGCGGGCGAGCGATTTCCAGCGCGGCACATGCATCCAACTGCGCTCGAAACCGCTCTGCACGGGTTGCGCAGATCCAAGAACCTTTCCATACTCAAGCAAGCAAGGCGGCCGGACCCCCCCCCCCCCCAACTCCCCTGGTGCACGGACATTTCTGCCAAAACCAGAACAATAACAACCGCAATTGAAGGCCTTTCGAGCCGCTTCGCGCTTTTCCGCTCAGCTTTTCTGAATACGACCTACGTGTTTGGCAGGAACAAGGGAACCAGGCGTTCAAGGATGCGGCCACCGGGCCACCAACATATCTGCACGCATTAAAACATTTCCAAAAACTGAAAGTAAACAAATCGTCAACCAGATCTTTAATAATGCTGCAAAGTCTGTACTATTTCTCAGTTGCCCAAATAGTGAACCACATGTAGCTGTTTGATCTATTCGAATATTTATAAACAATGTGTATTTGTTGGTTGATTGATATATCAAAACAAGTTCCACTCAAGGGGTCGTTATCGCATCGATCGATTTGGGCGTCCGGGCAAATCCCTGGCGACCGCCCTCGTGTACGAGAACTACCTGGCAGCGTCAAATGGGTGACAGGCAAAAACCTGCTGAGTTGATCTGGCCACTGGATGTCCGCTACGAAGGTCGCAGCCTGCTGGTGATTTCCAACATTGAGTAGACATGTCATATTTGCGTTTACTTTTGAACGGGGGATATTCTGGTGGACATCAAGTTTAGGTGGGGCTTGAGGCCCACCAAGCACTTTGCAGGTGGTTCCCTAGAAAAAAAAGAAGCACATCACAAAAAAAACTCCAACAATTCCAATACGCGATGCCCTCATAAAGGACCTTCATGATTTCGTTTTGTCTCAGGCAAGCTCGCCATAAACAACAGGCAGTTGCTAGCAAAGGTGTCTACCCACCAAACCCCGGTCTGGATTTGTCAACCCCATGTTTGGGCTGGTTGTTGTGCGTTATCACTTAGACTTGCAGGAACGCTAAATGACTTCTCTCCCCCCCAAGTCTCACTCAAGCCCTGGGTATAAGACCTTGGGGCCGGGCTGGTGCGACTAAAGGGCCAAGTCCCCAAAGCTATGTGAAGACTCAAAAGGGCGACCGCACCTTGAGATGTCCCACTGACTCATCTTCCCGGGTGTTTGTGGCTCAGGTGGCAAGGTGAAAGGCCCCAATCGGAGTTTGGATCCTATGGAACATGTGATCCCCGTAAACCACCACAAAGGGGTCCCCTGGCTGAAAATGTCGGTACGGGAAAGGGCCCACTCACTCAGACACCGCAGAAAGGAACAAAACCGAGGAACACGCTACTATGGGCCTGAAATGGCGTAAACCCGGCCATGTTTGATTTGCTGTACTACGAGTTGGTCTATTTAAACCACTCGACCTCCAGCTCCCAAGAGAAATTGCATGACATGGGGGGTACGAGCTCTCCAGCCAGCTGTAGCTCCACAGTTGAGCCTCGAGAATGCAGCACAAGAAGTCCATCACTTTGCTTGGGATCGCGGCTGGGGAGATACCAGGCAACAGCAGAGCCGACACCGGGGTTTGTTGTTCCGAGAAGTCGTGGCACGGAGCCCCGTCGATGGAAACCCCCTTGCAGACCAAGACTCTTGGATCCGGTGGAACCAGCTGTCCTCCATGATCTCTACGCTGAGGTAGGTCTTCAGATCAGGCTTCACCCCGATTTGTTGTCCAAGACGTAGATGGTTGAGCAGGAACAGATCAAGCTGCACCCGCACTCCTCAAAGCTCCTCTTCAAGACATCGCTTGGGTGGAAGAGAGATAAGAAAAAAGGCCATGCTCCGGATCGTCTCTATGAACAAAAACACGCATGTGGCATCAACAAAAACCGGACTCTGGATCACATATCTAAGAAGCCCCAACATGATTTGGAACCAAGCGTACAGCAATTGAAACCCCCCAACAAAAAACACATCGCACAAAACAGCCCCAAATCATTGTGACCCTGAAAAAAAGCCCGCACCCTGACACAACCGTAGGAAACATTGGTGGGAAGAACTGAGCACCAACAAACCAAACAAACCTAAAATGACATACCAAAAACACACAAAAAGAAAACTGCCCACAACAAACCAAACACATCAAACAACCAGAAACAATCCAAAAACTAAAGCACCCAAACCAAATGCTAACATTTTCTGACCTCCAGAGACCTCAAAACTGGGCTGTCCTCAGATCCCCCGCTCAAAGTTTAACGTTTAGTGGGTTAAATGAACAAATCCAACCACTAAAAAGCCCAAAAAGCCAAAATATCTAAAAAGCTAAGGAGCCGGATGGCTGGGAGCCACCCAGAAAACCAAAAAACACCGACTCCGTTTCCACTTTCGACGTCTCCTAACCCACTTCGACGCATTTGACGCATTCGACGAATTCGTCATCCGACGCCGACGCCTTGAGGCGGTCTGCCGGGGAGGCCACCGCCTGCGCCAGGCCCCCGCCCAGCAGCCCCGCGCAGCCGCGCACCGCGAAGCTGTCGGCGCCTCTGGAGCTGTGGCCTCGGAGGATCAGCCGACGGAGGCGCTTACCTAGGTCCTCCAGTAGTTTGAGGTTAGAATCAGTTGGTACCCAACTTTTTTTTTCTGTCGATTTTAGGGGAACCCTCCCAACCCAAAAAAGGGAAGAGGGCACTATTGGGGGACCTAGTTACAGCGCGATCGGATCAGATGGACTACTTGAGAGTTCAAACCACGTGGAATACTTCTTGGTTTCAAAATGGATGTCAGGTGGGGAGCCCCATTCCAGCCATAACCATGGTTTTATCTGCTTACTATCAAGTAGGGGGGCTATTCCTGTAGCCCAGGATAAGCCAAAGCAGCAGCAACATCCCCAGGCGCTGGCGCATCAACACCAAAGTTGAGCAGAGTAGAGCGCTAGAGGTTCACCATTCCCAGACGCAAGTTGTTGCCAGGCACAGCTGGCTGTTCACCCTGCGCGGGCCTGAAAGTAGCCCCGCCGTACGCATAACCAAACTATAGGCGCTGCCAAACTGCAGGTAGAACTTCGCCCAGGCCGCCCACTTTGATGTCACCTTGTGCTCTCGTGACCGCCCACGGTAACTCAACTCAGAATCTTTGGCATGCGCAGCGCCCAGACGCTCAGAAAGCGTTGGGGGTCTCTATGCGCTTGATCGCCGACGTTCTCGACCATGATGTAGCGTTGCAGATGTTTCAAGAAACTAGAAAGCCAAACACTATTTGCAAAACCACAACGGTGCGAGGCAGGCTACTAAGAGCTCCCTCTGTAACCCTTACTATTACTGTACATTTATAAAACCGAGTGGTAGGACCACCTACCAAAATTGTCAATGGCGGCTTTGGTCGCTGTAGCTCAGTTTAGTAAAGGGCAAAGCTGCAAATGGTATTAACGTTGACCCAGTGGCCCACGAAAGCTTGGGACCCCCTCCCCATAGCCCGTCCATGCGAGAAGGAGGGGAGGGTTCACGTCCAGGACTCGATGGTTTCCTGACCCGAAAGTCTGTGAATGGCGATACCAGCTTCAATTGGAAGACCAGGTCATGTTTAGCCAAAAGGCAAATTATGCGGCACCTTAGCCTATATAGACAGGGCTGCAAGGCACTCCGTGTTTCTACCAACATGGTGAATATGGCTGTCTCTTTTTAAGGGCCCCCTGTTGATTGGTTTTAGATAGGAGCAGGAAACCCGTTGCCATTTTGAGGAAAGCCCCACTTTGAGAATCAGTATATATTGGGTTGGCGGTTTCAAGCTAAAGTGCGAAGGTATCTTCACATCAGGAACAAACTGGTGTGCAAGAATCTCCGCTAGTAGGACTAAGCCCTCACCCTATCAACAACTGCACCCTGATTGAAATTTCAGACCGCGCCGTCATCCGCAGACCCTGACGAATTCGCCGGATCTCCAAACAAGCTTGCCCTTGCCACAGCGAATGATTCGATGGGCAGTGGTCCCAAAGTGTACTTCTGGAGGACAGCTTCGAAATGTCCCGAGCGTCTCGAGCTTTTCTAGCACTCCAGAAGAAGACCACAACTACAGTTCACGGGGTTGGCTTCCCTTTGGTTTCCACTTGAAACTGTGCAAAAAGGGGACCCCCCACCACGGCTCCCCTCCAAATACAAACCAATGAAAGCGGGCGCCCCGTGTCAGTTTCGACTTGGGCTCACGCCAGCAAAGATCCGGCGCAGCTCCTCAACTTTGAGAGACCGACTCCGCGCCGGACCCCGCGCCGGAGCCGCTCGCGCCGAGCCATGACTTCACTCGAGTCGATGGCCGAACTTTCTGTTCACTTGATCCCTTTTAACAGTGACTCAAGCCCAGGAGTGAGATAAACACATTCTAGGTTCTCCAGTAGAGAGGTTAGAATAAGTTGGTACCCTTTCTTCTGTAGTCTATGTGAGTAGGGTAACCCAAAAAAAAAGTAAAAGGGCGCTACTGGGGGACCAAGCATTGAAACTGTACTGTAAAGGATATCGGGTTATGGTTCAAACAGGACACATGAGATAAAACCAGCCAAGGGCACACGGAGGCACCCAAACGAGAGCCATGTGACCCCTTCAGACGCATCTTTCAGCTTGAAGTTGGGAGGACGAATTCCTTCAAAACCATCTGGACATGAGGAAATAAGGAAATACGTCGAGTCCCTGGTAGTGATTTGCGCCAAGTCCCCGAACAGGCCATGGATAGGTCGGGCACATCCCATGTGTTTGGCTGGCGCAGCATTGGGACACACTCATGTTAGAATCAAAAAAATAGTGGCAGAACCAATGCTGAACGTTTCCTCTTCTTGGTGGCTTGGAATGGTGGTGTGGAGGTGTTCCCTCTGCAACCGAAGCAGAGAGATTCTTTGGGCAATTTGGACCCCAAAGCTTTCAGCTGAGGAAAAGGGGCACATGGAGTTGGGCCTATCGGCCCGAATAGAAAACATCACGACGCCCCTGCCAACCCATGTGTGACGTTTTGTTTTCTTCTTCTTCTTCTTTTTTCTGTCCATACTTACGGCTTGGGCCACACACAAAAATATGGCCATACGGGAAAAACGCCCCAAATGCGGGTTCCGGCCGGGAAAACAAAAAACGGGCCATACGGCTTTCCAGGTCCTCATAGATCGAAATCCGCAGGGAGGAGTAGATGAGGTGCCGCACCACAGCCGGCCTCTGGAAAGCATCATGGCGGCTTTCAGCGCGCCCCTGAATTCTTGGAAGAGATCTTTGGAGGTGCTGTCAACCCAAATTTGGCCAACAAAGAGTCAAATTTGGCTAGGCGAGTGGAACCACAAATAAAACTGCCTTAAGGAACCTGCGGGACAACGGCCGGCTCTGGACAAGTGACAAAGGCGCTGCTTGAGCAGAAAGAGAAAGGACAACTTGGATGTTCAACCAACTTAGCAAGTAGGCTATAACAATGGTTCTAACCAAGGCAACTGGGGTTAGTCTATCCTACTGGATGGAACACCCAAGAAGTACAACCCCTCCTTGGATGACATGTCAGGTGTGCGGTGAATAACCCGGGCAGCTAAGTCCTAGAAACAGTCGCCACCAAAGATCCACCTGCCGATTCATGGCTCGGAAGAAGCCCTCAAAACAGGGCACCTTGAGGTCTTCATTCAGCCCCCAATATCGGGGGCTAGAGACTTGCAGGGCCCAAGAGGTGCCATTTCTCCCTCTCTCTCTCTCTCTCTCTCAATAAATAAATATATATATATATATACATATATATATATATATGTCTCTCGGCAATCAGAAAGGTAAAGCTTCCGAGCAACAAAAACAAGTCCGAGGCACCAGCTGGATGCCGGCATAGACGCCCCCTGCGCGAGTCCATTTGTTGGTTTCCTCGCCATTGGTCGGTCCTTTCTTGAGTCGCTTCCCAGCTTTTTAGTGGGCTTTTCTAGGAGTTGATGCCCCATTCTTTTCAACCATCGTTCTTTTCAAAAACCAGATGTTTCTCCAGGGTTTTGGGCGGTTTTGTACAAAGAAGGATGCCTGGAAATAATGGGGAAGGTACCCCTAGAGTTTTAAAGGGAAGCCACAAGGAACCCACAAGGAACCTACAATAGTCGGTTTTCAATTGAGCCCAGAAGGAAAAGCGAAGCCGAATCAAAAGACAGGGCTCCCTTGCACGAATGTGGAGATTTGAATACGTCATTATCTGGGCTTTGGTGTGGATTTCCCTTCAGCAGAACTACACCATGGAATTTCGCCTGGAGGGGATTTGAGAACTGGCTGATAGGAGTTTTAGCACCCCAAACCACTACTATAAGGGAAGCATGGTGTATGCAACTACACAGACCCTATGCAGAAGGTGACTCCGATTTATCCGGGGGGTAGGTTACAGTTGGTTGGGGGGGCGAAAAAATGACAACACTGACAGGTTGGAGTTGTCCAAGTTCTCAACTAAAAACCATGCGCTAGTTACCCTCTTGCCACATATGTGCTTATCGAGGAGTGCCAACATGCAGAAAGCCTCTGCAAGAGGGGGCCCATCGGCATCAAATCCGGCAACACGAACCAGAGAGGATATCTGCCAAAAGATGCATCCTGGGAAGCCAAGATCGGATTTCACGTGTGTGGATGTAACCATCAGAGCTAGTCCAACCTTCTCTTGGGCAGTCCGATTGCCATGCAAGACAAAGACGGATCAACAGCTCTGACATTGAAACGCGGCTGCCAAAATTGAGCAATTGGTGCCTTCCGATAAGTTGAGTGAGCGCGAAGCTACCTCAGCGCAATAATCAGGTTTGGGCTGTTTCAATAAGATGTTTGACGCTGGTTCATACAGCTTTGCTTTTTTTGGCAGAAGGTTTGGTGTCGGTTTGCAGACATGTTAGTGCAAAGCCACAGACTTTGTGATTCCACTATTTTGAAGACAAGCCCGTATCCTGATCAACATGGAATGGGGTCGAGGGAAACTTTGAAACTTCCATTTGCTTAAGCCCCATGGAAAAAAAAAACATATTTCCAGTAGTCCTAGATTCCCTTAAAAACCAACAGGGGAAAAACACAAAATATTCATGAGCAAATGGACGGAAGCCAACATGAGTTGCGGTCACAAGACGAGCAAGGTGTGCAAAAGATCAGCTGGACAGACTGGAGCCAAAGAGAGCGAGAAGAAGCTCATGGGCATCTAAGGATCTTGACAAGCGCCACTATTCTCCCAGTGCTTCCAGGTAGCACTATAGCAGGCAACCAGGGTTTGCTACCTTTTACATGATGGTTTTTGCCTTGGTTACGTACTATCGTGTGGGAATGCCGACCGCTGATTCCCAGATTCTCCACCAAAAAAGAGGAATTCGTCCATCCACAGTAAAATTAAGGTGTCTATAGTTGCAATGCCCACCCCTGATTCACAAACCCGCCCAGATTCTCCACGAAAAAGAGGAATTCGTCCATCCACAGTAAAATTAAGGTGTAAGATCAAATGAGACCGAGATCTCAGTGGCTCCCTGCGTACGTCCCCGGAGCACTCTGAGAATTCTGGGGCCCAGACTAATTCCCTGGTCGCGGATGGCCGTTGACTGAAGCGCACGAGAGGACTCTCGATGCGACCCGTCTGGTGAAAAACGAATTTGAGCTGATTTTGTTTGGGGGGGAGTTATGTTTTGTTTGGGGGGTTGACAGGTCAACATCTGTTTGGGGCCTCGATCTCATTTTGAGTGGGTCCTGAACCCACCAAGAAAGGATTTGGAGGTTGCCACTGAACAGGGCCCAACAAATTCCGGATCCAACTGTTAAGGCCTTGTTTGGCATTGTTTGGTCCAAATAAAGCTTACCCTCCCTCCAATCATGGAAGGGTTGTGGAAGGCTATTGTCCTTTTCATGAAGAGCCCTATCCAGTTCCACGATTGTTGCAGGGAGGGGTTCCCGGGGAATCCTAGTACTCAGCCCGATCCAACGCAAACCAGCGACCTCCAGCGCGCGTCCTTTCAGTAAGCTCCCCATGGGTTAACCGCATTAGATCATGCCCGCGCAATGTTGTCTCTCTGCACATGTGCGTTTGTGCTTGCCGCACTTATAAGGACTCACATAAGCTGGACGTATTCATAGATGCCGTGCGCTTGTCTGCGGGTCCATATCAACCTCGCTCAAAAATGTCACACGTCCCCATGAACCTGTGGATGTAGGTCTACATCTTGCGTCCACTAGACTTGAGACGCAAAAGCAACCAGGCACACTAGCTTGAACTGGGGCCATCCCTACAATTTTGCTTTGAAGTACTTCCTTACCCTCTGGTCAACATGGAACTCACCAGGAAATTGCCCCTTTTGAGGGAAATGGCCCAACCCCGGATATGTTGGCGGATGGGAGGGCATAGAAAGTGGACCTCAAGACCTTTTCACAGAAGCAAGCCGACAATCTAGTTTCAGCCACCCATTCCAAGACAGCAAACCCAAAAGCTGACCTTCATCCCGCCACGGAAAACGACCAATGGAGCTTGGCCTTTCACACTGCCCTTTTTGAGGACACCCAAGCGAAAATCTAGAAAACTACGCCGCACATTGGTAAAACACGATTTTGCAACCGTGAGGACTGAATCTCCAACAAATCGTGGCAATTGCCACAGTGTTCAGCAATCCCAACACCTGAAACACTAAGGTATTTCTACCTACCTAGACTCTCCATGACCCTTAAAAAATGGTTGGTCATTACCTAAAAAAATGGGGTCAAACGGACCTGTTTTTGATTCGTGTCAGAAGGAGACTCCAGGTACATCAAATAGGCGTTCCATCGGTTTTCTACCGGATCGGCTTACGGAACCGCTGGTGGGCTTAGGCCGAAGCCAGAGCACCGAAGAAGCCGCGCCTGGCATGGAAAGAAAGGAGGGAATGCAGGAATGAAAAGGTCCTCCAGTGGAGAGGTTAGAAAATGTTGGTACCCGATTATGTTTTTCCGTGGTCTATTTTAGTAGGGGAACCCTCCCAACCAAAAAAGGGGAGAGAAGGGCACTACTACATAGAATTGCTATGGTCAGTAGAGATTCGTTCGAATAACCCAGAGGGTCCCTTGGTACCTTCTACAGGGATCCTTACATTATACACCTGAACATTGCAACTTGTACATGGCGGTTTCCCTTTATTTTAGAGGAAAAAGCCATGTTTCAATTGGTTGCAACATGTATCTTTTAAGGAGCCCTGTTCTAAGGAGCTACTGAACGACCCCTTTTACGTTTTTACCCCTAAACGCCATCCTCATGAGGTACTTGGACGGGGAATGAAGGCCCAAGTTTTGGGCGGAACGTCCTGCAATCATCTGCTCTTCAGAAAATCTTACACCACGCCCGCCGCGCATCTAATAAATTGAGTCCTCGTGTTGACTGGTTGGTTGCAATGGGCTGGTAAATCCGAGGCACCTGCCTGTGGATATCATGAATCCATTCCAAACCTATGCACGAAATCTCCTAAAAGCCCCTTCCGCCTAATCCATCTTCAAATGGGTATGTTACAATAACAACACCCCCCTCCCCCAAAAAAGAATAAAAACAAACTGCAAACCGGCCGACCCCAAAAAAGCCACCCTACAAAACACGCACCCAGAATCTCAACACCTCAAAAGGGGGACCGTGATAGGCGAGCTCTCACCAAAGGGCTTCCGGGTGAGCCACATGGAACTTGTCCAAATACATGCGGAGCTGTGGCTCGTCGATCCATTGCCAGCCATTTGTAGTTGGCATTTTTGACATATGTTCATGCAAAGGTCAAGTCTTGGGGAGCTGGGAACACCCAGGAGCATTTATTTTTCTATACAGTCTATACATGGTAATCGTAACTCCAGATTCATCCGAGGACCCTACAAATCAGGGGTGGTTCCTTCATAGCAGGGGAATGATCTATTTTAGGGGGAAGTCCTCTCACATTCCAAACCTAAAACATGGGATGTCCCAAGCAATGGACCGTCAAGGATTCAAATGGAGCCCCGGAAGTGGGTCTGATCCCAAAAGGAGCTTCCATCCTCGAGAAATACCCACGGCTGGCAGTTTCCAGTATAGGCCACCAAGGGAGTTTGTCATGTAAAGCCCGGAATCCCGGAAGAACTGGCATGGACTGGGCCAGGTTTTTCAGGTAGGATGGCAGTTCAGTGACCCTGGCAACAAAAGGGAACCAATTCTTTTTGGGGCTTGGACCATTTTTAGTGGGGGCAGCCAAAAAAACTGGAAAAAGAATTGGGGCATGGATTGGGCTTTCATGTAGGATGGCAGTGCCAGGAGTTCGTCATGTCGCAACACTGGGACGCCGCGCCCAGACTTGCGGCGGGGGGCCGGATGGTCCGCCAAAACGCTGCTGGTTTGACAGACCTCCATCAAAAGCTTCACTGTGCGCTAAGGACAGTCCTGCCCAGCAGCGTTCAGAACGGGAGCGACATGCTGCACGTAGAGTTGGCTGGAGCTAGGCGACTGTTCTATTGCAATCGCGGCTCCCCTGGCCCGCGCTATCAAAGTGCTGCGAAGCGCCTGTTGATGCAATTCGCTTCTGTAGAACTGGGCTCGGTCGTGTTCAATGGATTGTCCGCCGTCCAGTGAACGCTGGAACTGTAAATCTGCAAGAGAGTTGCTGCCCAGGTGGCAACATGTCCCGTTGCTGCATTCCACCCAAAGGAAACTCACTCAAAAACGGCCCGTGATGTTCCACAGGTGATAGTTGACCAGGATATTCCCGTTCGACCCAATCAGGAAGCACCCTTCAGCGGCAACTAAACTGGACCTGAAGAGTGATGATGGTTCCATCAAAAACAGCCAACCTGACCTAAAAAGGACACCTGTGGCCCCTCGATTTTTCCGTGAAGGGGAGCGTTGCACCGCGGCAATGACCCACCCGACACCAAATACCACGTATAACGCCAAACTCTGGATTTAAAAGTATGCTTTACACGAGCAACCATGAAACTCCTGGAAACCAAAGAACCCTTAGGGTCACCTCACCCGGCAAGGGTCCTCCAGCCCTCACTCACTTCACCAGGTGTGCTTGCCGTTTGGGTGTGTGCAGTGCCACACTTAAAGAGAGCGCGCTTATCATTTGGCAGGCGCGCAGTGCTGAGCGGGTGCACTTGAGGAACACTGCAAAACACGCCTGATCTTGATGATATAGGACAAGCAACGACCCACTCGCGGGGTTGACACCAAACAACGCTAGGTTGTTCAGTAGAGAGGTTAGAATAAGGGTCCTTTTTTCTGTAATCTATTTTTGTAGGAGAGCCCTCCCCCAAAAAAGAAACGGTAGAAGGGCACCTAGCTGGGGGACCTCGAACACTAGGCGGTTCAGCCCCAAGAAAAGACTCCCCTTCCCTCCCCTGCCTGCCAACGTGCAGCTGCATCCGCGTTTTTGCAAAGTCAATGGGGAAGGTCACCGCTTCTGCAGTGGCCGCAGACCTAAGGGTGTGCCAAACTGGACCCAAATTCCAGCATTGCTTCCTATTGCTTTCCCTACTTCCAGCCTGAAAAGGGGTGCCCTCAAAGGCACACACACGCAGATCTCATGTTGCCAACTGTTTTGTTTAACCGTGGGTGAATGCGGGTGACGTTACAAACCCTCCGGAACCTGACGTCGTTCTAAGTTGCCCCATTCATCCTTCTACCCCATCGGTCCAGATCTGCCCTCGCGATCCGAGATATCTGGGGCCAACGCATGGCCACCATGGCGACTCGCGTGCCACGGGGACATTCCTTGGCCTGCAGATAGCAGGTCAGAAGGGTGGGAATGCAATATATACATATATGTACGTATGTATGTGTATATAAATATATGCATATATATATATATATATTATGTATGTTAATTTCAATTGGGAACCCTTTTGGTGGACATCATTCACGTGTTGGAGGTGCTCCCCATGTCATATTTCAGCTCAAAGCCGTATGGGTGCGGCTCATTGGTCTGACAAAGGAAAACCAGATGGACACCAGCCAATTTGCGTCATGCTGGAAACTACTCCGAAAAGACACCTTCATCAGACCTGGAATCGCTCCGGCCAATATGTACGAGTTTTAGCCGTTGTTGGCTGCATACTGCGTATAATAGGACAACAGGCAGTTTGCGCAATCGATGCTTGTTATATTGGTGCACGCTCATGGGTCAGAGCAAAGGTTGTGGCAGCAATGATTTTTAAGGCCGCCTATGAAGAAACGACGATGGACAAAAAAAAGCGCCGCACCAGTTTGGGGAGATCCCGGTTTCTGCCGGAGGATGCAAAAATGGCCTGTGTGAGTCCTAGGCTGATTTTTTGGCCGGAAGGAGTTTCCATGGATGCCCCACGTACAGAGGATGGACGAAATCCATTTCACACTACCGTCCAGAAACCCCACGGAATGATTCGATCCCCCACCTTATTTCAACCAGCCTAACAAACCGCTGGAATGATTCGATTGCCCAACGTAGTCACATTAGCCAACAAATGGTTTCAACCAACACCCTGGGGTTCAAACCGCCATTAAAGTTCATATCACCACCATTGTTTGCTAAGGATTGTCATCATCCAAATTGGGTCAACCTTTCTTTTAATGGGAGCTGAACCCTAGGGAAACAGTAGCCCCTGATTTGTTCTGCATGTTTCTTTAAATGTCTTGTCCGACCGGCGCCGGCCTTGGACGCCTCCGCCATGTCTAGGCATAAGCACGGTGTTTCCGCGAACCGAAACGAGTGATATCTGGGCTGTCCTCAGATCTCCCTGTAAAAATGGGGTCAAATGGATAAACCCCAACCAAAGCCCTAGAAAGCTAAAAAACAAGGGGGTGACTAAACGCCACCCAGATAAAGATCATCGAATTGCTCTCAAGGGCCCGCAGCAAGTTCTTGTTTGCAGGTTAGCGGCAGGAGGAAACCCATGTTCCACAAGAACCTCCCTTTCAAATGAACAAAACCAGAAAACCACCAATGGAGGAAGCTTCTGTTGGGTTCCTTCCGTTGCTTGCAAAAGAGTACAGGTTCTTTTGGCCGAACCAAGGAGCAGCCGTGCACAAGTTGAATCTGGACTCGACTTTACTCGAAGACAGCCAAGGTGAGATCTTTTGACTGGGTCGCGACTCGTGTTTTCCACCCTTGGGACCCGATACACGTACACGCTTATCGCGGTCAGGCTCAAAGAGCTGCAAGGCTGCGGAGAAGCAACATGGAAGCCACCACAGGTCCTGTTAAAAGCAACTGGTCTTCCCAGACCTGTGCAGTTGACAGTAGGCGAACCTGTCGCATATTCCCTGGCAGTTGACTGATGACACAATGGACACGGCTATTGTTTAAACAGCCGCCACAGGCCTCCGTGCGGTGTCCCAAGCAAGCCTCAGGGCGCCTGCGGTCGCCAGCAACCACTTTCGAGGGAATTTCTGGGAACGGTTCCGGTTCTGGTCATGTCCGAGCTGGTACCCCCATTGAACATCGCAATCCGCACTACAATATAGGTTCCAAATTGGGTGGTGCACCTACCCCGTTGCTTTTGACCCACAGCCATTTTGGTTCTGTTTCTACCAGCTCAAAGGACTCAGGGGGCTCCTGAGCCTGAGCAAGGAGCCATGAGGACAGGATGTCCCGAGCTTGACGCCATTTGTATCTTCCTATCACATGCCCCACCATCTCAGTCGGAAAATCCTTCAAATGGCTGGTTGTCAAACAGTATTAGTGAAAAGCACGTTTCAAACTTCGATCCACCCTTCTTGGACAGGCTCAGGCTATCTGAGTTGACAAGCCCTACGGTCGATGCTTCAGGGAAATCTCGGGGGCCCGTGGCACGGTGAGCGCAAGGCTTGCGGCGCCCCTCAGATCGCTTTGGGGGCCTTTCTCAAAGTTGATCACCATCCTTCCGGGGGCAAACTCAGGCATGGAAATTCATATCAATCCGAGAAGCTGGTATAACCAAAAAAAAAGGTATATCCGCAAAACACAATTAAAGTGGAACTTGACTTGACCCTCAGGGTTCTTCTTTAAAACCAGCTGGTCAGAGGACATCGAGCGGAACGTTCTGCAAAAGAGATGGCTCAGCTTTTCAGTTCACGGCTCGACGAATAGCATGCACTTCGGCGAATTGCCGCGAGCATCTTGCTCTATGCATTGCCCTGAAACCTGCTCAGATCAAAGACAACCTTTCCTGCTATTCAAGACCAAACAAAACGGGAGGGTGAGCTGATTGAACCACTAGGGAAACGGCCTTGGGTCTGTGCCTAATGTGGACCCCGGACAATTGCTGGGTTGCTTTTTGTTGAGTTTCCCTTTCAAAAGACTCCAAACGGATCCAGAGAAACAAACACTCATTTCGCAACTTGGCCGGCGAAACCCCGGCCCTGCGGCCGACAGCTTCGGAGATCTTTTGACAGGCCAAACCTCGGCCATCTGGGGTACACGCAAAAGACATATGGTCGGTTTCATGTCGCGCTTCCTTGGTTTGGCCAAGAAAAGCTCCCAAACTTTTTCTTTGCCCTAGCATGGCCCGCACCCAAAAACCAGTTCCTGAGTGCTAAAGCCCAAACTGTTCCTGAGTGAGTCCGAAGGAGGGAAGAATCACCCATCCCCTTTGACTTTGTTTGGGTTTCCCTTTGGGAGGTGTTAGAAAAAGCAAACATATGTGTGTGTGTGGATAGACCAATTCCCGCACCAGTCAATAGGTGGTTTATCGAGTCATAGAGTGTCCTCCATCGAAACTGCTGCGCAGTGGATTTCTGTCAATTCAGCCTCCCAGCAATTGACATGGAACGTGACGTTCGGCCCCCAACCTGTTAGGTTCCATGAAAATTGGTGGGAGGGTACCAGTATGGCAATGCTTGAATCAGTGTCGTACATTTTGCAGGAATCCTTCTACTGGTGAAACTGCGAGCCTCGCGCCCAATGCCCTCAGCATTGCGGCAGATCAACGCCGAATCGGCTTTCAACAGCAAGCCAAACAGCTTGTGCTTTATCTTGAGTTGCACTGCGTCCAGTTTGGACATTCTGAAAATTATCTCCTAGATTGTGGTTGGAGGGGAACCCCCCCCAAACATAAGTTGTGAGTGAGAGCCAATCAAAATCGAGCCACTTTGAGCGAACCAGATGTATGGGATGTCACACTCGGTCTCTGAGGGTGATGGTTTCTTCACCACTGAAGCGATCTGCCCGAACACATTCCAGGAGCAATAAATACCTCTGGAGGGTCCTTTACCTTTCTCTACTGAATGAACCCCTGGTTGACAGGAGGATCCCGACCTTAGAGGGGGTCCGTCACTTCTGGGGGCATCACTGCATCACTCCCTTGCGACTCAGGCTGACGAATCAAGTGCCCAAACAAGAGCAGCAACCTAGCAGCCTTGATCGTCGCTCAACCCATTGTGGAAAAAAAAAACGACCAAAGTGCACAGGTTTTCCCTTTTTTTCCCAGACCTCCCAAAAGAAACGACCAAAGTGCACATCCTCAGACCTCCCTTTTGGTGACCTTACGAAAGGTTCAAAGGTTCTCTCCCGAAACGCATGAACCCTGGGTTCAAGCAATGACTTGGGACAAGGGATGACCATTAATTGCAAACTGTTCAGAGACTCAACCAGCGACATTTGCAAGTGCAACCTGGCCCACAAAATCCTTAGCCGGATATTAAAACGCAAACTGAACACTTTACGGGATCGCTCCGTACAAAGAACCTGTGTTCGAATGCCTCCTACTTTGTCTACCCCGAATGACATCTTTGAATTGGCTGCATGGAACCTCGAATTTGGCATCTCGTGTGCGGTTGTGGTAAAGTAGATCAAGTTGTTCATGTGCTCGCCGGAAACCATGCAGTTAAGGAGACTCATGGTGAGAAAGGTGAAATGACTTATCCACAAGCTACGTACACTGTAATGATCATTCCCTCCAGATATGGACGTTGTTCAAAAAAACGGTACCAAAATGGAACCCTGGTAAGTGGAAGCATGGACCAAAACCTGCGCAACCCCTCGTGTTTAATTTTGAGCCACACCCATATGGAAGTCGTTCTAAACAGCCCGCGGCCGTTTTACGGAGCTCGCTCGATTTGGCACATCTCATCCCTTCCCGCGGGCAGAGCGTGGAGTAGTGGCCTGGCAAGACACGTGCGGCTTCCCTCAGCTTTCCTCCCGACTAAAATGGCAAAAGTTGATTCCGGCCCGGACTTGGCGAAGCTGGCACACTTTACATTTATGTTGCAAAAGATCCCAGTGTCCCTTTGGACAGCTGCTGATCCTTCGGGTCGCCATCGCCCGGGCTGGTGCTTTTGGGAGATACCTTTCTTGGATTGTCCTACAGAGAAGTGCAAAGCAAATCCATCCATCCGGGCGGGTTGCCCTATTTTGAGACACACCCCTTGTGTCTACGTTGTTCATACCCCTCTCCCGAAAAGGGAAGAAACCGGAATAGAAACCTGCGAGCCAAGGAATCGGAATGAAAGAAGGGTGTGGAGAGAGGCGAGTGGACGAGAATGGGAGAAAGGGAAGGGACTGGAGTCAAAGCAGGATGAAGAGCTATATCATATATATATATATATATGTCCTCAGCTTTCATTATCCTTTGATTTCTTTTCGCATTGCTTTTTTCGCCCGGCCTCTATTTCTAATGTTTGACACTGGCGAGAGGGAATGGATCCATCCTGATCACTCTGCCAACCAAAGCAATGGTAGTGATGAAAGGATGTGAGTGAACGGGTGGACCAGGACCAAAGCTAGTTCATTGAAGTTGGACAAGATCTGAAGTTCACCCATTCTTTTGTCCTTGTGATATATGTGCATATGTGTCATTGATGTATAAAATAGATAGCTAAAGGGATCCGTTCCTTCACGTTCTTTCCACTTCTCGAACTAAGCTGGCAAGGAAGAATGAAGGGAATGGTAAGGAGTGGGTCCGTCTCTTGATCTTTTGGTTTTCCTTCTTTCCAACCTTCTTTTGCCTTTCCCATTCACCCGTCTGGAAAAGCTTAGAAAGAAGAAGACAAGGGACGATGAAAGCGAGTGAATGGTGAACCGCTGCTCCTTGCCTTGCCTCGCCTTGGCTCTCCAAGTCCTTTCCGTACTAGCGGTGCAACTCTGAGGTTGACGGTGTACGAAAGGACAAGGAAAGGTTCACCGCTGCAGTATCCTAGGCGTAGGAAAGGGATGACGGGTAAAGCTTTACTTCCGCTCGTCACCATATCCCCGCTATCTATTTGTCCTTCCTACCATTTCCCGAGTGAAGGGAGAGATGGGACATGATGGAGAAAGGGAATCGGCCTCACATAGAAACGAAAAGAGATCGGATATTAACAAATAATTATAGGTGAGGCTGGCTTAGGGAAATGCTGGCCAGCCAACTCTTTCCTTCTCCCTTCCATCGTTCCCACTCCTCATCTCTCGCCTAACAAAGGTGTGTACTTCCACTCTTGGAAGACCTGCAATCAGTCGAGGACCTATGGTAAGTGGAAACATGGACCAAAACCTGCGTAACCCCTCCTGTTTAATTTTGAGCCACAGCCATATCCTGGTAAGCTGGTTAAACCTCGGAAGTGGTTTTCATCGCTCGACACCTCTAAAAGCGGGCAGGTCCATGAAGCCATGAACCGATACGTTCTCGGTCAGTTCACCTCACCTCACCGTTCACTAGCCTGCTCCTCAAAATCGCCTAAAATGGTTACCAGCTGATTTGGTGGCCCCTGAAAAACGGTTCTTCAAAATGAGTTTCGAGCCCTTCAATCAGTGGCCACATGGTCCTCTCCTGTTGGGGACTCAGCAACAGGGGTCTGCCAGTTTGAACTCCTGCCTTCGGGACCAGCCAAAACAAAGGTTCCCTCGGCCCCATGTTTCCCGTCAGGCATCACCAAATCAAAACTCGCTCCGCCTGTGAGCAACCAACTTTGTCTTTTTTGGCGGCCCCACAGCCAAAATAAAAAGAACAACAAAAGAAACAAACGACAAACAACCAACCCCCGTGTGAAGAAACCCGGCCCACCAAAAGTTGGTTTCATCCTCCGAACGACCCAACAACAACTTGCTGGTGTAATAGGCAGGACATGTGAAATTGAAAGACCCCAAGCAAAAGCATCCAACTTGTGGTTTCCTTTAAGGCGGCCCCCCTAAGGTCACATTCCCCTACCGATTTCGCAGCACCAAGAAAAACCACCCCCACAGTGTTGGCCTGCCTTCTTCCGGTCCAAAAGACTGTCCAGACGCTTGCAGCGCTCCTGAATCATCTCTGGCTGTGGTCAAAACCGTTTTGGTTGATACCCCATTTTGATTGGATTGGGTGAGTTCACCACCCATTTTAGAACCTATCTTAGTGGTTGGATTGTTCACTGGGGGAACCGGACTTTTGACCCATGGCCATCTGCTTCCCAGTTCCTACCCATATCACGTTAATACTATTCGCATTGGCATGAATCCCCGCATGCTGATGTCCACCAGAGTGTCCCCAATTCACAGAATCATATCAATGTCGGTCCTCACTTTCACATCCTGAGTGGATGGCCCAAAAAAGGTTGGCCCAACCTTTGTGTCGCCACGATGGCGAAACCCAAACCCAAAAACTGACGATCGGGTCCGAAACAGAGCTCAGGAAGGGTGACTGGTGCTGGAGATTGAAGGCAAAGCTCCCAAAAAAAATGGATTCCTTGGGCACGCGTCGGGGAAACCTAACCTTGGCGCACAGACAAGAAGGGCACACCGAAAGTCATGTTTGGTTTGACGCTTATCTAGTCTACCCCCCCCCCCCCGCCCAATTTTAGCATATTGGAGGAGACCTTTTCTTGACCATCGATCCTGGGGGGGTCTCCGATTTTTTCAGCTACCTCAGCTGAAGGCCTTGAGAGAAATAAGATGTTTGGTTGCGGTCCATTTATGGTGGACCTCAAAATGCAGAGACGACTTCAGGCAGGCAAAGGAACAAGTATCAGCACTCAGGGCAGCCCTTTCGCAGTGTGTAGGTCAGTTAACCAACGATTTTGGTATGAATCGGGGGCATTCCTGCTTGAGGAGTGTGCCTCCGCTGCGGCCTGCGAAGGGCATCCAACGGCCCCGCTGAATTCCCTCGTCGCACAGTTAACGCCCAGATCTGAGTTGAGCGCTGATGCCAAGATGATCTCCCTGGAGCCCAAGACCTCCTCTTTTGTAGCCCTGAGCATGTCCACCAGCGTGGAGGTTTTTAGCGCAGCAAACAGCCCCCAGGCCTCACCAGACGTAAACATGAGTGCTCCGCCGTCATGCCGTCTTCGTCTTGAAAAACGATTTGGTCCACACCCCGACCGCCTGAGAAGAGCCTCACGCACTCCACTGCCAACCCGTCTGGCTGTGGCCACGCGTTTTGCGCCTCGTGTACCGTTCCAGCGGCCAAATTCGTGCCAAACAAAGGGGTCTGTCATAGGGCACCGCGCCTGGTGGGAAGCACGAGCATGGCAGCTGGGACATTCAGGATGGCAGGGCATCTAGAAAGGGACATTTATTGTCAGATTGCGGTTCACACTGAGTGAACATACACATGTAAACGTTGAAGCCACAAGACCTTCCCCAACCAGCACCCACCCACCCAAAAAAAAAGAAGAGACTTTTCAGCCACGTCCAAAATTCGCTTGGTACGGCCTGTCGCAGCTTCTGCAGCGGTTGCTATGGACCCGGGTGCTGTCGAAGGGTCGCCTATGCCATTCTCAACCCAACGGGTCCCAACGGGTCCGCAGAACGGACGGCTTACCGGGAACCTGGAAAGGCCTGGCCATGAGCGTGTCTTCTTGTGGGGGACCCCACTCAGAAAAAAGTGGGTTTCCCTGTGATGGCCCTCCTTCAAAATCACAAGCAAAGCGAGGTCCTCGCAAAAGGGCCACACCCCCGCTTGGGAAAATTCGCGGGACCCCCAGAAGTGTAGAATCCATCTTTCAGGGGTTCCTTGATTCCCTTCAATCCAACCCTTCAAAATGGATGACCCCAGAACAAAACACCCCCGCAAATCATGGAACCCCGAAACTGGGACGGTGTCCTTTTTCTTAACACCCACCCCCAGATGGGTCATTTTAACCCCTAAAATGAACCATGTCCTCAAAAATGTGTTTTCCTCAACCAACCCAAAACAGGTATAGAATGTACACTTTATTGTTTGCTTCACTTTGAGTCACTGGTAAAATGAAAATGTATCCGAAGTCTACCCCAGACCCGTCATTTTGCTTAAAACCAACGGCTCCTGCAAGAGCACGCGGCGCCAGGCGTGCCAGGCTTGGGCACGCCAGTACTTGGCCTGCTCGTTCAAGGCCGCGATGAAAAGGCCCTTCCTCAGATGACAAAAAAACATCCGGCGCTTGGCGAAAAAACACGCCACCCCCCACCGAATCCAAGCTTTCCGCCTTCCAGCAAAGAAACAAAACGCACGGAACGCGGCACTCGGGAGGTCAAGAAAGGCACCGTGGTTGAACAGGGACCTCGTTTCAAGATCAAAGCGTTCAAGCTGTGGAAACCTGTAGGGGGAAGCCCATCATTTCCTCCAAACAGGTCCACTACGGGAATAGCGACAATTCCTCCAAAATAATGATGGAATCCCTGAAGGGTGTAACTAGGTGGGCAGTTGAGAGCTCTAGGGTTCCTTAGGGTTCCCACCATAAGGCAAGTCAGAACCGCTGGACTTAGGGTAGCCTTAAAAGGCCATGGCTCGAAATCCCGTACCCCCAGTGAACATCCCAATCCCCACTAAAATAGGTTCTAAAATGGGTGGTGCACCGAAAACCCCAAAATGGTACCATGGGTTTTGACCCAGCCAAAAAAACAGCAACCAGCTCGCCAAGTGTCCGGCCCTCCCGCGCTGCGACCACCTCATCCCGCCATCGCTCCGGCGCTTCGGCGTCGATGGGGTCGCTTCGATCGGCCTGCACCGCCGCTTCCGCCGTCAGCACCTGCAACACACAGAATTCGGGTGGTTTGGTTGGTTTGGAGGTAGGTGGATCAGGGACCCTTTGGACACCATTCAGGCGCGGATTTATTGGTGGTGCTTGCTTAATTTCCAGGTAGGTGAACCCTCAAATACGAACTTGAACATGGGTTATCGCCCAAAAATAATGGTTGGTGATTTGTTTATATTTTTGTTTTTGGGGGGGTAGTTTGAGGGTCCAGGTAGTGGGCGTTTCCCATTTGGCAGTGAATCCCACTTGGCACCAAAGCTTTGGCGGACACCAGTCAGGTGTAACCTCTTTGAGGGCTCCCCATGAAACTGCCATTGAGCCCTAGAAGGACCTGTAAGAGCCCTCAGAAGAGGAGGCTCATAACAGTCATCATCAGAACCTGGCACTGAGATGGAGTACCCAAAACCCGTGGCAAAAAAAAAAGAAAAAACATATCAGGACCAGTCAGAGCCACAAGAAGAAGAAGCTCCAAGATTGGTCAAGAATCCGAAAAGGGCCCGACTAACCTCATCCCAGCTGATCCACGCCTCCATGGAAAGGAGAACAATTTTTCGTCGCGCGGCATTTTTGGTTTAAACAAAAAATCCCATGCGGCCCGAAACGGACCAAGCGAAACCAACGGAGAGTCAATTCATCCCCACAGATATGGCTGTGGTTGTCAAAATGGTACCCCTGGTGAACATCAAAATCTCACTTGCCCAAAAGACCTCGAGATCAAAGGTTAGCCTTTTGGGACCTTTACTAAAAATGAACCAAAGTGGGAAAACCAAAAGGTCAAAAGGTCGGCTTTGGGCAAGTGAGAAATAGCTGGCAAATGGATGTTCATCCAGCCCAATATGGAGCCATAATGTAGATGGGCAAAATCCTGCACCACCTAAGAACCCCTGGAATGAAGATTCCCCAGTAAATACCAACGAACAGTGGTTTCCCATGCTTTCTTAGGTGATGCATGATTTCGTCCATCCACAGTTATGGCTGTGGTTGTCGAAACGCAGGACACCCCTGGTGAACATCAAAATAGCTGGCAAATGGATGTTCATCCACCCCAATATGGATCCATACTGTAGATGGACAAAATCCTGCACCACCTAAGAACCCCTGGAATGAAGATTCCCCAGTAAATACCAACGAACAGTGGTTTCCCATGCTTTCTTAGGTGATGCATGATTTCGTCCATCCACAGTTATGGCTGTGGTTGTCGAAACGCAGGACACCCCTGGTGAACATCAAAATAGCTGGCAAATGGATGTTCATCCACCCCAATATGGATCCATACTGTAGATGGACAAAATCCTGCACCACCTAAGAACCCCTGGAATGAAGATTCCCCAGTAAATACCAACGAACAGTGGTTTCCCATGCTTTCTTAGGTGGTGATGCATGGCTGTGGTTGTCAAAACGCAGGATTTCGTCCATCCACAGTAGATATGGCTGTGGTTGTCGAAAACGCAGGATTTCGTCCACCACAGATATGGCTGGTTGTGAACATGAACGTCAAAATAGCTGGCAAATGGATGTTCATCCACATATGGAGCGATAGGTTATGCCGCATGGCCATATGAGCACAACCCATTTTAACTGGTGCAAAGCGGCGCTTTTGCTTGCTGGTTCTCCGTTCAAAATGAAGGAATGACCCCTATCTTTGATTGCATCCCGGCATATCCCCTACCGGTTCATTCTCAAAACCCCTGAGACGATTCCAGGTGTTTGGCCATTTTTCACAAATGCACCACCACCTTGCAAGCACCGATGTTCAAGGAAATCCACCAACAATCCTCAGGAGCCAAGGAAGGGGCGCCCAGAGCTCACCACGAATCCCTCACAACGAGTTCTCTTCGCGAAACTCGCGCCTCATCCAGCTGCAGAACTTCCGCGTCGCCCATGTGCCGGGGAGGATGTGAAGGCATCGAGATGTCCTCCTCCACCTCGGCTTCCGAATGTGCCGCGGTCATGGGACATGGTCATTGTTGGATCAAAGGAACCATTGCAATTGTACATAAAGAGTTACATATGCACATAAAAAGGTTCAAACAGGTCCGCTAAAATGGTTCCTGTAAGTTCCATAGGAATGATATCTACAATGATATGTCCAAATCTCCATGTATATAAAAGGTCCGTGGCCATCCATTCGCCCAAGTACGCTGGTCTCTTAGTCATGGCACATGTAGGTACCGTAAGGGCCTAGATGGTGTTAGGGGTGCCAAGTATCAATACCAAGTTACCTCACATTCATAGGTCAATGACGTGTGCTGAGCCCCCGATTCTAGTTCACCCTAAGCCTCCTAACAGGGGACTGGATGTCTGAGCCGTACCGCAAAGGGACCAGATTGGCCCAAACGAAAATAAGCTGTCTGTTTGCCACTAAAATTGTCCCAACAAGTTTAAAGTCCTCTAACTCAGGGAGTGACTGCGCCCTCCTTGCCACCCAGTCTAGGCACACCTTCCTGGAGACACAAAACAACATATGCTCCGAATCTCAATTGGTCAGCCTCCAAACAGAAAATGCATTCTAAGGAGACTTCCCAGTTATCTTATTCATGGCACCAAGTTGATTCATCTGGAGTCGCCAGGTTGATTCATTGGGCTTCAACATCTTATTTCCAAGGAGTGCACCCCTCACACACACACACAACCATAGGTGGCCTTTTGGAAAAATAGATGGCCCTGGCGGCCCTGGTAAATGGAATAAACCCCATCTACACCAGGGCCCTCTATTTTTTTTAGGCAAAACCAACCAAAAAGCACACCTACGCACACAACCTGCCACCCCACCCACCCCGCGGCCCACCCCGGCCGCACCTCCGAGCTCCTCGGCCACGAGGTCGCCGTCAGCCTCGCCTTCGCCTCGTCCGCGCGCCGGAGCCGCTCCTCGGAGTGGAGGGCGTGGGTCGAGAGGTTGGAAGTTGGTACCCGAGGTGTTATTATTATTATTATTTTTATTATTATTATTATTATGTTTTTTGCTTTTTTCTTTTGCTGTTTTGTCTAGGGGAACCCTCCCCCAAAGCGCAAAAGGGTGACCTAGGTGACCTAGACTTGGAAAACGCCAGGGTTGAAAGATCACCTCCACTTTAGGGGAAGTTAAAGTTGAGTTACAACCCAGGCTACTAACAACCGACCAACATGACCGAACACCAAGTAAGTGGTTCAATTCCCTGGCTATTCTATGGGAAAACGAAAGTCAGCACTATCTCGGGTGCAACTTGAAGGGAGCTCCCCTTCCTCCGAAAAACATATGGAAGAGAGGCACCAGCGGGCCATTGAGATTCAGCAAGTGGTTCGTATAACCCTCACCCTGGAAATCACGAGGCTCGCCTGCTTCCGCTTCTGCATGATGCTTCCCTTTTACCAAGGGAAAGCGTTGTATATAGGCTTGGTTGACGTTGGAAGGGGAGCAAACATTTAATTTCTAACAGTTAAGTGGGGATTTCCCACTAAACCACAATAAGCACAAATGTAAAATGTTTCCCAACAATAACCACGTAGGGGGCAGTATCTTCCTTTGACCAGGGGAAGCTATTGTGTCAAAAGGGCCTCGCTTGGATGACAATCGAACTTCGCAAGCGAAGGCGTGTTGGTGGGATTTCTCGCCCAACGCAGTCATCCAAGCGCCGAGAGAGCGACCTCGCAGGAAAACGGATCTGCTCTTCTTGGGCTGGATTCTCAGATGCACAAAGGATCAAACAATAAAAGGCTAGGTCCTCCAGTAGAGACCTTAGAATCAGGGTACCAACTTTGGTTTGTAGTCTATTTTAGTAAGGGAAAGACTCCCCCTTAGTATAAGGGTAGTAAAAAGGGTTCCCTTAGTCTATTTTATTTTTGTACCTCCCCCAGAAAACGGTAAAAGAAACGGCACCAATTGCTGGCTGGGGGACCTAGAAGGTGCGATCGATCCCCTGGGCCACCAAGAATGGGAACCCATGCTCAGGCCAGGATGCACCTTGGGAACAGCTGACAAGTGCCAAACCGGAAGCAAGAAATGGACACCCCAAAACGATCTCAAATCCAAATTTGCGTTCGTTTTTTTAGCTCATCCCGCCATGTCCTAAACCCTAAGTGAGTCACAATCAAAACCCGGTGTTAGAATGGTTGACCCAGAACCATGCTTCAAGAATTAAGGCGGATATCCGCAGCTATTTTTGGTTGGGATCGTCCCTTAACCTCCATCTACCCGAATCGGTTTTGAGCACGTGGGTCAAGTGAGTCATAGACAAACAACACAAAACAATGACTGCCCCAGGCTTTACTTCAACCCCAAGGGAGACTGTAAGCAGCCAAATTGAAATTACACACACACAATACCAGGACCTTCAAGCAACTTGGCATACAATAATCACAGGATCTCCCCAAATTTCAATAGCTCCCATTGACTGGTGGTTTCCACTAAAAACTCAAATCAACAGTTCCACTTGAGGCGAGTTTCCACCAAAAAACTGCCCACCTTTGAAAACTTTGGCATTGGAGGTTTCCTTTAAAGGGAAACGCTTCGTTGATCCCCACCTTTCCCTTTAAAGGAACACGGCTCGTTGAACCGGCCGTCGTGGTGCGCCTCTATGCCCAGCGCGGTGGTTGGCCGCGACCCGTCGAACTCCGGCCTGCTGGGTGCCGAGGCGAGGCGTCTGAGGCAGTCGAGACCCGGCGCGCTTGTGTTTGTTTAATACTAAAAAACAAAAAACTGTGTTTTTGTGTTTTCTTTTTTTTCATGTGGAGGGATGTCTGATCGAAGAACTTGAAGGTGCCCGTGCTTTCTTGCATAGGGTTTGGTTACAGGAAATGGGACAAAAGGCCTCAAAAACCTGTTTGAAGCCAGGTAGAACCACTTACCCTCCCACCAACTAACATGAAAGTGCGCAAAGCTCCTTTCCAAGAGGAAAGTAGTCTTTCTACACGGGCTTGTGCACAAACCCATGTTTGCCAGTGGGAGGGTACTCATATTGCCAAGCGGATTCATTCACTTTTAGGACCGCTATGCATGAAATTCCTCTCTCTCTCAACCCGTGTTTTTTCTTCAATTATCCCACTTGCAAACACGAAACATGGCCAAAGCCTTCCAAGCATTCTATCACATACTTCAAACAACCTCCTTTAGTTTTCCCTGAGGTGGCCAGGGTCATATAGTCGTGCCATATAAATCCCGCTTAGGGAGGTCGACTGGCATGTTGACTCACAAATAGGGCAACCGATCAACCAAGAAGCTGACTTCCCGCCTCACAACTTCACCCTGGATCTCTTCCTTCCTCGGAAAAGCGAGCCACCCCCCCCGCTCCCAAATCGTGTGAGCCGTGCCTAGCTCGCGGGTTCAACTACACGGGCTCCATGCACCAGAGGGCACTCATGTTTGTAGCATCCACACCATTTGTTAGAATTTATGTAGGGTCACCTGCGACTGGACAAGAAGTCACAAGTCCCGGACCCCACTGCCCATGGAAACTCGTGGTAAATGATGACGAGGCTATGTGTCAAAATTCGGGGGGGACCTCAAAAAACACACCCCTACACACCCACAAAGCCGCACCAATACAAGAAGAAAGGAGTTTGCCACGCTGGTGGTTTGCGGATGTTTGGGGTGGTGTCCCATCCAACCATTTCACATCTATCTGACCAATTGGTACAAAGTCACCAACCTAGTTTTTGCCGGTTCTCACAAGTTGGGAAAGCTCCTTCAGGCTTTGTGAATGAACCGTTAGTGATCCCCAATCGGCAACCACAAGTTGGAGCATTTCAGCTCATTTCCGATCGAATCAGCACAGGCCTATTTAGACCTTTCCGACAATCACAACACAAGGTCGAAGGTCTAAATTCCAGGCAACTTATAATACCGAACCCCTTAGTGACGTTGACATACCTCAACCACATACTTGCGTGCCCCTTGAGGAGTTTCCGTGCTCCACATCTCCTAGTCAGAAGAAGTATGCAAGGACACAAATCAGGAATAATCAGTGATTCCATGATCGAGCTTTTAGACTAGGGGTAAGAGGTGCGCATCGCAGCTTCTAATATGAACACGTGCCTCCTCCGACCTCACGGATATTCGGAACTAAACCTACCACTGTGCATGTCCCAGATCCTGTACCACTTGATAGACGTCACAGATTTCATGGGGGATCATCCATCCCACACTGGTGCAAAGTTGCCCTTGTCCATCCGCACTATGGTTAGCAAAACCCCATCTACGGGATCATGTACATGTGAAAGGCATGTGCTCTGAAGATACATCCCGTACACGGGCCCCGTGTGTGGAAACCCGACAAACCAAAAAAGAAACTCACTCAAAAACAAGAAGCAAACAACCGCTGGAAACGAAGAAACCAAACAATAACACTCAGATGTAAAGAACATCAACATGGAAGGACGACGAAACCCATCCCAATCAACAAGTGAAAAAATGTGGAATGCACTGGGCAAGTGGGCGTTGAACCAACAAACCCGAGGCACATGCACACCCAGAAAGATCGACCGCAGAAACAACAAAACAAAAAAACACAATAACCATACACACGTACAAGACAAAGAAACATGCTATTTTGTCAAACACCCACCCACCTATGTGGTTGCCACTTACAACAACCTATACAAAGGGTGGTTTCCGATTAAACCAACAAACACACACACACACAAACAAGCACATGCACAAACAAACACGTGACAAGACCTCAATGATACAATGTAAACCACACACACACACACAAAAGAACCAACCGATCAACCCACCCACCCGCCCGCCTTGCCCAACCAACCAACCAACCAACCAACCAACCAACCAACCAACCAACCAACCAACCAACCAGCCAGCCAGCCAGCCAGCCAGCCAGCCAGCCAGCCAGCCAGCCAGCAGGCAGCTAGCGGGCAGCCAGCTAACCAGCAGACAGCCCACTAACAAACAAAACACAACATGACAACACAAACACAGCCAAATAGACATAACAAGCAACAAACACAGAAAACACATCAAACAAACGAAACAAAGCAATACATAACGAAACACAGCACAGCGCAACACACACACACACACACGCACAACAAAGCAACAACACCCAGAGGTTTCCGATGCTTTTTGGGCCATCAAACAGCCAGGTTTTGAGAACCCCAAACACCCGAAGCGGGGTGTCTAATGGAGGGGTCGGGTTTCAATTGAAAGCCCCAGGAGCCTCTGGGTTGGTAAGGGAAAAATCATGCAGGAGCGGAAGAGGGCGAGCCTCGTGATTTCCAGGGTTTGGGGTTGCAAACCACTTGCTGAATCTCACCACAGCACAACAGACACAACACAAAACCACAACAAATGAAAAAATACAAATAACAGCCCAGCACACACAAAACAATAAAACAAATAATACAAATAACAGCCACGCACGTAACACGTTAACAACTTCTTGGCCGCGTGGCAGGTGCTGAAGCTGCCTCTCCAGCTGCGCGGCCTGACGCGCCTTCTCCGCCGCCTCGCTCCAGGCCTGCGCGAATGCGACTGAGGCCAAACGGAGACCGAAAACGAAAGGTGCCAGGTAAAATCTCGATTGGGTCTCCGAAATCTAACCGATTCCCCATTTTTGTTGGGGGTTAAACGGCCAAAAGCAGGTTCCAAAATCTCGATTGCCCTGATGGAGGATAAAACCAATCTAAACAGTGAGGTTCAGAGGGTAATTCTCATAGGGTAAATCCCAAGTACTCCAAGATCTCGATGGCCCTGGGAAATGGCTGACCTTAAATCTGAACCAGAACCCATCCATTTCTAGCCAAACCTCAGGACACTGCTTCGAACTTGCTGGCATAGGACAGTCAATGGGACCAGATCCAGCACCCCAATTCAGAAGGGTTTGCCCGGTACACCATGGCACCGAGGCACGCGGGAGCCCGTTCTGGGGTTGACGATGGGGGAAGCTATCGAAAAACGACCCCCGCAGGTTCACTTTCGGCTGGCGTGGGGAAATGATGGACTACAGGCAGCGCGCTGAACAAAAAAAAATGGGCGAGCTAGGTCTGATGCTATTTGCCTTCATAAAAGGGGATGACTAAACCGAATTTGGGGGGGGTTGTGCCAAGCTTCGCCCAATATGATGACCGCCCTGCGAAGGGCAACCCGTGGGTACAACTCACGGCATCGGGACTTGTTCACTGGGGAATCTGGGTTTGTCTCCCAAGCCCGTGGTTTCCCTTTTGTTTCCAGAAGGAAGAGCAGCCAAAAGGGCTCCCTCAAAAGAACATCACCGAAATGGGTAGACATTGCAAATCCCCAATGTGGAGCATGAGCTCTGCGGAAGAGCTCAAGCCAAAGTCCCCTTGCATTTTGGAGGCACAGAATAATTCAGTCAACTGGGCTGTTCCCCTTGAATCCCCTGCAGTGGTTGAATGGAAACTACCACACCAATACAAAACCAAAAAAACCCTTCTGGAACCGGATAACTAAGACCCAAGGGCCGCTCAGAATCTTGGGCTGGCGAAAACTGAGAGGCTACGGGTGGCTCGTCTAAAAGGGTTGGATCCCAGAAAATGGAGGTGTTCCTTTTGGTTTCCTTTTTCAACCACAACAAAAGATGATACCCTCAAAAAGACACACCCATAAATATTTGTTGAACCTTGAAATGAAAAACACGTCAGAGAACCAAACTAGTCTCCAGCCCGTTGTGATTTGCCCAGAATTGCCCAGAAAGATCCTGTCAAGGACTACGCGAAAGGAGATTCCTTCCTCTGCAAAAGGATGGCATCCAAGTTTACCGTACCTTGTTGAGTAAGCTGGCAAAGGTGACCCCTTCTCCGGTCAACCGTTGTTGAAAAAGGGGTTGAGGGGGCCCAAGTGAACAACTTGGAGGCTTGCTCACTCTACCCGACTCTACTCGATTCTTCTACCTTCAGTCTCACAATGGGGAACCCCATAATTAATGAGTGGTTTCCTCTTTTCCCAGCATCCCAAAAGGGCACCCTCAAAAGAAGACGCACCCGTGTTGAACGTGTTCTAACCCTTTCGTTCAACCCTGTTCAACCTCTCTGGCTGCATGGAAGCCTCAAATTTCCGTCTCACGCGCGAGAGCGATCCCTTGATGTGTGTCAACAAAAAGACCAATTCGTGCCTGGAGTCTCCTTCTGACCCTTCAACAAAAGGTGCCTCACCCAAAATAGCCTGAGACGGTTTGCAACCCATGTTTGCTTCGGGAGGGTCCTGGCGTTCCAAATATCTTGAGTTGGTTCGACTCCACCCCGTTTGCTTCAGGGTGTTGGAGACCAGAAAAAAACCCCCCCCCCAAAAAAAAAAAACGCCGCAGATAAAACACATACAACCCGTTTAACGCCACCCGAGTCACTGTCTCCGCTCTACCCGCTTTGCTTCGAGTCATGGGCTGAATTCCACGCGCCTGGTGCAAGGCGCCACGGCTCTCCAGGCGCTGCCGCGCCAGGCTCTCGGCCACCCGGGCCTCCGCCTCGGTTCACTCAACCGCACCACGAATCGGCCCACGTGCGGTTCCCATGACTTCTGGTTTTCATTTCTGTTTTTTTAGTTGGTGCCAACCATGTTTGAGGGGTACTTCTGGTTCTTGAGCCTGACTTGCTGTGCTTTTTGTGTTTTTCCTTTTTTTCTTCTGGTTGTTTGAGCCTGACTCGTTTTTGTTTGAGCTGGGGCCAACCGTTTTTTGAGTTGGTTTTAAAGGGACACCACTGGGTAACCCATGTGGGTCTGATCTCTTTTCAGGGGTACCAACCTTTGGGGGTGTTTGAAGGGAAATCACGCCGTTCTATTTTTGGCGGGGTCCGACTCCCAAGAAAAAGTCGAGCCACCCACTTGAGAACCGGAAAGAGAAGCGCTTGGAGAGAGCTGCTCTAGCAGCCCAAACTTCAAAACCTCGTGGATGTGTTTCATTGAAGGTGTCGCCCTACAAGAATGACGGGTCGCTCAGGCAAGTGGTTCACATGCCCAGACGAGGCTCCAATTCGATTGATGTAGGGCCTTCAAACAACCTGGTTTTGAGATCCCCAACCACCTTCGAGGTGTCTAATGCTTCCGGGTGTCTTCCATTGAAAGCCTTGTGAGATCCCCAACCACCGAAGCGGGGTGTCTAATGGAGGGGTCGGGTGAAGACCATTGAAAGCCGAAGCCAGGAGCCTCTGGGTGGTCGATCTGTCTGGATTTGCCCAACCAAAAAACCCGACCGAGCAGCCCCCAACCTGGGGCGGCACCGACGCAAGGCTTTGCATTTTGCTTGACTTGTTCTTTGAAGAACACAAAGGAACCCCTCCAAGTGGGTTTCCAGCAACCCTCGGCACCCACAAAGGGAAAGCCCTAAAATACCTCCGAGCTGTTCCAACAAGAGTCCACAATGTAAGAAGCACATGGATTTGCAGGAAAGACGTTCTGCGAACGGACATCGATTCTTAGACAAACACAGTTTGTTTGTTCGCTGGTCGGCTGGCTGGCTAGCTGGCTGACTTGGTTAGTTCGTTTGTCGTTCAGTTGGTCGGTCGGTTGGTTTCTGATCCATATTTTGCAAGCCTAGTGGAGAATGCGTCGAGTTGGTTCCCAGAAACCGGAGCACTGGAAGTGGAGATCAGTAGACAAGAGGGAAACGGAATGACATGTTTGTTGTGTGTACTGGGATCCCCTGTGCAGTGTTCGGCATGTGTCTAAATAGGGATTCGGATCCTAGCAGGGCTTCGGCCTTCCTCTCCTCAAAAGACACCCGATCCCACCAAAAGCGGGAATGTCCCACTTACAGGTACTTGTCATTCATAGTCTGGTGTGCGTCAAAACCAGGGACCCCCCTTTCATTCAGCAAAACAACAGCACATAAGTGCATCTTCAAGCCAAGACGGAAGTTTCCTCCAAAGAACACACACACGCCCCCAACCAACCAACGACCTGCCGCCTTCTCGTCTTTCAACCAACGCCCGGCCGCCTCTTTCCGCAGGGCGGCGGTGGAGCGAGCAAGGAGCACCTCGCCCATCCAGGCCTTGCTGGGCATGGATCGGTGGAACTTCTGATCCTCTTGCCCCAGGTCTGGTGGGTTTTTGATAAAAGGGAAATATCAGAAGGTAGCACACCAAGTTTTGGTATCTGGTGGGTGTTTTTCCCAAACAGAGATATCAGAAGGGAGCACACCACATTTGGGTCTCCCAAGTCCTACAAACAAGACGAGCTGAGGTGCATTTTGTTGGTCCAAGTACCCAAAAAGAACAAGGCCACTGAGACAGGGCTGTGGGGAATGACCACTTCCGTGAAAACAGAAAGGGCTTCCCAAAGACCATTTTCTTTATACGAAAGGAGATTCCCAAACGTATCACAGAAGTGGTTGGAGAAACCCCGAGCGATCCCACAACCCTGCACTGAGACGATTTGGCTCCAAAACAAATGGCACGCCGGCGCCTTAGTGCAGGCCAGCAGTGCAGCCAGCTCCTCCGGCCCGCTTCGGCTCCGCCCGCCCGGGAGCTGTGGGGTGGGCCGGGGGGGGGTTGCATCGGTCGAGAGCCGGTTTCGTGTTCCTTATCTAGGTCCTCCAGAGAGGTTGGAATGAGGGTACCCTTCTGTCTGTCAAAGGGCACTACTGAAAAAACCTAGTTGTGGCTCCCTAGGGTTTGTTTAGGTTCCTTAAAAAAATCCCCCCCTTGGACTACCCACGCTTGAAGACTCGAAAAAAACACCACTGGAAGTCTTGAGACAAAACAAACCAAACGAGGTTACGTAAGAGCAACTGTAAGCGGTTGGGTGGCCAAGTGTCGATTCTTCAAGCAATTATGCGGGGTCCCTTCTGCCCCGGACCAACATCAACATGTTCTAGGTCAGGGCCAAAAATGCCCCCCTCCCCCTTGGTGAAGGGTCAACACTTTGCGCTACACATGCCGCACTCCCTATGCTTCCTTGTTTTTTTTTGTTTTTTTTTTTTTTTTTTTTGAAAAAATAGGGGTTGTTCAGCCCCTATTTTTTGCATTGACAACACCTATTTTTTGACATTGGCCTTTGGAGTTCATTTTGGGTTGTTGCTTTTTTGTTTGAAAGCTACGCCTGCTACTGCAACCTCTTAAGTAGTTGGGAGCCACATATTTCTCTGCCAGCCAAGTTAAATTACTACTTCTTGATAGGGTCCTCGGGTCCCTTTTGTGTCTGCGCAACGCACCTGCTGAAAGCTTTGCGTAGGCAGAGCCTTCATTCTAGCAAATTGTAGAATTATCCTCTGCAATTTGCGCAGGTGGCACGAACAAGTAATTGTGTGCTGCTTTTGTCCGTTCCAATTTCCACACAGGTCCATAAACAACGCGAGCGTAGACAAATCGTAGAAAAACCGTAGAAAAACCGTAGAAACACTATTTTTTGGCGTTGAACCACTATTTTTTGGCCACCATTTTGTGGAGTAGAACAGGCAAATTTTGCCGACCAGAGGATCAACATCCTCATCCTGGAATGGTTGCTGTGATGGGAGGGGTGTTGGCTGTCCCTGTTTTTTTGGTTTGGTTAAGGGGGTGGGCCAGAAGAAGGACAGAAATGGTCAGAAGAGGGTTCACCTTCGCGCGCTACATGGCCATGCCAACAAACCAAGCGACGTAGAGACCAAAATTAGCCTTGTAAATAGTGAAACATATTGCTGCATATGTATATACATATTCGGCTTCGGGATTCCATGGAGCGGCCTTAGCGTCAAATCTTTCCTAGCCCTTGTTCCAGTCCAAAACGGAGGCGGCCGCTCGTCGTCAAAAAATCGTCTTTGTCAAAAAACCGGGGTTGTCACAACGCCTATTTTTTAAATAGGCTTTGGAAGCATAGAGCACTCGGGTAACTGTGGATGGATGGAATCCATTTCGCACCGCCTAAGAACTCCTGGAAGGGTTTGATTCCCCTGTAAATACCCAAGCTTTTGGTTTCAACCGAATGGATTCATTTCGGTGGTGCGAGATTTGCGGGTTCCCAACGGACAACTGCCCTCCTCCAGAGCTTTCCCCATGCCCTCCGCTTGCTTTCGGCTCGGGAACTGACACTCGTGGCGTGCGCTCCAGATTTCAGCCAAAGAAATCGGCCGCGGCGCCGGGGAGTCCATCCTTGGGCCACTCGAAACCTAAGATAGACGGAACATATGGACCACCCAGAGGCTCCTCGATTGATTTGGGGCCTTCAAAAAGCCTTGGTCCGATTGTTTTAAGACCCCCAACCACCAATTCCCGGGGTGTCTAATGCGTCGGGCTCGGGTCTTCCATTGAAAGCCGAAGCCGATCGGAGCCTCTGGGCACAGGAAAAACCAAAAATTAAACTTAGAGATCCCGTCGATTCGCAGACGAAACCAAATCAACGCAGCCGACCCTCGGCTCCTCCCCGCGTCTGGCCGCGTTCTCATGCCTCCGTGCAATGTTCTCCACCCGGGCCTGGGGAAGGGCCCAGCCATGCCAAGCCGCTGTCTTCAAAACGGCTTTGGGACCTCACAATGGTGGGTGTCCTTTTGGCTCCCCGGTGCAAGCAAAAAACAGCACAAGAGGGGCTGCGAGAAAAAACAAAAAGAGAGAAGGAAAACACACACCTCAACAATATTGTTGATGTGACCCAACGTTTCTCCAGCTGCCAGCCGATCTCTAAAGGTGCCAGGTGAGTGGATTGTGACCTGGTGACTTTCTTGCTTAAAGGCGAAAGCACAAGGGAAACGAAAGATCAACGGAGCGCGGTAGAGGTGTTGAATTGGGCGAACAATGAAACAGGTACCCACTTTGGGGAAATTTGATATGGAGGACACATGTGTTGCCGATTTTGATCCTAAGGTGATACACGCACCCTTTGAGCAGCAGTTAAAAGGACATGCCCCAAACTGGTTTGCTGCCTGCGCGTGCCTCGCTTACTCAAGACGTACACATCTCCAAGCGCGAGCAACAAAACACCTCCAAAGTCAAAAGGGCCTGGTCTCGAAGGACTCTTGGCCAAACAGGTTCCAAACAACTTATGAACCTGAGCAGGGATCCGGATGCATTATACACCTGAACATTGCCTTGTAAATGGTGGGTTCCCTTTATTTTGGTGGAAAAAGCCATGTTTCAAATGGGCAGAATGTATCTTTTAAGGAGCCCTGCTGAGGATTGAGCGGAAAACACAGAACACTCAAACGCTGAAAGAGCTGCTGTGGATGGGCGCCAGTTGGGATGGATAACACGTGAGAAACTTATGTGAATTGTGGGATAACCATTCATGAGTAAACCACTTACTAAGTGGTGCGGGATTTTGTCTATGTACAGTAGACAAGAAGCCAAGCCCATCCATATCCGCGACACCCCAACCGGATACAAGCCACACCTGGCTCGGCCCTGGATTTCTGATCGAATGCCATGACCAACTGGGTCCGTGGAGTCATTGCAAAGAGAGCTACCCGTCTCCCGCTTATTTGTTGTGGTTTTCTCAAACCAAGTTGTCGTCCCTGGCACCAACCTCCTGAGAACCGATTGCTGTTGTGGGTGTTACAGCATTTTGGTGGGTGAAACCACCCATTTTGCTGGGGTTCAACAAAGGGGGTTAGTATAACCGCCATTATTTACCTAAAGAGTTTCATCCTCCAAAGTGGGTCACCCATGTGCTTAAGAACAAATTCTGTGCTCAAGCCTGTCCGTGCCCACCAAGGAAAGGGGACCGCTGAGACAGGTGGCCCCTTGTCGGTTGAGCCCTCGAGTCTTCCCGAAAAAGGGCGCCTCTCGGCGTGCCGCCGCGGCGGCGGCCATCCGAGCCTGGGACGCCTCGGTGTCTCCAGTGGGTTTCCAGTGGGATTCCCCTTGGTTTCCAGCCATGGCTTCCAGCAGTTTGGAGTCGTTTTCATTGCACTAAAAGATGAGGGAAAAACGAGCTCGCCCAAAAGCTCCAGATTTCGACCTCCAAGAAGTGGTGCAACGGTAAGTCTGGCAAACAGCTCGAAAACGGAGCAGGCCCAAATGTGCTGCACGAACTGTTTTTTTGAAAATGTGGGGACACGGGAACAGGCAGTTTGAGGATGTCGATTTATGTTTGTATTTTGTAGGGGGAGCAGCAAAAATGGTGTTCCTTTAGGTTTTCCTTTAACCAACCCCAAAAAGCACACCCTCAACAAAAACACACACCCGTTGCTTTTGTTTTCTTTTCTTGAGATGGAATCTTACAAGCCGCTGGATACGGACTCAGAGGTTTGGCCTCGAGCCCCGGACACAAACCGACCCAAAGGTTTGGGAATGGGGCCATGGGAATCACTGGCAGCCAAGTTGAGCCAAAGACTTTTTTGTTCGAGCAGTTCTGCTAGCAAGGCCACAACTGAACTTCACGCATCGCGTTCCGCCCGCCTTGCGGGCTACAGGTTGGTTGCTAACACAAGATACTCAAGCCTGGGGGTCCCTGGGAGCGTGGGTCCATTCATATCCTCAAATTTACCCTCTGTTCAAAGGCAACCAGAAAGTAACTTGAGAACACCTCAACCAGTCAACCAGGGGTGCCCTTTTGGTTGAACATAGACGGCCCTGGTAATGAAACAACCAGGTCAACCAGGAATCGCCATGTTGCAATCTATTGTTTCTACCAAATCTCGATTCCTGAGAGGATTGGCCAAAAACAGTCTAAACTTTTGTTTGCCACTAAAATGGTCTTCCCAAAAAAAGTATAGAGCTGGTCCCAACAAACTCATGTGACCCTATATATTTGTTTATTCTAACTAATTAACCCAGAACTCACCCATGAGTTCTTAAGATGGAACCCACGAAAACCGAAACCGAAACCAAATGACTCGAATTCTCCCATTAAAGGGGAGGTGCCCCTCCTTCTTTATCACAAAAGTGGCCAAACAAAAGCCCTGAAAGCTTCCCGCCCTGAAATCCGAAACAGCCCAAAAACCGTTTTTTTGGCCGGAACCCGAAACCCCGAGACCCCGCTGAAACCAAGCGACGGACACCGCGCGACACCGAGCGAAACCGAGCGACCGGAAGCGAAACCGACGCCTCGGCCCGGAGCTCCGTGCAGCTCCGCTCCAGCGCCTCCAGCTGCTCCGCGTGCTGCGCCCGCAGCTGGCGGAAGGCCGGGGGCGGGGGTGGGTGGGGCGGGGGGGCTGGGTGGCTGGGTGGCTGGGGGCCTTGGGGGGTGGGGGAAGTGGGGGGCGGGGGTGGGGGAAGGGGGGGTGGGGGAAGGGGGGCGGGGGAGGCGGTTTGCGAATCGAGCGGGACGAGTTGAGTGGATCCACAAGAAGTCGAAACTTCTTGTTTACCACTAAAACGGGCCTTCCCACTAAACGGTGTAGAGTTGGCGAACAAAAAGTAGATTTGGCCAAACAAAATGCGAGAAGCTGTTTGTTTATAAGCCACTCGAATGGTCCAATCCCAAGAAGTGAACCAAGTCCGAAACGGAACTCAGGGAGTGAGGCTTGGGTGCTCAAACCGCTTCAGTAGGTTATGACCATGGTCCAGGGTTTAACCCCCGAAAGAAAGGCAAGGACCCGATTTGGATGATGATAATGTTTAGGTAAACAATGGTCGCTACAACATGGTTGAATTTTGACCCATACCCATATCAGCGTTGGCTTTATTCCCAATCTTGCTTGGACATTATTCAAGCTTCCGCGGATTCCGCATCCTTCCCGCGGGACAAGAGGTCCCCTCCGCAAACTTCCGCTTGAAATTGCATGGGCTGTCACGGATTCGCCTGCTGCAGCTGCTGCTGGGCGCGCTTGGCGGCCTGGCCCATGGGTTTCTTGCTCGCTTGCGGCCTGTTGGTTTGCCCCTTCGTCGGCTCTGCTGTAGATATTCAAGCTTTCCATCTCCATGTCCTATGGGCAACTGAGTTTTTCCCCAGCTGGAAGCTTGGGAGTCTGCAAGCCCTGTGGTTCAGAGCATCCAAAGGGCAACCAAAGCGCACCCCCTAGCTGTGTCTCTTCGCTTGGGTCTCTTCCCCAGGCGAAAAGCAAACCGCCCATTTGTGTTTGGGTTCCCCTCTTTTGACACAAATGAGCCAGAATTAAACACCAAGTGGATGAAATATTTAGACAGGGACGGTCCCAGCCAGAAATAGGTGCGGATATCCGCCGTTTTGATCTTATGGCGTCAACCGCTTTAATACCTGGATGGCTAAAAATATCGCCCCCTTTGAAGTGGGCTTTCAAACTGGTTTGTTTTGGGGGCCCTTTGCGAACTAGCAGGAACCACCTGCATCCGTATACTTGGTGGTTTGGCGGTTTCAAGGGGGGCTTCCCAGTTACCGACAAGAACTGTCTGGTTCAAACCCACCATCAATCCAAACCCACCAACTGAGCTTCCTCCTAGTTGGTGGTTTGGAAAAAGGGTTTGGGTGGTTTCCCACTTGCGCTCAAAAAAGAATCCGAATCCAAACCACCAATAATTGGGGAATACCTGAAACAACTAACATGAAGCATGAATCTTTGAAGCTCCTAGCAACGACTCTTTGCAACACTTTAAAGAAATCGGTCCAAGAAAATTGTTATTTTCCCTCTGGTTCCCTTCAAGTTACCTCAAAGCCACCCCACAAAGCACACCCTCAAACAACGGCACACACACACACACACACCATATGCTTTGTTGGAGACGCCCGCAAACTTGCTATGTCGAGTTGATGACACTGGGCCCCAATGTCAAATTGAACGGCCAAAACGTCAAACTCATGGGTGCTTTGCCCCCCATTTTCACCTAAATCGCCTAAATGGCCTCGTCCCCTCCAAAACCACCCAACCTGCCCAAAAACCAACCGTCCTGTTTTTGTTTTTTTCTTCTGTGGCCATTTCACTGTCCCCGCGCCTCGCCCGAGTTGAGCAAGACCTCCCCGGGCCGCAAGCGCCGAGTGCTCAGCGAGGCTTTCGCCTGGAACTCGAAGGAGTTTCCCCGAAGCAGAGAGAAGTGGGTGTGGGTCAAAAGTAGGGTAACCCCAAAATGGCACCCTGGTAAATGGAAACAATAACTAAAACCTGCGGTTTCTTTATGGTTTAATTTTGACCCATATCCAAGTCCTGCGATTTGCAAAATTGAGGGTCCCTTTTTGGGAAGTCCTTTCCGGGGGCCTTCTGATGGGGGGGGTTATTCATCACAGGTCTACATTGCAAAATCCTGCAGGTGCCCAAGACGCAAGTAGGTTGCAACTCTTCTAAGACATCCCGGCCTGCTTCAAGACGCATCTACCAACTTCTACCATTCCAAGACCTCTGATCACCATCAAACTGAAAGCATGGCGGAAGGCCCTGGCGCGCGCAGGACACGAACGCGACAGGATGCTTGTAGCTGTCCACCCACGCCCTGGTGGGGCAAAAGAGCGGGCCAGGCTGGTGAGTTGTCATCTGATACTCGACTATTTTGTGTTACCATGTTTGCGCGTACAGCCTGCATGAGTGCCACGAGCGCAGAAAGCCTCTTGCGCATAGAAACACCGCAGTCATGCTGCGCGAGATCAAACACTTGTGTGCCGTCTGTGCTCGTTCCATGCGACGTGCGCAACAAGATGCTATGGCCCAGCACGAAGCTGATGCCCTCCCTCGATTGAACTGCTGGCGCCTGCCCACACAGTCCCAAGCGAAGACCCAAATCAACCGTGTGTTCCACCGCCGCATGAGCCCCAACTTCTCGCTGGCACGTCAAGGTTATTGAAACAATCGAGTGCGACGAGTTGCCCTAGCAACTCGAGGTCCATCAGTATCTGTGCATGCAGAAGTGTACTGTAGGTAGTATATTTGTCGAGGAGCCTACCGAAAGCCGGCTTTGCGATATCTCCTCTCTTTAGTCGTCTGCCTCATCAGTGTGGGGATGTTCCCAGGGCATTCTATCCACAACTGGTGCATCTTGGGCAACAACCGGCCGCCCATCGACAAATGCTTGCATCAGCCCGCGCACGCAGTGATCTGGATGGCCGTACAATGCCAGCATCTTCACGATGAGCACTTGCAGGGCTGCAGAGTTTGGGAAGTTCACAGCAACAAGCCCTTTGGAATCCGAATGCGCATGTGCTGGACGGACGGGCGCACGTTGTCTGGAATGATGATGTTTCGAGAAGCAGCTGCTCCGACGAAACGCCTACCTGCAAGTGTCCGTGCAAGAGAAGATGCGAATCTCCTCGTCAGTGCTTTGCAGATTAGGCAGCTTGCCAGCATCACCTTGCGGTGGATATGGCTTCGCACCTCCTGCCTTCGGCCGCCGCTGCTATCCACTCAGCACCCAAGAGCGATTCGAGCTGTGTGTCCACGTTGCTTCAAACCGACGCTTGTGATCCGAGAGTGGTGACCCCCTCTCTCTGCTGAAGCCCGTAGGTCGCCTTCAAGCTTTGCCCAGTCCGTGCGTGCCACGAGCTGCTCACAAGCTGGTGTCACTGTCATTCGTGACTCCACGCCCCACGCCCGGCACTTTGACCGCAGCTGCAGGTGTGTTTGCTTGCGCGTACCATGCCCGGTCGCATGGCTTGCGCTGACGTCGCGTCACGCATCGTTGCCAACGTGGCCGGATCAGACCTCTCTCTGATCGTCCGCGTATCTGAGACGATCCTCGAACCACCATTTGTCCAATCGGCCACCCAGCTTCTGAAAGCACCACCTTTGATGCCATTCCTTGAGCCAAAATGGCTACGGGAAATTCCAAAACTAAGAAATGGATCCCTAGGTACAGGGTCTTCATGACTTTCGCTCGGCTTACCCCCAGATTCAGAGCTCGTCATAACTTAGGCAGGCTTAATCATCGAACAACTACCAACCGGTGCAGGACATGGCCGTCAGTGGCGGGCGCTCCCATGCTTTGTAGATAAAAATGCCACAAGCGCAAGAAGGTGCTCACGATGAGTGTTTCTGAAAAACTGGCAACCCTTCCACTTCTATTGGGAAGCTCAGTTGACGTTTGGAAAGTTGAGCCGTCCAGTGAGTTCCATTCCTGCATTTGCATAAGTCCCCTGCAAAAATGAGAATGTGCCCAGTAGTGAAATCGATCCCCTTCAAAACCAACAAGGGACAATAAAAACCAAATAATACTCAGCAAATGGCAGGACCGGGAAGCTCAGTTGACCCTTCCAGTTGGCTTCCTTTTGGTCTCACTTCCTGAGCGTTGCCCAAAAAAGTAACCAACCTCTTTTTCTTACCACTCAACTGGTCTTCCCGCCCCCCAAAAACGAGTTGAGGAACTCAGGAAGTGAGTGGTTTCCTCTTGGCAAACGAGGCATGCCCCACGGGACTGCGCCGGGCGCCGGCCTGGCGGCTCCAGGCAGACACCAGGGGTGACAAGCAGAGCAGCGCGCGCCCTGGTTCCAAACAAAGACAAAGATGGGTGCTGAGGTGCATTTTTTGTTTGGTGGTGGTTAAAGGGAAGCCATCTTGAGCATGGCACAGAAGTACAGATTGCGTTCTGCATCCATCAAAGGTTCTGCCAGCCCACGAGGAACATACCCCCTAAGGACAAGCCAGGAATCAGAATAAATACGGGGCTTGAGTGTCAGTGCGTCTGTTCTTGGCTGGCCCCCAAAGTGGTGTTTGTGTTTTCCCTGTGGTTTCTCAGGAATCTGTGACTTCCCCCTCTCAACACCTGAGCAAAACAAGCTTTCACACAAAGCACAACTTTCAATCGCCCACATAACACAAGAAGCAACCAACACACGCCATCTTATACTGGGGTCTGATGGCATGGCAGTCAACCAGAAAGGCAAAGATTCGGTCCTGCGTGAATGTCTCAATTCAGCAATCCCTACTCTTGGACAACATCTTACACAGTTGGCGGGTTGTTGACCCCTGTATTTAAACGGTGTTATCGTGTTACACATCCCAGGTGCAAAGTGTTGTCCATCCACAGCATCTTAATGAGGCAATGAGCCCAGGCTTCGGTTCCCTTAAAGGAACCCACCTGGATGGCTTTCCTTGGGGCCATTCCACTTCTCAAATTTCTGCATCTCTCGCACCAATCGCAAGGTATGAAAGTTAAGACATGCACTGAGGCAGTTATTGGGAGTTGCCAAACATACTGTGGATGGACGAAATCCTGCACCTCTTAGAAACCCAGGATTTCGTCCATCCACAGTAGCAAAAAATAACTGAACAAAAGGTAAAAACACACAAAAAAAATAAAGAACAACAAACGGCAGGTACGTCATCTCCATCGAGAAAATCCCCCGGGACGGCAACATCCGACGCATAAGCCGCGGCGGCGGGGCGGCTCGCCGCAGCGCAGGCGCTGCGGCGCCCAACGGCGCGGAAGGCCTCGGGGTCCCAAAGCCGCGGGGTGTCCGGGCTTTCCGTTCGGGGCACCACCCAAGGCTTACCCCTTAAAACTCCAAGCCCTGGGGAAGTTAGTCTTTTACAGCTCATGTTACCCCAAAAAAGTTGAAAAGTATGTTTTTAAGAGGTAAGAAGGGGTGCCGCCAGAAAAAGAGAGACCCATCTCAAGAAGTCGAACACCGTCTTCCGGGTTTCTTCTTGGGGGGCGAAAAAAAGAGAGAGACCCATTTGGCTGTGGCTCATAACCGGAATTCCAAAATGGGTTGGCCTGTGGAAACATGGACCAAAACCTGCGGTTTGCGCCTCCTGTTTAATTTTGGCGGGACTTTCCATCTGGGTGCGTCTTGTCTTTTGCGTTGGACCCAAACCACGGCAAGGGAATCCTCTTGGTTTCCCTTTAAAACCCAACCAAACGGAGGTACCAACTCTAACAAAGACAAGCTACGCACGTTGACCTACTACAAGGCGACACGGATCAAAATCCACCAAGCGTTTATTGATGCGAGGGGTTCCCATTGAGCGTCAGAAACGACCCTCCATTGAAGCAGGCTGGTCAGGACCTCCATTGTTCATCTTCTCTGGCACCAAGTTGCTTAGGTCCTCCAGCAGAGGTTAGAATAAGCGTACCCTTTCTTCTGTCTATTCAGTAGGGGAGCCCTCCCAACCAAAAAGGCAAAAGGGCACTGGGGGACCTAGTTAGGGCAAAGGGCAAAATGGGACCCACGGGAGGTCTGGGATGAACATCAAGGCTCAAGAAGTCAAACGGGACATTGTGGACGCATGGGTGTCTTCCTGTTTTTAGAGTTGGTACCCCTTTTCTGGTGGCTTTAAGGGAAACGCAGGGAAACCAAAAAGAAGCCACCATTCTGGGGGATGACAAAAGACACACACCGTACCCCCATCATCTTCCCAAGCGGAATGGATTGGTCTGGAGGTTCGTGGGTTCACATTTGTCCTCTACAAAACACGAGTCGAACTCCCCACACAGTCCCCGAGGGGGGTCCAAACCATAGGTTGCTTGGTTGTTGGAGAACACGAAGGCGGGCTTGTTGCTGCAACAAAGCTTGGCCTCAAGCACAAAGTTGGGAGTTAGAAGACATACGACAGCAAAAACGCCTTGGGTAGACTTTATTTGTCCATAATCTACCCATCTTTGTCGTTCCTTGCGGGGTCTGGTGTGTTTGGCCGTACAAACCAAACCCCTCACCCACGACTCACCCCCCCTAAACGAGTGAGTTGGCCCCCCAGGCCAACTAAGCCCTAATTAAGCTGATTGTTTTTTGTTTTTTTTCCACTGAAGTGGTCCAAACCAAATGTGACTCCAGGAATTCAGGGAGCGAGACCCATGCTCCCGATTGAATATGAAAGATCGCCAGACCCTATTTAGTAGGGGAACCCTCCCAACCACAGAAAAGGGTTTTCAGGGCACCTATATAGCTGGGGGACCTAGTTGGGGTCTGGGCCTTCCATTGGCCAAAGGCGAGTAAAAAGATCCGCCTGCACCTCTGCCCGCGAGGACCGTAGCGCGGCCACCGAATGCATGCTCGCCTGGAGACCCACCCTACCCTGGAGACCGAGAACCCCTCCCGAAAGGGAAACCACAAGTTTGGGCGGGGGTCTCCACCCTTACACAACCATTTTGCTGGCCCGTAGAAACTCAATACCCGAAATGAGGAGGTTGCAAAGGGGGCCTCCAACGCTTGCTTTAGGCGAGCGCCTCTGAATGCCTTTGAAGCGCGTTGGGAGGGCCTGAAACATGCTTTAGTTGATTAAGTAGGAGAAAAAGGCACAGTGTGCCCCCCTGTTGCGCTGACCGAGCAGACAAACATCAACCCACCAAGCAACCCAACCAAACGAACGAACGAACGAACGAACCAACCAACCAACCAACCAGCCAACCGACCCAACCGACCAACCAGTCAACCAAGCGAACGACCGACCGAGCGGCTGAGTTACAAGCAAGAAAGCAACCTCCCCCTTCCTCCACAGCTCCCAGGGCCAACATGGCCATGTTCGCTCGGCTCGGCTTGCCTTTTCAAGCTCTGCCCGGAGCCGAGCCGCGTGTCTTGCCTGCCGAATTTCGAGGCGACGGCGGCTGATGTTCGCGGATTCCGACGATTTCCATTACCCACAAGCCGCAATCTGGGAGACATGGCATCTTGCATTTATGTGTTGTATTTGTTCTTAAACATAAGAATCAAAGCCACTACACAACATATAGCAATATATATATACGTATACACATATATATCCTTATATATTTGTCAGGAACATAGGCTGAGAAGTAAACACATGTTGTGTAAAACCATGTTAGGTTCCCCTTGTGGGGCCGATCGGCATGTCCCAGGAAGCCAAGCGACAGCAACAAGTGGTGACCTGAAAAACGGTCTATCCAGCCACTCCATTCATGCAATACATACTCACATTTGCCCTCCATGGGTCAAATGCTGGCACTCACATATAATATATTTCTTAGGGTTCAACACTCATTAAGGGAACGGTTGACACCAATTAGATGATGACACGTTATTAGGCAGCCAATGGTGGTTATATTAACCCCAATTGCTCAAATGGTGCGTTGAAACCAATATATTAATATATATATATATAACCTGCATGCATTGTGTGTATCTTGACCGTCAAGAGGACGCGCTTATTTTGGCGCGTGTTCCGCCTTCTGGCGCTCGGATGCTGTGGGGGGGTTGTCCATGGATCAAAAGATCCACCAAAACAACAAACAAACGAATAAGAAACAAAGAAACAAAGAAACAAACACAAGCAAGCAAGCAAGCCAGTCAACCAGCCAACGACCTACAAACGCACACACAAACAAACTGACAAACAAACAAGCGAACGAACGAAACAAACAAACAAACAAACGAGTGAACAAACCAACACCAACCAACCAAGCTAGCAAGCAAGCAAACAAGCAAGCAAATAAACCAACAAAGAAAGAAAGAAAGAAAGACAGAAAGAAAGAAAGAAAGAAAGAAAGAACACATAAACAATCAAACAAACAAACAGAGAAAGAAATAAACAACAAATGCACAAACAAGCACACGACCAACCAATCAAAGAAACAAGCAAGCGTAATTGATAGAAACATCAGCAACAACAGCACAAAGGCAGAAAGACAACAGCAAATGCATAAAGACAGAAAAGAGGAAGAAAGAAAGAAAGAAAGAAAGAAAGAAAGAAACAAAGAAAGAAAGAAAGAAAGAAAGAAAGAAAGAAAGAAAGAAATAAAACAATAAAGAACGAAATAAAGCAATGAAGAAAAAAACAAAACAAACAAACAAACAAATAATAAAACAAACAAACAAACAAACAAACAAACAAACAAACAAACAAACAAACAAACAAACAAACAAACAAACAAACACACAACAACGCTTTGCACCACGGGCCGCTCGGTATTTGCTCATTGGCCTCCCGTGTCTGCTGCAGCCAGACGCTGAAAGGCGCGAAGAGTGCAACGAGGGCCCGGTGCTGTGCGTTGCGCTTGGCGACACCTCAGCCGAGCGAGTCGTTGAGTCGTTTTGGGCGGTGGGGGCTGGATCCGAAAGAACTACCCCATATCATCAAACTGGAAACGAGGTCTGGATCGGACGGGTCTTCAATCGGGAGGGTTTTTGGGAGGATGGGTTTGAGAGATGTTGAGTGTTTTTGAGTGTTGTTGAGTGTTTTTTGAGCATAAGGGGGGGAAGTCAGCTACCACGTGTGGTGTGCAAGTGAGTTTGGGAAACCTTGGACCCCCTTAGCTGGAGACCCAGGCCTCTAGATGAGAATGCCCCTGCGTGTGGTTTTGAAGATCCGAAAAAGAACCACCCCATAACAAACAAAGGGGAAGTCGCCAACCATACTTTTGAACCATATGGCTTTAAGTTGGTAAATTGAGGCTGGTGCTGGTGAAGCAGTCCAGGTGACGTTTTTTTGCGGGTAGTCCCACCTGGGTTGGGTTTCTCAGGTTTATCACTCCTGGAGAATTTGTTGGTCCACCTGGATGAATTAGATGGGCCCTCTCTCTAAGAATCAGCTGACCCCTTTATCTTACCATGGTCAAAGACACCCAAGTGGTAGGTTGAAGGGAAACAACCAACCAGTTTCTGACTTTGATAATCTCTAAAAACAGCCAAAAAATGGGCCCAGATCAAGAAAGTGGCAGGAAAGTAGTCCTTCGATCATCAGCTTCCGTGATTGTTGGAGGGAGGATACCTAACATTGTGGGAATATGCTTTTGGAAGGTATCCTGATTATCGCTGGGTTTCCTTGGAATTGAGAACAAAGCACAAAACATCTGACTTGGACACAAACTCAAAACTTGATCTTGTATGCTCACGCTCACGCGCCTGCAATGGAAAACCCAGATACACTCCAGAAAGCAAGAACCTAACTGGTTGAGGCCGTCCGAGTGGCTTCATAAAGCTGACAACCACGTTCTATGAACCATTTGCCGGTAAGGTTGAGTTTATCCAGCTATTGTGTTGGACCCATGCCAATTTGACGACTGCTTTGACCATGTGCTGAATCCAAACTGGTACGGCGCCAACTCTGCCCCACTTCCCCAGTTACCAGGCTTGTTACCTCTAAGAGGCTTTGCATGATGGTAATAGTGGTAACTGGAAGCACTGGGGTACGAGTGCTGCAGATTAACGTGGACCCCGCGAAATGCTAATTGTAAGAGGAAGCTCCTTTTGAATTGGACCCCCCTGGGTTGGTTTGCAGGGGATGTTCAACCAACTGTTTAAGTAGGGTATAACCATGGTTATAACTGGGGTTAGTCACTTGAAAGCCTGAAAACCATGGTTATAATCTACTTAAGTAGTTTGAACACCCAAGAAGTAATCAATCCCTCCTTGGAAAAGCAACCCAACTTTTTGTCTAAGCCACCAACAACTTCACCAAAAGTGACGATCAAGTCTGAATCTTATCTTGGAGAAAGTGAGCTTTGGATAAATTTTGAGAAGGCTCCCCGCCCATTGCCGAGGCGCGGGTGCCCTGGCACCTCAGCGCCCGCAGCTGGTTCCGGAGCTGCGCCAAGGCCGCGGTGCTGCGCTGGGTGGCCTCCGACGCTCCGAGCTCCGAGTCGACGAGTTGAGTTCGAGTGGCGGCGCTTGGCGCGAAAACCCCGCGTCGTGGAGCTGCGCTCGGCCCTTCGGCCCTTCGGCTCGTCGCTTTTGAGGCGATGGATGGGCCAAACTTTGTTGGTTGCAGTTCACCCCTCTTCAACAACTTTTTATTGGTTGATTCTTTTTGCTTGGTCAAGACTTGGTCAAGTACACCTTTGGTGAACAGCGAATCGGCTCGGAAAATACCTCGGCTTTCCCGGTGGCATGCTTACTCAGATGACCTCATGGCCAAGGTGCGATAAGTAGGCCATGAGGGAATGAACCCAGGCTTCGGTCCCCTCAAAGGAAACCACCAGTTGGATGGTTTACATCAAAGGTTCAATCCACACAAGGGTGACCACGCGGCAATGCCAAAAAAGAGTAAACATTAACATAACAAATTTGAAGCAAATGAAAGTCAAAAGGTTGGCTTAAAGATTGAGACCAAAGGGACACCACCTTTTCTTTTTCTTTTTTAAGGGGTCCCCTATTTTGAGACAAATCCACATGTCCCATGTCCTCTTGGAAACCGCTCATGAGTCATTGATACAGTTGGTACCCGGATTTCCTGATCCTGCCAGAGCCCTACATCGTTCCCAAGAAGTATGCCATTCTGCAATTCAAAACCCTACCAACAAATTATATCCGGAAACAAACTGGTTTCACTCACTTCCTGAGTGGATTAGCGAAACAACTCTGTACTTGTTGTGTACAACTAAATTGGTCCTCCCAAAAAGTTTCAAGTCCAAGAACTCAGGAAGTGAGTTCATATGGAGTTAAGACCAGTCCAACCCGACCTCAGCTGGCAGAAAGCTTGTCACAGGGCTTTATGTTTTTGGTTTCCCCCCGCTAGACATTTGATTCAGAAGATCCCAAAAGTGAAGTCAATCACCGGGCTTTAGCTTGCCTAGGGGTAATACGGTAATATTGACTTCGGATGAATCTGGACCGTACCAAAGGGGTGTCCAGTTTCTGGGGATTCTGACGAGTAGCTCGCGATTCACCCGACGCTTGGCATTGTCTTATCTGACCATGGACCCCCAATCTCACTTCCTGAGCGGATTGGTCAAAACCAGTCCAACCTGTATGCGAGCCACATGGCCTTCCCATGCACAAAGCTCAGGAACTCAGGAAGAGAGTAACGAAGATCTACAACTTGCTGGTGCAAGTAGGAAATTCGGGAACGAACCCAGGCTTTCGGTCCCCTAAGGAAACTACCAGTTGGATGAGTCAGAAAGGCTACGGGCCAAGCTGGCAGTTTTCAAGGGGTCCCCGGAAAGGAAGCCACGCCAGTTGGATGGTTTTCCCAACTCAATTTTTGTTTTAGGTCCAGAGAGGTTGGAACAAGTTGGCACCAACTTTTCTTTTCTTCTTTTTGTAGTCTATTTCAGTACCGCGCGGGCAAATCACTGGCCTTCTCCTCCTGGCTGCGCAGCTCCGCCTGCCGTAGGACGTTGTGGGGGGGGGGGGTGAATGAAAAATGGAGCAAAGATGGCGGAATCCAAAAGTTGAGGAGGGAACCCTTGCAAACAAAGCCATGCCGGAGCTTGTGGGGCCTTACACGAAGGTGGTTCCCTTTGCCTGGGTTCATAGATCAACTTTGAGTTCAAAGCACAAACGTTTTAGAAAGAACCTCAAACGGCCGTGATTGTTAACGGAAAACCCCTCGAAGTGGTTGGTGGACACAAATCGCAACCAAAATGAAGTCCAAGCGGCCCATGAAAATCACCCAAATCGGTCTGAAGCCCTTTTAAACACACATGTGGCTAGACAACATCCGTTCGCCGTAGTCCTAATATGGGTGCGGGTCAAAATTAAAACACCAGGGGCCCCAGGCTGGAAAATCCTGGTTTACCAGGGTTCCACTTTGGGGTTACCCCATGTTGACCCACAGCCATACTTCCATTTGGTTGAGACCCTTGGAAAAATATACAAAAACATCCAGTAGTGATAGATTCCCTTTAAGACCAACAGGGGAAAATAAAACATATTCATTTCAGCAAATGGAATATGAGGAGCCTCTTCCAGGGCGCGAAAACGGCCGAGAGAGATCAACCCACGGGCCTCGCCTCGTGCGCCGCCGCGTGGCGCGCCTGGCGCGCCGCGAAGTGCCAAGCGCGCAGCGCCGCCAGCTGCGCCGAGCGCCCGCAGCTGGCGGAAAGAAGCGCCAGGAGCGCCTCCGTGGCACCTCGCGGCGGGAGGAATCGCCTTTTTCCTTGAGTGCTGTACCCAGAGGGTCCAAGTACCTCCTGAGGGTGGCTTTTGGCGGGTAAAAGGGGTCTAAGTGCCTCCTTAGAAGGTACCAAGGGGTAGATCCCCCAGCAAAAAGTTAAGCTTTTTGCTGGTTAAAAGGAAATATGAGTGGCATCCAACAAGTTAAAGTCTAAAGATCCAAGCCAATAGCAGTAGTGTCTTGGGACCCCTGGGACACACACACGGAACCCGTCGAAGAATGGGCAGGTAGCACGCAAAATGAAGCAGAAAAGGACTTGTTCTGCATTGCGCCTGTCACCTGCTTATGAAGAATCACCAGGTCGTGACCAGAACCCCCCCCCCCGTCTCGCGAATCAGGGGTTGGCCCCCTTGTGCAAACCACGGCTTGAACCACCCAGTGGATTCAAGTTTCCACTGCCGTGGGTAACCACCCATTGTCCTTTTGGGTTTTGAAGGCTTGTTCCCTTGGTTACCTACTGCACGTGTAAATTGAATCACTAGCTAATTTTTGACCCACCTAGGTAGGGTTCGAAGGTGTCAACCGCCAAACCCTCAATGGCCGGAGGATAAAGGCTGGTCTATTTTCTCTACGTATGGGAAACCCCTTCCGTCAGGTAACCTCTTGGTTTGGTGGTTTGCATTTTGCTCTGACCCCCCGGTTCTTGCAGAAGTGGGAACCCACCTCTAAACCACCTTCAAGGCAAACCAACAACTAGAGGCTAGGTCCTCCAGTACAGAGGTTAAAACAAGGGTACCCAATCTTTTCTGTAGTCTATTTCAGTAGGGGAACCCTCCCAAACAAAAAGAAACGGTCAAAGGGCACCTAGCTGGGGGACCTAGGAGGGAAGCTGAGTCCCACCACAACACACATGCTAAGATTTTGCTTCATGTTGAGTCTGCCTAGATCCTCGAACTACCCATAAACAAAAGGGACTTCACCCTACAATGATACAGCCATAGCAATTTGTGAAGGGAATTTTGAGGGAGGTACCCTCACTCATTGCTTCCAGCTACCATTATATAGTGGGCAACCAGGGGGAACCATGATGTAAAACTTAGAGGCACAAATACTTGGGTCCCCGTCTCCAAAAAAACAACACCCTGTTTTTGGTGGTTTTCAATGGAAATCAAGAGGACAACCAAAATCCAGATTGGGGGGTCCAAATCCTAAAGAACACAACCACCGGGTTACCTGAAACATGGAAGCACTGGGTAAAATTTGCAAACAACACTTGAGGGACCGTGGATGCCCCGCTCGCCATATTGCAAGTAATCCTAAGCCAGCCACATAACCATGGAACATCAAAGCAACTCGGAAGGTTTCTTGACTTCTTTTCCTGTACTGTTTAGGTAATCCACCATATTAAGCCTTCTTTTGAAGGCTCAGTAACCTTTCTGGGTACTACAAGGGAGACAAAGAAGGAAACCCTGGGTCAAAACCTTGTACCCCCAGTGAACATCCCAATCCCAACTAAAATAGGTTCTAAAATGGGTGGTGCACCGAAAACCCCAAAATGGTGCCATTGGTTTTGACCACAGCCATTTATGACCCATGCACTTTATTTCGTTTGCCTCAACTCGCTAAGGCCCCCGGCCATCGTTCGCCACTGGCGCCGCCTGCTGCGCCGCCGCCGCGTTGGCCGCCGCCTGGGCCGCCGCCAGCGCGGCCTCTTGCCGGGCGGCGCGCGCGGCATGGGCCTGTGGCTGGTGCCCAACAGGGGGGGGGGGGGGGGGGCTTGGGGGGGGCTGGGGGGGGGGGCTTGGAGAGGGGCTTGGGGGGGGGCTTTCGGAGGTTGGTTTGGTTTGGGAGGGCAGGGAGGTTGGGAGGTTAGGGAGGGAAGTTGGGAGGTTAGGGAGGGAGGTTGGAGAGATTTGAGGGGTTAGGGGTGATTTGTTCGATTGGGTTTGTTCAGTTGGGGGGGTTGAAGTTCGTCGGGGGGGTTGCGGGCTTCGTCCAAAATAGGGTCCACAAGGCACGATGCAAGCTTAAGCGAGCATTTGTTCTATGGGGGGCCTGCTAAAGACCCAAAGCTTTGACCCAATTCGTTGGTGCATTAATAGGGCTTCATGCATCCCAGCATGTGCAGGTGCTTGCCCATTCACGGCAGTAACAACCTTGAACACGACTCATGGCCCAACTGACTGCCAAGTCCTGTTGAAAAGGAGCGGCGCTCTTCAGCTACTGTACTTTTGCAGTGGAACCAACTGGGAAAAATAAGACATTTCCTCTGAAACGTCAAGGGAAGGCTACGCTTCTAGTTTCCACGACCCAATCCAATACCCCCAGCTTGGACCACACAAAACCAAAAATACACATTCCGAGGATGGCTCCCAAGCTTGAATTTCTTTTTTGGGCACCAACTCACAGCCTTGACGACACCTGACCAAACCCAAATCCAGAAATGAAACCGCAAAATCCTCCTTCAACGCTGCTTCCGGTGGGGCCCAAACCCACCTGACTAAAATCCAGGACTTCCAGCACCCAGAAGCGCCCGATTGACTTAAGGCCTTCAAACAACTTGGTTTTGACACCAACCACCGAAGCGGGGTGTTTACTGAAGGGGTCGGGTCAAAACCATTGCAAGGCCCACGAATCACGTCCTCCGAAACAGCACCCGCCCGAGTCCCCGCGACCCCGTCCATCGCGAGCGCGGGCGCGAGCGAGGACCCGCCTCCGCCACGTGACGCTGCCAAGCCTTAAGCACCGCGTGGCCCATGCAACCATCCTGCCACCGATGCCAATAAGTCGGCAACCCGCGCCCGTCAGTCCTGATGAGAAACCAGCTGAAAAGAACACCGAAATATAGTCTTAGGCCAATGGAAGACACCATCCCAAGAAGGCTCATTCTTCGAGTACCAAGGTCTTCCAGTAGAGAGGTTAGAATAAGGGTACCAACTGGTTTCTATTCTATATTTCAGGGGAACTCTCCCCCCAAAAAGTTGGTTAAAGGCACTCTGGTAAAAGGGCACCAATTGCTGGGGGACCTAGTTAACCAGCCTTTGCCCGGCCTTCGCCCGCTTGCCCGTCCACCCGCCCGCTTTGCTCCCGTCACTTCACTCCTCGCGTGCACATGCCACCGTCATGGCTCGGCACAGCCTGCCGCGGACGCTCCGCAGATCCTGCGAACGCCGTCGACGCTCGCGCCGACGGACACGTCCGCCCGAGGCGCGTCTTTGTTCTTTTCAGGGTGCCCTGTTGGGTTGGCTTGGAAAAGGGAAATCATCAAAAGGAAAACCAAACTCTATGTTTTTGTCGAGTCCGATTCCGCACAAAATTGACACCCAAATTGGGCTGCGGCGTTCAATCCAAGGGAAAGTCTGACAATGTCGCCGTGGCTTTTCCTTTTTGGGGGGGTGGCTTCCCTTAAAGCCTTTTAACTACGTAGGGCTCAACCCCAGCAAAACAATGGCAAATTCCTTAGGTAAACACTGGCGGCTATACTTCAAGGGTGACTCCCCATCCATCCTTTTCTCTGGGGTTTCCCTGGTTCGAACCCAGGGCGTACCTTTGTCTTCTTTTTTGGGGGAGGGGCTACTGCTATAAGCTGCGATCTGTGTTTTTCTTCGGGAGATGCTTGGTTTCACCCCCCAATGGCTGTCTTGTCAGCGCGGGTTCTGGAGGAAAGCTGTCCTTGGGGGGGGTGAATAACTTCTCTTTTAACTATTCCTGGACCCTCAACATACCGGGTTAATTCCTTTTCTGTTGGATAGTTGGAGGGTACAGGTACCACACCCTGCGAGGGTAACTCTGACCATATCACTTGACCTGACCAATACGCATACATTTTCTGACCGATTGCAGTTGTTCTTCTTCTGGCTCGAGCCTCCGCCCATCGCTGTTTGAGCTTCTGGATCTTTCGCTTGTACTTCGCCTGACCAACACAGCAACTCATCCCTTGCAAAGAAAACGGTGGGAGATCTGGAAAACAAACAGCCAGGACATGGCCCCGGATGGAATGAAACCGATCAAAACCAGTGGAAACCTTCTATATTCACTTGTGTACAAACCTAAGGACACCAGCCTATGGGCAGAGCATTTGCCAAAGATTCGGGCCTTGGATGGGAGCTTGGCTGCTTGACTCATTTCGTGCACTGAACTCCAACTCCGCTGGATTCTAGCTCGAGCAAAGCTCCTCATGAAAGGAACCAAGGCCAACAAGGCAAACCCAGGGCCCTCCGCAAGATCGGATGGTGGCGAAATCCATCCAACGCACCACCGAAATGAACTCCTGGAATGTTGATTCCCGGGAAATACCAACAAACAATGGGTTCTCATGACTTCAAAGTGCAGGATTTCGTCCATCCACAGCATCACCAGGGACATTACGCAGGCGTCAAAGTGCACCACGCCCTTTCAGCCGACTGTCCTTTGCTAGGTCCTCCAGTGGTTTGAGGTTAGAATAAGTTGGTACCCGATTGTTTGTTTTTTGTTGTTGTTTCTCTGTTTTGTCTATTTTAGTAGGGGAACCCTCCCCCAAAAAAGGGAAAAGGGCGCTACTGGGGGACCTAGTTTGTTCCATTCCTGAATGCTTTGGCCAGAGAAAGTCGAAACTCTTCAGAGGATCCCAGGCAATTCCATCTAGTAGGCAACCAGCTTTGTGCTTTTAGTCTCAGGGTGGTTTCCTTAACTGCCTGCTATACAGGATCCACTGGGCTTGTTTAACGCGAAAAAGGTCTTCCCAAGAAGTTTGCAGACCAGGATCTCAGGGACCTTTCCTGTGCCAGGTCGGAGGGTACCAACTTTTTGGAGAGGCTGAAAATGGACACCTGAGCATTGTTTTTTTAGAGGTTCAGGGCTTATACACTGCTGGGGAGGCTACGCGGGGGGCTTCGCGGGGCCAGAATTTGTGGAAGGGTTGGCTTCGCGAGGCTTCGCGGCAAGACTGTGGCTTCGCGGAGTGGCTTCGCCGGGCTTCGCGGATGTTTGTTCCACAAACATCTCTCACATTTGCGCCCCCATGTTGTTGAATCAAGTTGCGTCCATGCGAAAGGGTTCGATGAAAGGCGGCAAGAGAGGCATTGAGCTTCAGGACTAGGGGACATGGCTGGGCCTCAAAGGGGCGGAGCATGGCAGTTGGACCGCGGTGGCTTCGCGGAGGCTTCGCGGGGGCTTCGCGGGGGCTTCGCAGAGGCTTTGCGAAAACGTTCCATCGTTTCTAGCAAAACCGAGTCTGAAACACACAGTGCTCTTCCGGTCGTCTTCCCGTAATCTTCCTGTAATCCTGTCGTAGCCTGCTGACTCTAAACATCAACCTTTGGAATACTACTGCCATGAAAGCGCACAACACACTTGCCATGAAAGCACGCAGTACGCTCAAACGACGAAGTGGCTTCGCGAAGTGGCTTCGCCTGTGTCAATGTTACCGGGCTACGCGAAGTGGCTTCGCGGGGCTTCGCGGTACACAATGTATCGCACAAGTGCCTTCGCGGAGCTTTTTGGAGTTCCCCACGAAGCTAAAATCCATCATCCGAGAAAAAAACGCTGCTCACCTGAAGCCTCCAGCGAACTGGGCAAGTGGCTTCTAGGTAGGGCCATCCACTGATTGTTAGGTTCAGGATCTGCCGAGAATTTCGCGACCCATCCAAAGATCGAAAGGCTGCTCCGGAGTGCATCTCAAAGGGTTGGGGTACAGGAAACTCTACAGGAAAACTGTTGATTTCGAGTGATTTGGGTTGCCATGTCCTGTAGATGCTCCTGTAACCAAGCTTTTTCACTACAACATACTACGAGACTCGCCAGCCCAAAAGTGCGGCAGAAGAAATTGAGGCTGCCCCCCCGCCCTTGCAGGAAAGGTTTCGGCAGGGGGGCCGTTCTTTGTCTGTGACCCAAAGGAACCTTCATGGGGAAGGTCACAAACCAAAATCGCTGTGAGGTAAAGATACAGTTTGCCCCCAAACAATATTGATCAACAGGTAAATGCCAACTTGTATCTCAAATCATTAGAAATATGACGTGGCTCTCTTTACTGATACCCTGTACGGGTTGCCTTCCAGAGCAACCAAGAGACACCCACCCAGTAGTGAGCCACCCGGGCCCTGGTGTTAAACAAATAGATGGCTCGGAACATTTGAGGGGGCAACATACCATCTGCTCGTGGTGTCCTTTTGGTCATAGGTCACCTGCTCAATCTCTCCTTTTCGTCTTCCTTCTTGGCTACAACGGCTTGCTATAATGGGTAGGAAGCATGCATGTGCTCAGGAATTCTCATTTCAGAGGTTTGTGTTTCGTTTCCCATGCACCCAAATGTTCGCACTCCCCAGGTGCCCTCCAAAGGCGGGCATACACATTGGACCTAACTGGCAGCCTAAGGGACCTAGGACTTTAAAGGGAGCTTCAACAAAAAAGAACACGCAAGACCTACGAAAGGTCCCCCCTAAAAACCTTGCGGATGTCCGGTCGGACTCTGAGAAACAAACCCAAACACAACGAGCGCTGGGACCCTGAAGCAAGTGGGTTCCGGGGCTGGGTCCAGGGATTATTGTCCTTGTCCGTACCAGGCGGAGTCAAAACCACTCAGTTGCTGGAAAGGAGGGGTCCTTTGGCAGTTGAACTGCCAACGCAGCCTTTTTAGGATATCAAAAGGGACGTTACGAGGGTATCTCTCCTCATTTCTTGCTCCTTGCTGGAACCACCTGCTGCTGCTGCTGCTCTGCTATTGTCAAAACACGGACACACGATTATGCTGGCTTTCCTTCTGGTCGTTCGAACAGAAAGTCGCAACTCAAGTAGCCGAATTGTCCCTGGAACCCAGACAGCCCAGAGACCATGGGGAAAAATGGAGCTTGGGTCCCTGGATGTTACCTTTGACTTGTGCCCCCAAGCCTGTCCATGGACTGTGAACCAACCGAATCACCAACCCACCTACCTTCCAACCTACTAACCAGCCTACTGGCAACCAAAGCAAAAAAGAAGCTCGCTTCCTTTGGGAAGACCATTTTGGTGGACAACTTTCAAAAGCTTGGACTTCATATTACTTTTTCGGTCCATCCACTCCGCCAGCGAGGCAAGAGGAAGCCCGGGCGAGCGAAGATCCCTCGCCTCTTCCGACTTCAGCTCCGACTTCTCTGCGAGGGGCTCCTTGACCCGCGCCTCCTGACGCGCGGGGCCCATGAAAGGGGCCCAAGTCAGAGGGTCCCTTGGTACCTCCTGGCTCTTGGCGGGAAGGGGTCGTTCAGTACCTGCTTAGAAGGTACTAAGGGACCCACTAAGAACCCTCTGGACCCTCTGGACCCGATAGGTGGATAGGTTGATCTACCCTCATAACTCTCATTTGCTCAAGTCCCCTGAAAAATTATGTGCCCACAATAGATAAACGTTAAAACCAACAGAGAGGTAATAAAACGAAAACTTGATTCAGAAAAGGGAAGATATCGAAGGCGCGTCCCATGGACGAATCCAACATCCCCGCGCATCGAGCGGGCCCAGGTGGGATTGGTGGTATAACCGGGATCGGCGGGCGATTTGTATCCATTAACGTGCCTGCAAAACCAGCCTACCATTTACCCTCTACAAGAACCAGAATTGCAAATCCAAATCCACAACACAAATCCAAATCAGAAATGAAGGGTAAGGGTCACGGGTACACTGAACCCTTGTCATCAGTTAGGTATTTGGAGGAGTGAAAGGTGCGTGGATTGACCCAACAAGACCAAAAAGTGGCCAGACAGGAATTCGGAACTCAGATGCATGCATTTCCAATGCGAAAAAAAGGGCATCCTTTTTTGGTTGACTGTAAAGGAATCGGAACCCTTCCCACAAAAAAGTTGAAACAAAGACATCTGGCAGAAAGTGAGAGAGTGAAAGGCGTATTATTCTAGTGCTTGGACACCTCCAATTTCCGCAGTTGCGTGTACAATAGCAGCTCACCCTTCTAACAACAAAAAAAAACTCCGGAAACCAAAAGAACACTCTTTGCTTCAAAAAGCGCCTCCTGGTTTCCCTTCAAAACCGACCCCAAATGGGGGCTCTACCTCCAAAGAAGCCTAGCCGCAACTTCGTGATTCCTTAATCCCGTGCTAAAAGTTGAGAACTTTAGTTATATTTGTCACGCCTCCCTATTAAAACCAATCAAAAGTGAAAGTCTGGCATGCCTGAGAACTGCTAATTACGAAACAGGGTGAGACACACATGTCTCGCCCCAATGGCTCCGGTTCGCTCCTCCTGCCAAAGCTTGCACCGCTTTTCCGCCTGCACCTGCCAGAAAAAATACAGCTGACGGGAGGCGTGAACGGTCAATATTTGAAGGTCCCGCCCAGAATTCTATGTCCGGGGTGATGAATCTGTGGGTATCCAAAGGGAAACCAAAGGCAATTCCGCCCTGACTGGTTCTGACTCTGAGACACTTTGGCCTCACTTGAGTGGATTTGTAGGCCAGGCTCAAGGGGAATAGCTACGTGCGCTTGCGGACGTGTCCACCGCGAACCCCGTCAACTGGCAAGCCAGTCAAAGAAGGTCCGGTGAAGAGAGGCGACCGCGGCAGTCAGAAAAAGTCAATGCCGGCCCTGGGAACTTCCTGGAGCTGGTTTCTTCATTCGACGGATTCTTCCATATGAAATTTGGTGCCCTTTGCCACAGAACCCCTCCACCTGGGTGCAAATTTGGATCAACAAGAACGGGTTTTCTAAGTGATTGCATACTGGATCAACTACGAGACTCGGCTACCCAAACACATGTTGGATCAACAACATTTGCATCAACATTTGGCTCTTTGTGGTGTTTAGGTGCTTGGTTTGCAGGGTCCGAGCCGTTCATTGATCCTGCAACGAGTCAAGCGAAGGGACAAAGCGACACCGTCCAAGACAGGGATATGCCGTTTTAGGGGATCCCCGAAACGGTATACCTGGGCGAGACAATGAGCCTCATGGGGTGATGCTCAAACGAGGATTTGTTGGGGAGCCCTGTAAAGCAGGCATAAAGCACAGGTGTTTACACAACTTCCATTTGGTTCAGGCTCCTAGGGTTGTGGGAAATGACCACTTCTGTGATACAACGAAAAGGGCTTCCCAACGACTAACACCCCAGGAGATTCCAACAAGTATCACAGAAGTGGTTGAAGAAAAAAACGAGTGATTCCACAACCCTTGAGTTCAGACCCCTGGAAAAAAATAAAAATCCAGTGGTGATAAGGTCCCCTCCCGGGTCCCTTCCCAGGTCCGTCCCCCGAAACCGAGCGAAGCGCGGCGAGCGGCGAAGCGAGGCGCGGGCGCCTTCTCCTCGAAGGACTCCCCGCGCCAGGCGGTGCGGCGCCCGGCGCGCAGCCCGGCGATCTCCTGCTGCATCACCAGGCGGTCCCCCACCTTGGAGAACCTCGCAGCCGGGGGGGAGGTGGGGTGGGGAGGTGGGGCGGTGGGGTGGGGGGAGGTGGGGTGGGGGGTGGGGGGTTCGGGGGGGTTCGGGGGTTGGGGGGGGTTGGGGGGTTGGGAAGGGGGGGCAGGCGAGTGACAGGCGTATCGTGGGAAGCCCCTTGAGTTCTTTTGGGACAGAATCCGACTGTTGAAAAAGAGCCCAACGGCCTCATCTGGAAGCACTGGCTTGGGATTGGAACGGCGAGCCACCCGATCTCGCGGAGATCTTCGTTGGTGAGCTGCAGGAGTCTGTCCCCGCTGATGTTGTGCTCCTGAATTCCCAAAATTGCGGTTTCCTTTTGGCTTCCCGGGAACAACCGACCAACTTGTCTACCTACCTACCTACCTACCTACCTACCTACCTACCTACCTACCTACCTACCTACCTACCTACCTACCTACCTACCTGCCAACTAACCAACCAACCTACCTACCTACTTACCTACCAACCACGCATCCTACCATCCTACCAACCAACAAACCAACCAACCAACCTGAGTGGACTGGCCAAAAACATCCAAACTTGTTTGTTTGCCGACAGGTTTTCGATTTCCAGGAGCTCTGGGAGTGAGTGGTTGGTTTCCCGGGGGGGAAACAACCACCAACAAATGGAACCGGATACCGAGCAAAGAAAAATAACAAACACGTAGGCTGGAAACCGCCGCCCTTTTGGCGAAGCTGAGCTGGCATTTTTGGTCGAAATGAAAACTGTGCCCAAAGGAAAACGTCTACCTTGAGAAACTCTTTGGCTTCTTTTCAATCAGAAAGCGCTTCGCGAATGGACCTGACTTCCTAAACAAGGGAGGTCGCAAAAAGGGAGCGCAGCAAAAAGAAATACCCCCCTTTCTTAACATATCCTATACTCATAGCATGCTAGCAGGTGGACTTCATTTAGGCGGGAGGCATATATCCACCAACCACTTTCAGATGGCTCCAAGTCTTGAAATGCGATGCGGTCCTCCAGACTGTCCTAACTCAAGTGGCTGACACGCAAGACGAAAACGGAGCTTCTCCAGACAAGCTTGAAGCTCGGTGAGATTGAAGCTTCCTTGTGGCAATAAACATCATGTGCATCAACTTACTGTTCTAGGGGTTGATTCCTTGTCCATTCTGTTCAACCATCGTTCTTTTCAAAAACCGATCGCTGTTTCCCCAGGGTTTTGGGCGTTTCTTGGAAAGAAGGAAGAATGGGGAAGGTACCCCTAGAACTGTCAACTTCTCATCCAAAAAAAGGGCTCACGCAAAACGCCTGAATCGCCCAAACCGCCTTAAATCGTGAAACGCCTGGGAAAAAGCACGCAAAGGATGTCGAGGCGACGTTATTTGAGTAACCAGGGCGATTTTGCAATTGCCTGTCAACGTTTTGGAACGGGTCACAAGCTCCCCCCCTAAAATATCAAAAAATATGTTCGAGGGGGGGAGGGGTGTCATACGAAGACCAGCCCGTTTAGGCGTGTGGATGTGCGCTTTTGTGCAGTTTTTGGCGGGCGTTGTGCGGCTTTTTGCGGGCGTTGTGCGGCCATTTGCGGGCGTTTGTCCTTGCTGAAGCCTTTGCGAGAATTTACGGGCGCTAGCACTGCAAAATGAGGCACAAACAGAAACTACTATACAAGGAAACGGTACTCAGCTTCTTTTCAGTGCCCTCGATTCATTTCTTGGGTGCTATGATCCATTTTGAAAATAAGGGCACTTAGTCCTAAATCAAAGAGGTCACTTAAGCCATTTAAAGGGCACTTAGACCCTCAGGGATGCCCTCCCCAGCAAATCCCTCCTCAGTCCGAGCAAATCGAGCCACAGCGACACGTGAATGCGAATGACACTCACACGGGGGCGGGACCGACGCTGGGCAAATCGAGCTGCAGCGACACGCGAATGACACTCACGCAGGGGGGACCGACACTAGCGTAAGTGACCTTTTCAAGGGGTAAGTGACCTCGATTCGCACCCCCAATGACACCCAAATGACACGCTTTGACACTCAAAACGCCACGTTCGGGCTTTCCGGGTCGGCCACAATCAAATGTGGCAGTTGTCACACTTCGACACGGGTAGCTCTTCGATTTCAACAGAATCCCAACCCCTATCAAACCAAAAAGGGCACTTAGCAAACGAATCAAAGGGGCACTTAGGCCACCGACACTGCCTTAAGTGCCCTCGATTCAAAAACAGGCCAAGTGCCCTCCATTGGAGGGCACTAAAAATATGCTGGTCGTTGGAATGTCCAGGGATCCTTGTAAACCAGGGGAACACATTTATTTCTAACCCAACTAACATTCCCGTATTCCCTACTGAGAACCAGCCACTTAAGACTACCACTTAGTCATTCACGAAGTCCCTCAATAAGTCCAGCCCAACTGGCTCTTTTAGGGTAAAAACCTGTGTAGCAATCGTTTCTAATACCAGGAAGACGCAAACAAAGTGACCTGCCTGGGGGCTTTTGAGTTGGCCAAAAGGTGAGAAAACAACACCCCACTGACCTGACCCGAACAAAAAACAAAGCGCCATCCGTCGGGGAAAAAAAAAGGGGGATGGATCGGTCGGCGCCATTTGTTGGGCTCCTTGAAGATGTGCTCGTAGTCCGCAAAGCCACAGGCCGCCATGTACTGGCCCACTTGGTGGGAAGTCATCGCCGACCTCTCTGATTTCACAAAACCCCGTGCCCAGAGGATCCAATTCGATGTATTTTGGTCCCAAACACCGAAGCGGAAAATGAAGGGGTCGGGTCTTCCTTTGAAAGCCCCAGGAGCCTCTGGGTGGTGAAAACAGTTACTAGGCAAGTGTCCCCATCTAGTGGGGATTCATGATTGGTTTGGGAACACCCTGCTAGGATAGGTTGACTATTCCGGGCTCAACGCTACACCCGTACGCTTGACGACCAGCACCTTTCCATCGATACAACCCGGTATCACACCGGAAAAGCTGATCAGTTTGTTTCCCAAAGGCCCCATTTTGGGGGCTGGAACGGGGTCAAATCAAAGCCACTGAAAAAATGGACATTTCAGAAGTCGCAAAGGGAGAGTCTGGCAATTTGGTGGGTCTTCACGAAGTCTCACGTGAAAGTAGAAAAGTCCGACCACCTTGCCACTCCAAGGACTGCACTGCGTGCGGTTGAACAAAAAGTATTCCAAATATGACATGTTGTGAGGAGTTTCTGGTGACTTGAGCGTGACCCCGCAGAATGGTGGTGGTCCTTTTGGTTTCCCTTGGAACCCCCCCCCCCCCAAAAAAAAAAGACGTGCTGTCAAAAAAAAGACAGGCCCACTTGGGTTATTACATTTGGAGGCTTTGCATGGCCCCCGCGCCAAAACTAGCACCAGCTCTTCTCATGTTTAAACGGAGCTCAATGGCCACCCATTGGAATCGGAAAAAAAAGGTGTCCAAAGAAGCCTCTCAACATGGTGGGTTTCCTTTTGGAGTCACTTAAAACATCCAACAGGTGGGTCCCAATGTTTGGACACGTTCAAATCCTAAAGGCGATGTCCCTTCTTAAGATTTGAAAAACTGGGCCAGCAGCACATCCCCTGTTGAAACGGGAAAGTACTGAAAACGAAAAGGCAAACACTAGTAAAGGTAAGCTGAGTCAGGCAATGACAAGGGCCCAACATCATCTGGGCTTTACCGCTAGTCCCTTACCCCGTGGGTTGGAAATGCCAACGGAAAACCCGCAGTAAGCCCAATCTGCAAATCACCCCAAAAAGGATCACATGGTGCTCTTGTTTGCACCCTGACTCTCCGAACGAGTGGATTGGCCCAACAACTCTGAGCTGTTGTCAACCACTAAAATGCTCAAAGCCCAAATTAACAGTGACGATCAAGTGAATGAACTCGAGAAGAGAGAAATTACCTGTCTCCATGACCCTCAAAAAATGGGGTCATTACCTTAACAAACAAAAATAGGGTCATGGACCTGTGTTTAAAGGGTCATGGAGTCTTGTCTTTCCCCGGGTCACCCTTCCCGCTCGGGCCACTGGGACACTGGGACGGGTCTAAGCACTTGGGCCGGGAGCTCTTGGGATGGGTCTAAGCTTTCCCAACCGACCGGAGGTCTGAGCTACGAAAATCGAATGCATCTGCCAGGCGGCAGCCGACTGAACTCTTTCGAGTGCCTGGCACACCGAAACACGATCTGGCGAAAACCCAAAAACACAGACGCTGGTCAAAGGCATTGTTGTTGTTTGTTGTTCTTTATTATCACTGTTACTATTAAACAAGAAACATGTTTGTTATTTCAAGAATGCATAAACCTGGGCCAAAGTTGTCTTAAATCTGAAACAGATGTTCACCTCGCATCCCGAAAATAATCAACTCGGGTAATTATTCGGACGGTGGCTTTGTGTTTTCTTGGCGACGGGCAAGCACACCCAGATCCCGGGCACTGTGGGTCCAGACACTTCCCCTAGGGTTCCCCTTGAGGGGGCATGGAATAGGGCACGCCTTTTGTTTTCGGGCCCCGAAAACGGGGTAAGGTTCTTTTGGTTGAACAGGGAACCCCGACACCCCGCTTCCGAACGAGTAAATTTACCCAAAGACAAGTCAGCAAACTTTGTGTCGCCACTAAAATTGTGAAAACCCAAAGTGACTCAAGTCTGTTTCACGGAGCTCGTGAGCAAGAGCAGAAAGCACAGACAACGGTCACTAAAAGTGAGCCAAGTGGAAACTCTACTGGTCAAACGTGGACAAGTGAACCAAAACTTTGTTGTACCACTTGGGAATACAACTACAGTGTCCGATCGAGGCTATGGAGAACCCGAGTTTCACCCTGTACATCCCGAAGAGCTGAAACGTGGAGCCATGTTGGGGGCCCCGTAATTGTTCTCTTCGCGCACGTAGAAACGGCCAGTTCGAACCATCCTCGCTTTATCAGCATCCCTCGAAAAGGGATCGAAGACTTGTGGTGCGGAAGGGCTGTGTACCCACGACAAGAACCTGGGGCCCGGATGAAAATCCGAATCCAACGGCACCCTTTTTGAGGGAGGCTGTGGAAATGAGGACGGTTCGAACCACTAATCCAAACCACCAAGTGCGGGGAACCGAATGTACATGTAATCCCGCGCAAGCCAAGTGAGGGGATGAATCAGGTTGCCAAGTGACGGTCCCTGACAAATGCACAAAACTGATTCAGACATCATCCCGTGACGATTTGTTGGGCACCCTTTTTGGGGTTGCATTTGTAAAGACAACTACATGCATTTAACCTTTCGGCATAGCTTCAAACCCGAACTGTGGACATCCACTTCGCACCAGTTGGGATCCGTGGCTCATCTCGATGTTCGGATGTAATCCATCCCCAATCAATTCTCAAGGGGTACCATCCATATCCATTCTTTCCAGGCATCCTTCTTTCCAAAAAACCCTGGGAAACAGCGATCGGTTTTTGAAAAGAACGATGGTTGAAAATAATGGACAAGGAATCAGGGCCCAAGTTGTTCCGACATTGCTTCAAGTCTCTCTTTGATCGGGGCCGGCGTTTGGCGATCTGGGTGTTAAATGCAGCCCTGTGAGAGGCTGCTTTCAACCATATCAAACATGTGTCCATGGGTCAAAACCCAAATCGGTTAGCCCCCAGTAAACATCCCACTCCAACAACTGGAATAGGTTCTAAAATGCGTGGTGCACCTACCCCAAAATGGCACAATTGGCTTTGAACCATGGCCATATCTTCTCGTTTGAGTTTCCCAAAATTAGACATTGATGAGTTAGTGGATATTTAGCACCGAGTGATGCTTAACAATTTGGGGAAGTCGCAAAAGAGTGGGACCCAGAACCTGAAAAGGGTACCTCGCCTCAACATAAATGCCCAAATGGAACCAGAGACTCGCTTCCCGAGTGGACGGACTAGCAGAACAAAGTACAAACTGTTTGTCTAAGCCACGAAAGTGCTCAGAACCCCAAAAAACATAACTCGCGTCAAAAAAAACCCTCAAAAAAATCATCATCTAACTTACTGACTCACTGGGTCCAAAAAGCCTTTTAACTCTTTCCCATGGCAACCCCGGTGACTCAGGTCCAAGAGCCTGGGTCTGACCTCTCAATCTCAGATGCCCAGATTTCCATTGGGGATTTCCAAAGGGCATCCTTTTGTTGACTTTGAAGGAATCGGAACCCTTCCCCAAAAGTGGAAAAAGGGGAAGCACGCCACACGTGAAACCCAACCCCAGCCCTGTCCCGAACGCCTCGGCGTCGAGGAAAAGGCGTCCATGGCTGTTCGGAAGGCATCCGATTCGGACGGCCGGAAGGAGCTCCCGTTCACCCGGAAACGCTCGAAATCTCCGCTGGATTTGATCTCAAATATATATATATATATATATATATGCTACCCCGCTTGAAATACTCAGGCTTTTGGCCAGAACTTATTCCAGGGAGGGTACCATATATATATATATATATATATATCCGGATCACCAAGTAAAGCACCTGCTGAGCTTGTTCTCTAGAGCTCGGCAAGTTGTGCCAAAACGAAAATCAATGCAGCTAGTTTGTACCCTTTCTAGGTGTTTGGTCACCGCAAACAACGCACCTGGTTTCTTGTTGTTGTTCAAGCTGGTCATGCGCGGACAGACCCAGCGTGCTGTTTTTCTGGGAGCTTGGCTACTTCTCAAAGTATGCCATCTCCTTGTCCACGCTGCGAAAGCTGCTTTGGATAGGGGCGTCCCAGGTTGACACCATATTATTGTGTACATTAAATATATATACAATAATATGTATATATATACGATATATATATATATATATAGATTTATTTATTTATTTATATACCATACATTGCAAACAAACCCATTGGATCAGTTCCCTCAGTGAGGCTCTTTCAATTGCGGACTGTCCGTTGATCTTCCGCCCGGCATTGCTTTCCCGTTGAGCGGCGGTTTTGGTATGTTGCGCTTCTGAGCCAGCGGAGGGGCAAACACAACGCCTGTCAACGTGGGCTTTTGCCTGCGAAATGGTTATGAGTTTATAAATTGGAACGACTTCAAAGGTGGTTGATCCGGACACGTGTCCGTTTTTTTCATTCTGTTGGAGGGGTGGACCAACAACAAAGGGTGCCGTTTTTCCCACTGGGGGCCTGGGTGCTTCCTGTGAAGGGACACGCTGAGGGTTGCCGTGTTCGTGGCTGGTCAGGTGACAAGAACCGATTCAAGGGGGCACAACGTTCAGCGTTTATAGCAGCACACGAGAACCCCTGAGCCCGCTGGAATAGAAAAATTCAAGCTGTCTGGTGTTGTTTCTCATCCGGGTGTCAACTGTAATGGGCGAACCCTTGGTGCACATCGTGTGGCCATGGGTCAAAAAAAACAAAAGACAAAAAACAAAAAAACAGCCAGCGTGCAGAGGAAAGAGGAAAGACTCGGCCTTTGACTTGCGGGCACTGCGTGCTTTCCCGCTCCGACTTTGCAAAGCTCCTGGCCAGGGCCTATCTCCCAGGCTCCCGTGGGTCACGAGAGACTCGAAGAGCCGAAAAGATAAGGTTCACTTCGCGAGTATCCAAAGCTCCTGGCAAAAACAGACCAAAAGCTATGGAAAAATGCTTCCGTAACACCACCAGCATGAAAGCAGTAAAAACGTGTATGACAAAAAACCCAAAAAACAAGACACTCAATATCGTGGGTGTTCGGTTGACCGCCATTGCCCTCACTTGCCCAGACCAGGTGGTTTCACACGCGTCGATGCAAAGATGAACGCCAACTTGGGTTCTCCGCTCACGTGGGGCTTTGAACCTGGGAACAAGCTGTGATTGTGCTTTTTGCGAACCCGAGTGAGCGCTCTGCATGGCTGTGGGGCAAAATCTGGCAGTTGAACCCAGGCAGCCACATCCAACGGGAAGGTTTTCTCACCTCATTTTGAGCCACAGCCATATTGTAGCTAAGCCGACGAACTAAAGATCACTCACTCATGCCATGGCCTGAAAAGAATGCGTGGCCGTAGTCCGCGACACACTCGGAACTGTCGGGCACGCAAACTCCAAACGCGGGCGAGTGTCTCAAAAGCCCAGCAGACTTCCCTTGCAAGAAACGGCACCCTTCTTGTTGATTTTGAAGTCACTTGCCAAGGGCCGAGAAATGAAAGGTGATCACCTTTTGGGTTGCCATGAAAACTGGGTACAACGGGACAACCAAAAGGTCAAAAGGCCGATTCGCTTTGGTTGCAAGTTCAAAGGGACTCGTGTCAAAAGAAGAAGAAGGTTAACACCGGGCTAAAGAACGGTCATGACATCATTTGGCTTTCAAGTCCCCCGGAACTCTGATCGAATTACTTACGCCGCCCTTACAGTTTCTGGGTGTGTGTCACTGTAGAGGAACCCCCTTGAACAGCTGGCTTCCTGTTGGTTTCCCCGCAGCCCAGACGTAACAAGCACGTGCCAAGTCCCGGTTCCTTTTTGCAAGGGTCGGGAGCCTCTGGACTGAAGCTGTTCGGCTCGTTCCAGGCCAGACAACTACTGAGAGCAAATAATCCAAAAAGGTACAGACCCACTTAGAACGAGGTTGTAGGGCACTCAAAGCCGAAGTGTCCCAATCATAGCCTAATATCCCGGCCCCCCCCCATACCCTCTTTCCAAAGGGGCGCAAACCAAAAAATGCTCCCCGTCCGGTGGAAAACCATGCTAAAACGGCCCCGTCTTTTCTGGCACTTGGACTCGTTGGGCTCCTCAAGCTGCCACTTGCAGAAGTTGCTCACGGCCAATGGGCAAGGAGCAGGGCTCAGGCTGGCTCGAGCGAATATGCACGCCTGCAACTTGGAAAGTAAACGTGCAAAGCTAGGGCACCCCTCCAGGGACTCAAAGCATGCAAAATCCATAAACTCGACGGCTCCCCTGGATCCCAAGATGTCCTCAGCCGTGGGAGATTTTAGGCCCTACTGGGCCGCAGTGGGCCCCATTACCTATTGGGCCCAATTTTCCGCCGGGCTTTTTTGTTTTGCAAAAGCCTGCGTGGGCAACATGCAAATCACGCCAGCGCCAACGGAAATGAATGGCTGGGACTTGGAACCCGGCGTGGCGCATGCAGAACTTTGCCAGTCAAACCCGCTGTGCACCGAAGGTACGTAGATCTTATGATGAGAAAACATTGCACGGGCGAACACAGGGAACCTCGGTCAACATCACGAGTACTCCCAAACAATGTGGTGCTACGTGTTTGTCCTCAGAAGTGCGGGCGCGTGTGTCAGCATGCTTGCTCGCTTTTCAGCCGACTGACTTTACCTTGTTGTCATCTCACACTCAGGTCAGCCGAGCTGAAATTTTAATCAACTGCCTTCACCTTTAGAATATCTTGGCGGCTCATCCCAATATCGAGATCCTGCTTGGCAAGCTCAACTCATTGCCCGGGAACTGAGACGTAGTTGTTGCTTTGTATGCAAATCAGCTGGAGATGCGAAAGCATTAAGCTGACACTGACACCAACACATCGTCAGGAGCAAGGCCTGTTGACATTGGGTACTGTGACTGAAACAAGCGAACCACAACAACATGAACAGCTGGCAGTTTGCCGTGCAGCTTGCTAGCGGCAAAAGGTAACCAACTAAGCTTAGATGATACCAACGCAGCCATGGCCATGCAACGTCGTGCAACATCACTTGCGTGCAAGTTGCCAATTAAGCTGCAAAGATCAACAACCTTCTCAGCAGCTCGCATGACTAAGGCACATCGCATGACTATCTGGAGTATTTGCAACTATTGACCCACAAGAGAACAATTAGCTTGCGCTGCTGCAGGCAACATTCTTGCATGGACTTGCATCACTGCGCAATCGCCCCAAGCCTTGACAACATAACGCTGCGCTGACGCTTCAGCCGAGCTTGCAACAGCAGCCTTTCCACGGACGAGTCCGCTGCAACCACTTTGCTGGGAAAAGCTGTGGGGCCGAGAAACTCAAAGGCAAAAACACACGGCCATAATGGCAAGCATCCTTCCCGAGAAGGCCAAGATAGCCCATGCCGTCCCAGGAAGCCTGTTTCAGGACAAGCGCTTCATGCCCTGGTCTGAGAATTGACAAGGAGGAGCTTGGACAGCAGGAGCCGCTGAAGCTGGGGCTGTACATAGGGCAAGCGCGCACGAGCAAACCAGTCTGCTGGCCTCTTGGCAAGCGTCCAGTACCGGGCTCAGCGCGCAAAGCATTCAACATGCTCAGCACAGTTTCTGGCGCCACCACGTTCTGCTGCTCGTGTCAAGTTTGTGGCTGGAAGCACACAGGTGCCAGGAATGCTATGACCGACGACCGAGCCCTTCCCCGCGCGCTGGGGGATTGAGGCATCTCACCAGCACACGCGGAGCGAACGCGAGGCGTTACGGCCCGTCGTGGCAACCGCATGCAACTACGCGAGGCTCCGAGCTCGCGGGGCTACGCATTGACTGGCAAAGCGAAGACGACTGCATACGCTGCGCAACGCGTCTCAGGCCTGCGGGTTCAAGCCATTGCTGTCCACCTGGCTGTCAGGCAGCTTTCTCTTTGGGATGAACTGGCACGCAAAGCATGCAGGCTTGTGCTGGAGGTGCCGGTTGAGGGAGGATAGTCTTGCAGCTCTTGCAAGTCCTGCAGACAGAAAATTGATCGCTCTCTTCAAGCAAGCGCTGTGCGTCACGGCGCTGCCTGGCACGTGCTGACGCGCAGCATCAGTCGGTGAAACTCTCAGCCAAAGCCAACATGACTGCCCATCCATTTATTCCAGGGATCCCTCAGCTCTGCAAGCAATGGAAAGGCTGGCATTGCCAAGCGCCATGCTAAGCCCCCACGCCTCGCAGACTGGCAAGGTCAGCGACGCTGGAGCCGCTATGTTCAGGGCCACTACGCACACTGATCGCAAACAAGGTCATCCTTGGGTTGAACGTCTGGGGTTCTGGGATCGGAGTCCTTTGAAACATCGCCGCCTTCCGCCAGGGAGGTGGGAGTGGGATAGGATGATGACAGAAGAGGTGGGTCCTAAGTGGCACTTGCTGGCGCAGTAGTGGCTTATATGCTCCTCGGGTGCATGGAATGGCTTCCCCTACAACCTTCGGAAGGCAAGATAAACTCACGATGCAACCGGTGCCCCTTCTACAGAAATGTTACCATCCGAAAGTACACAGAAAGATCCCAGACGCAAAAGGACAGGTATGAAGCCACTGCAAAAACAAACACAATGCGCGCAGTGCTTTCTCACCGAAAGCACTGGAGTGTGCAAAAGCCCACATGTCCCTGTTATCCTCTGCCTCGCTTTTGGCATTCATGCATCACGGAATGCTCCGAACTTCCACTTCCGGTTCGAATGCGTGCCCAGCGCATGCCGTGGAGAGCGAGAGAAATTACATCTGAAACCCAGCCAGTTTCCAATGGCTCGGTCTTCACACCTGGGCTGGCAGGAGTCAACTGAGGCTTAAAACATCTGAGGGATACTCAGAGTCTGAATCAATTCCTAGGAACGTAGAACAAACTGCCCCAGCCGGCAGCTGCAAGAAAGCGTACCAAGGGAATGGCCAGAGGTAACCAACCCCTTGCACGCTCACTGCACCGACCAAAAGCCTGGATCTTTCCGCATGAAGTGATTGGAGAATGGCAAACCCAAAGCCGGCCTCCCGAATCGCAAAGCGCTGAAGCCGCTCGTGACATGGCACGGTCTTGATACCAGTGATCAGACTGGCCTTTGCCAGTGCCTGACCACCTGCCCGCCCGAGCGTGGGCATGGCTGCCTGGATCGGTGATTTTACCTTGAGACTTCTTCCAAGCAATCCATTTATGCAATGCTCCCACATTTATTCTCCAAATGGGTCAAATGTTGGTACATATGAGCTACATGGACTGTCTGGGAATGGCAACCGCATGGTGATGTTGCGGTCCTGTTGAGAAGCCCGCGCCTTGCATGGCGAATGGCAACCGCACGCTGATGTTGCGGCCTTGTAAAAAGTCCCACAGCCACGCCTTGCATGCCAGCTAAGAGCAATCCCTTCCTGCTGGCTAATCTCGCACCTTCCCCCAGCCAGTCTCTGCGCAATAGGTGCAATTCGACACGTCGGCCTTGGCCCTGCGGAGGGTCAGCCAAAAAAATCAGCACGGGCATGGACAACTTGCAATCACAGGAGCACACTTTTGGCAACGCATTGCAAGAAGCTTTTGCCTGAGGCTAAGTTATCGCGCGCTTTGTATCGCGGGCCCTAAAAACTCCCAATCTTGGTGCGCTTGTCAGGTGCAATTTGCAGTCAACTTTCTCCCTGGCCTCTTGAGTATCTGTGCAGTTGGTTTTTGCTGGTTTTGCAGTTGTTTATGTTTTGTATTTGCCTATTTTGTTGTTTTGTTTGTTTTTAGGGCTTGTGTTAGAGCTTCGGAACAATCAAAGCGTGCAGCTCCCCTGGAGGTGAACGTCAACCCATTCCTTCAAGTGCAGCACGACAGCTTTTTGCAAAGCTTCAGGGAACGGTACCGACGGTAGCCGCGGTTCTGCGGAGACGCCTACTTCTGCACTTGCGGACTGGACGCAAAACATTCTTACCGCAGAAAAATCGCAAGCCAGCACTTCTTGCGTAAGCGGCACGCCCTTCAAAGGCGAATGCTTCAAGCATCGGTGTGAACCAGTAGGAATGCGGCAGCTATTGAAGCATTCAAAGCGACACGCACTTCTGCGCCATAGCTTGTGCTGGGTAAACCCACTGGACAATAGAAGAATCTGTTTCCCTTCATCTTGACACCTGACCAGCGCTGCCCACATCTTCCAAGCGAATCAAAGAGGGCAAACAGGGCCCGGAAAGGTTTTGCTGAAGGTCACGTGAGTGCTTAGGCTTTGCGACCCGTGAGTATGCTCGCAGCAAATGCCGCGGCAAACCTTGCCAAACCTTGCGGGTCCAATCAGCTTCGCTGGAGGCTGCTCATCATCAGCAGGGGCGGTCGCAAATTTATCGGCCGCTGTCCAACAGCCTTGCCTCCAGTCAATGCTAATCTGGCCACGCGCCAGCTCGGATGCCCAAGCGGACTCCACATACGCCCAAATCTGCACCTCGAGAGGTGTACGAGCACATGGAAAATCGGCAAACATTCAGCCGGCAAGCAAAGGTGGACAACTGCTGTTCAGCAATGACTTGCAACACTGTGTAAGGGGTAGTAAGCCTTAGTAAGCCTTACAAGCGGCCGTCGTAAGTCACCCCACGCCGCGTTAAGTCACCCCAGCCACAGTACGCATATCCGTTTAAGTCACCCCATGCGTTTTAAGTCACCCATTTTTTTGCAAAACACGGTGGGCACAGAACTGGAAGGGCGATGTTGATGTTATGAATGTTGATGTTATGAATCTGGGATCTCATGGGCACCTTTCTGTCAGGATGCCTCAGGTAGAACATCATACATTTTGCATGCGCACAGCACAGAATTATGCGATTTCAGAAAATGACATGCTTGAGACAACTATCCTTACATCCACAAACACAACGGGCACACTCACCCGGGACGACTTAGATCAACCCGGGACGACTTACAGCACTTACCCTGTAGCAAGCCTTAATGAGTGCATTTGAGAAAGACAGTTGTTTGAAGCCAGTAGTGAGCTCAACAAAGACTTTGTTGAGGTTTTCAGGCTCAGTTGCTCAGCCAAGCACCCTGCATCTTGACACCTGGCCAGCGCTGCCCACACGTTCCTAGCGACAGGGCTTTGCTGGAGGTCATGTGAGTGCCTGCTGCAGGCTTTACGCCCCGTGATATGCTCGCGGCAAGGGGTGGTGGCAGATTTACCGGCCGCAGTCGAACAGCCTTACCCCGCTCCATGCTAAGGTGGCCACGTGCTAGCTTTTCGGGTACCTGATTGACTTCCCTGATTGGATCCCTTCAAGCCATGTATGTAAATGGTATATGGGTGTGTCCGAGCACATGAAGAACCGGCCAGCATTGAGCTGGCAGCTTTGCAAAGCTGCCTCTCACAGTTTGACGATGCGCGAACGGCGGGGGCCGAGAAAGGTCTTTGTGAAGCTGGTCTCACAAAGCGCAAAAGCCTTGCGGCAGTCAGCCTCAGCTGAAGCTGCTCAGGGGCACGAGCAAATGTATCGGCCAACAGCTGCTCAGCAATGACTTGTGACACTTTGTAAGAGTAGGGCTTCATGAGTGCATTTGACCAAGATTGCTGTTTGAAGCCAGCAGTGAGCTCAGCAAAGACTTTGCTGAGATTTTCAGGCTCAGCCGCTCAGCCAAGACCAACTGGCCATGGGCTTGAACCTTGCTTAGCAGCAATTTGGTGATGGAATTGGGTTGTCTGCATATATAGTCTAACACAACGTGCACCTGTGCAGGAAACGGCGATTGAAATTCCTGCGAAAGCTTTGTGGCCCCAGTCAGCTTCGCGTGAGGCTGCTCATCAGCAGGGGCTGTCAGATTTATCGGCCACAGTCCAACAGCCTTGTCCCCAGTCAATGCTAATCTGACCACGCGCTGGCTTGCCAGCTCGGGTGCCTGAGCTGACTCCACATACGCCCAAATCTGCACCTCGAGACATGGGGAATCGGCCAACATTAAGCCGGCAAGCAAAGTTGCCTGTCACAGTTTGACAATCCGCATCCAGCGTGCGGGGCCGAGAAAGGTCTTTGTTCAAGGTCACCCGTGATGCTTCTCATCGGTGCGGAAGCCTTGGTCCACATCCCGCACCTGCATGGCAGCTGGCGACTGCCTGGCTCACAACAGTTCAAGTTCAGGTCAAATTGTAAGTCTGTTGTCCACTGCATAGGAAGGCGGTAAGCATTGCAGCTGAAATGTGCACCTTAAAAGGCAGCAAGCAAAGCTGCCACTGCTTGGGACCCCTAAGAGTGTTCACTGCGGATCACGGTGGTGTTTGTTTCTAGTGTCGTGCCCCATGGGCCTCCATGCATTCAGAACCCTAAGTCCCCTGTTGCCATTTTACCATGGGCGTTGATGCGCGGTTGAAGCGATGGTACAAATATCCCAAGCTTTGGTGGGAAGGCGGGCAAACCTTGCGTGCGAAATCCGCATAAGGCTGAAGCCCCTCAGCCACGCCTGGTACTTGGCTTCACTGAAGCCTGTGTCAGCCACTCACGTCGGTCTTGTCCCTCCAAAGGGACAAGCAGTCAGAACAAAATTGGCAGCTATGAGAGTAACATCGGCATAAACAAATCGACGAGGGGGAATCGCTTTGGCAGGCTGTCGTTGTTGGACTCCCCTGCTGATATGTGGGTTGGGCTCAATCTGCCCTGCGTCCTTGCTGCAACGCTGAAAGGCGTGATTTGCATCAGCCCGTGCGTGCCCCAGGTTTCTGCAATGCCTGGCAAAAAACGGCTTACCTCGAAATTGCCCTCTTGATTCACGGTGTGTATGTGAACCATTCATTCATTGAATCATCGGATGTGCCTCAGCGGGGCCAAGTTCCCTCCGCAGAGGGCACTCGTTCTTGGATTGCCCCTGGTAGGACAACGCTTCTTCTTCAGGTGCAGCCACATCTTGTTTCTTTGAAGTCCGTGTCCATGACAAATTGCGAGCTATGATTTCAACTGCTATCCGGTTCAGCTCCTGAACCTGAGGTTCTGCCAACTTGTGAGCGAATTGTCATGCGACTCTGGTGGCGGCATGGCGATGTCGGACTAGTGATGTTGCTTGCGAACCAAGATGCGGGCCGTGTGGAAAACATGAAGCAAACATCAAAGTACTTCTATATTCATGTCTATGAAGACATCCGCCGCGAGAAAACGGATGAAAATGGGGGACATGAAGTGAAATGAAGGGAAAGGAAAGAAACAGAAATAAAGGGAACGGGGGAAAAGATTCCAGGGGGAAAAGATCGGAGGTGGGGGTATCTTATCCGTGAAGGGAACTGATACCTTTTGGTAGTAGAGGATCTTTGTGTGGTATGGATCTATTCCGGAGAGTCCAAGTGTCAATACTGATGGATTGATGTTGGATTAGCCCTGGTAGATTGTGTGTTGTGGATTACCCTGAAAGTGGTCCGCTGCAGCGCCTTTGCATCACGGATGCAATGGCTCAGTGAGCTATGTACCGTAGCCATTCAAGTGTGTGCCGTAGCCATATGTGTGTCAGTGACAGATAACATATATATCTTGTCAGAGTTAAAATGCGATATTCATCCCTTTTCGGCGCGGATGAAATGTCTTTGTTGGCGAATGAAAAAGAAAACTCTGTACTCATTGCGGACACCTAATTGTACCAAAAGATGATGCACAAGTGGTGCCGCCGGAACCAGTCTTCACATGTAGAGGTGGTGACGAACAATGGCCTTCATGGTGCAAGAAGTAGCCATGGCATAATCCAATCTTCAATGGGCATCCCCAGTGTCCCGTTCCATGTGTCTTGGTATGTTCATCAGTCCGTATTCAGGATTGTAGACCCACTGCAATCTGCTGCACGGGTTGGCGGATTTGTTGGCACCGCTTGGTACGTAGTCACAAGTGGAATGACTCCATTCCGAAAATCATCTCTGGCTGCTCCATGAGTGATGTTAGGATGGATGTGGAAGACCACGGTAGCACATGGAAGTCCGGCTCAAAGAATGTGTCGACTGTCGAAGTCAGTATCTGGATCTCGAGCCTCGCTTGACTTTGGCAATGCCGCTCGGAATTCGATCTGGATTACCACGATTTCCTTGTTGTGCCCATATGTGTGGATGGCAGTGCGAGGAGGCAATCTCTGGCCGACGTACTGCTTGAGGTTCTCCTTGGACATGTGAGGTCCGGTCGTTGCCAGGCAGTCGAAGGTTGGCGTATCATATTCGGGATCTATGCAACCGATCTCGGCGCCGAAGAAACATCTGAACATGCCGAATGTGGCTCCCCCATTTTTGGATCTTGTCGAGATGTATCCTGCCAAGAGCTCGACTCTGGCGTGCTCATTGCCACAGACAAAACATGCGACTTGTACCCTGAGAGGATAAACAATCGGATGAGTTCCTTGCATTTTCGTCTTGGGATCGAGAAATGCGTCCGCTTCATTGAGGCATAGGATGTGAGCACTGTTGTGCAGCAACATTCGTGTGATCGGTCTGTCTCGCACGGGCATGCTTTTCAGCTCTCTGTTCCCATGGTTCATTGTGAGTACGTTGATGGTCATGGATGAGTCGCAGTCTCGTGCCTGGAACTGGTCCATCGCTGGCAAGGACCCAAAAATGTCCGTATATGCATCGGGATCATCTTGTGTCCTGAGAAATTTTAGTCCAAGTGGCAGTCGAATGGGATATCCGAGGGAAAACTCTTAGGGGGAGAAGGTGGCAAAAGATCATGTGAGGAAAAAGGGAGATCTTAGGAGGGGAAGGGGGAAACAGATCTTAAAAGGGGGTGAGATCTAGGGAAGAAGATCTTGGGGGGTGAAAGGGCGGAAACAATGTTATTAGGGGGGGAGCAAAGATCTTAGATGGGAAAGGGGGATCTAAGATCTCAGGTCAGAAAAAGGGGAAAGGGCGGAAGAGATCTTGGGAGGACGGAAGAGAAAATCTTCGGAGAGGAAAGATCTGAGGGGGAAAGTTGGAAAACGATCTCAGGGGGTGAAAGAGGGGACAAGATCTTAAAAGGCGGGGAGGGAGGGAAAGATCTTGGAAAAAAAAAGGCGGGAAAAGGGGGGGAACAGATCTTAGGAGGGGAGAGGATCTTAGGAGGAGAAAGAATGGAAAAGATGGGTGGAAAATATTTTAGGGGTGTCTTAGGGGGGAAACGATCTTTGTGGGTGAAAGGGGGCCGGGGAAGGAAAGCGGGAAAAGGCCTTAAGGGGGAAAAGCGAAAAAAGAATCTTAACAGGGAAAGGGGGGAAACGATCTTAGGCGTGAAACGGGGGGAAAGATCTTATAAGGGGGGAAGAGGGGGGGGAAGATCTTAGAGGGAGGGGGGGCAGGGGGAGCCAAGATCTTAGGGGACGAGATCGGGAGACTTCCACGGGCGATGGGAGAAAACTTCCGTAACGTCGGCGGAGCCGGAGGCGTTAAAAATATATATATATATATACTGTGTGTTGGGCCCTCCCCGTTGCGCATCAAGCCTTTGAATATACATGTTTCCGCATGTTTCACTATACATGCATCATAAGCAAGAAGTATGTTTCAACCTTGGTTTACGCATGTTTTACAGGATTCTCACAGGGCAATAAAATCCTGTCAAGATCCTGCAAAAGACTTCAACAAATGTTGCGTAAACAGATCTTGCACAGGAGTTTCTGTAAAGATTGAGTTGCTTCAAGTAGATCATTGGAATCAGCAAGTTGGTTCCAAACCGCACTTCCCGCGGAACTTGGAGAACCAAACTTCGCCTTTGCTCCTGAGCTAGTTTTCGCAGCGTATTCTTGCTGGTGCTCCTAGAAAAACTATGCAACTGGTGGTATCCTTTACTTGTGGATAACCCAACACGGCTCGTTCAACCACATTTCCTACCTACAGGCAGGTTGGCAATTACGCATGTTTCTGGGGTTGTGGGACATCTCGGAAACTACCTCAGGCCAGTCAGGTCAGCATGTGCAGTTTTGGACAAACTCAGCACACATGGCAGTTAGCAAGTGGGCTTATCGTGTGCCAGCGCGAATGCTCTGACGTGACGCGCGTAAGCAGGTGTGCTTCCAGCCCAGCGTCGGTGGGCACCTGTACTCAGTTAACAGGCGTTAACAGGATAGCAGCACAGTTCAAAATACAAGTGTGCGAAAAGATCAAGCAACGGCAAGCAAAGCGTTTGAGAAAACAACTCTAAAGCCGCGTCTTTCCATGTCTTGCCCACTTTGCTCAGCCCAGCTCCTGGTCTTGATCCACCAGCTGCTCCTCAAGTCCTGCCAGGGCAGTAGGCGGGCCAGGGGGAAACATAATTAAGGGCCAGAGGGCGCCTGCGCGCCACTGCGTTGAAGGCAGTGCAAACATCACCTCAAGCTTAAATCTCGGGGCCGTGTTGGCCCATTGCTCAATGCAAGTAGGAGTGAGGGGCGCAACCACCTTCATGGAGCTGTTTTAGAGTGGTTGTACCCTTTGGTGACTGCCCTTTTTGCTTGTCGATTTTCCTTTTCCTTTTCTCTTCTTGAATCTGAAATTCCGCCCCAGACACTTTCTAGCGCATCGTTCTCCTCCAGTACCCAAAATGTCTCCTCATCGTTGGTGGACATGAAACCCTCTTGCCCTTCTTCGTCTTCGTTCGAGAATGTAGAAGGTATTGCTTCGGTTTCCTCCGGATGGCCGGATGGATGGATCTTGGATGGATGTTCTTGTCGTGATGAAGAGGTCGTGGTACTGCGTTTTCATCATCTCATACGTGTAATTCTTAAGCGAGATGTTTCTCAAGGACATTGCACTGATCAGTCTTTCTCTTTGCTGATCTGACAATTCACTTTGGATTATGAAACACTGTGCAATGAGGTTGTCGCTGAGGGGGAATGCGTCTCGGCGCCTTGTCTGCATGCCTGTAAGGCACTGTCTGAGTACTTCTGGATTGTCTGGCTGCGGCAGATCTGGAGGCGGCGCTCGTGCGCCAGCGGCTTGCTGGTGCGCGGCAATTCTTCTTGCATTGGCGTCTTGGACTGAAGCTATG